AAAGCTTTTGAGGTGGTGAGTGGAAGAACAAACAGTCATATGTCCCAAATTATTCTCCAAAAACAAGAAGAAAAGAAAAACAGGAAACGTTGATGAATCAGAGTAAGCAGTTTTTCTTCAATGTGCTCATTATGTTTTTTTTTTCTCCTTTTCCCTGCTGCAGGGCTCAGAGCTCAGCAGCTGGACCACGGGGCACTTTACTGAGGACGGCTTTGATATCTTCCAAAACTTCCCGGATCTGAACAGCATCTTGTGGGAGGCTGAGGATAAGGGCATGGTGCCTAAACTCACCCCCAATCATCATGTTGCCATACCAGATAACTTTGAGTCAAATACATCGGTGAGAATTAGCAAATACATCTTCAGATGCTTGCTGTTGTGGTTTTAATTTTTAGATGTCTAACCAACTTTATTTTTTGAAAATAAAGGTTTGTCTAATCTTTTACTTTCTGGTTTTGCTGCAGATTGCTATGGAAACCAGAGCCATAATCTCCTGGATGAAAAACTATCCATTTGTGCTGGGTGCAAACTTCCAAGGCGGAGAGTCAATTGTGGCCTATCCTTATGACAGCTTAGGTATCAACAAGCCGCTCAACAGCCAGCAAGCCCGCAGCCGCAAGAAGAGACAGTATGACATTTCCTCTATGACTCTATTGTCCTCTTTGCATAAATGTTTCTCAGGTGGCTTTGCTTTGCAATTCCCCCTTCCATGTCTGCTATAAAAATAAATTACTCTGTTAATGTCTTCCCAGGTATGAGGAAGAAGGTTACGATGTGACAGAGTGGGGAAGGGGATACCAGGAGGAGCCAGAGGAGGACTGGAGAACTCGAGGATATGCACAGCCGGAGGATGAGTGGAGGGGTCATGGGTATGACAACGGATATGAGCCCGGATACGACCACGCCTACAGCCATGGTTATGGCCACAGGGAGGATGAGGAGGACGATAGAGGGCAGGGGGGTGGATACCAGTACGCTGAACCTGAAGACGAGCCCAGGGTGACTCCAGACGAGTCCCTTTTCAGGTGGCTGGCCGTGTCGTATTCCTCCACACACCACACCATGTCGCACAACTACCATGGATCTTGCCAAGGAGGTACCCCCTCAGGGGGGCTCGGCTTAGTCAACAGGGCAAAGTGGAAGCCAGTCACTGGGAGTAAGTAGAAAGCTTGTAGCGCACCCTGGTGGACATGATATTCAATGCATGTTGTCAGACGGGTCCTCTGCCCCAAATGTGAGCAGCTGCCTGCAGCACCTGAGAAACATTCCCAAACCGAGGGCCTCACTTAGGACCCGACAACGGGTAGCACCCTTATTTCATCAACTTTAAGAACTTCCTATTTTTAATATTTAGACTTTAATTTGGAGTTCAGCTTTCTTATTCTTATTTTCATTACACCATCACAAATACAGAGCAATGAAATTAACTCTTTCCATTTAACCCATCCCCTTGGGGAGCAGTAGGCTGCCATTGTGCGGCACCAGGGGAGCAGTGTGGGTTTAAGGATCTTTGCTCAGGGACCCAGAGTGGCAGCCTTCGCAATGCCCCAACCACTAGGCCGCCACTCACCCAACCAAGTCTTTTTTTTTTTTTTTATGTTTTTGAAAAAAACAAAAAAAAAAGTGGCTCAGGCTCTGCAGCTACAGCAGCCTCAACTCTTTTAGAATTCAAGAGATTGTTGCTCTTCTGCCATGTTGACACGATGAACGCTGCCCTCAAAGTTCAGCAGCATATCTATAGGAACTGTTTTCCATTCTTTGCAAAGCTTTCTTAAGATTAGGCACTGATGTGGGATGAGATTTTAGTCTCAGTTTGTCCTAAAGTTCCTCTCAGGTTTAGGTCAGGACTCTCTTATCCACATCTGCATGTCTGGGTCGCTTTGTGAACTGGTGCACAGCCATCTTAGACCAGGAAGGGGACTTCGACCAGTTGCTTCCATTAAAATGTCTACAATGTCTTTAAATACTTTAACCATTATTGGCCAAGTTCCTGGCAGCAATCTGTTAAAAAAATACTCTATATGGGCTGGTGCTTGATTTTCATCATGGGACTATGAAAGTAACTGGAAAACCAATTCAGTGATTAAACTAAGATGATCTTAAGTTTCACTTGCTGAGGACAAAACAGCTTCAACTCACGTATCTGTGATCTTCTGTCCAGGTATGAATGACTTCAGCTATCTTCACACCAACTGCTTCGAACTCTCCATATTCCTGAGCTGCGATAAATTCCCCCATCAGAGTGAGTTGGCACAGGAGTGGGAGAAAAACCGAGAAGCAATGCTCACCTTCATGGAGCAGGTGGGTCACAAGAATGCAACCTAATCTAGGTGCGAGGCTGTTACAGACCAAGATTTCAGGACTGATCGTGTTTTAAGTCTTCCAAACCCTGGAAAGACAATGTCTTACCTTAAAATTACCTCCTGCCCACTAGAAAAAATGCTGTTTTAGGTCTAAAATAGACTCAGCTTGGATTCTGGTCGTTCTTTTACTATTATACGAAATCTGAAAACAGTTTAACAAACGATGTCCTGAGATGGAAAAAAATATGTCCTTCTGAAGTGGGCTTTTTGAAAAAGCAGAATTCCAGCTTGCCACTGAAGTATTCAGACAAATTATTAATCAGTAAGGCAGGAGTTCATCTTACTAATTCTTCCCTTTTGTGCCGACATCCCTGTTCTCCAGGTGCATCGTGGCATCAGAGGCGTTATTAAAGATCAGCAGGGGAATCCTATCGCAAACGCCACAATATCCGTGGAGGGGATTAACCATGATGTCACCTCAGGTGACGACACGTCTTTCACATTTAAAACACAATCCCAGTCCGTTTTTTAAGTTTAAACACTAATATCTCGCCTGTTCTGCATTGCAGCCCCAACAGGGGACTACTGGCGACTGCTGAACCCGGGAGACTACCAAGTGACAGCAAAGGCGGAGGGCTTTTCCTCTGAGACTAAACTCTGTGTGGTGGGCTATGAACCTGGTGCCACTACCTGCAGCTTCAACCTTGCAAAGTCCAACTGGGATCGTATTAAACAGGTAAAGCTCTGACCTGACCTCTAAACTTATCAAATTTAAGAGGTTAACCAATGCCACAAATTGATGTTCAATGTTTTTTTTCTTCTGTTTAAATAAGAAATGATGTGCATGTTAAAGGTGATGGAGACAGAAAACACCTGCACCTACCTCTAGCTGTTCTTTTACTTTTTTTAGACTGATTCAGGGGAGAATACGCTGCAACAAGAAAATGTAACTCCAATATCTGTCTAAAGGTGAAGCGTGGTGGTGGCAGCATCATGCTGGGTGGATGCTTGTCTTCATGAGTGACGGGTATTGATACTGATATGGGACATCCAGCTCCAGGGTCCTGCAATACACAGCTGATTAAAAAGGCTGCCTACCTCCTCAATATGGCATTGACCTCTGCTGTAGCCTTCCAACAATTTTTAGAAGTGCTAAAACAGGCAGGACAGCAGCCTTATATAGACCCAATCTGTGCCAACACCTTTAACATCTGCAGTATGCCAGGGTTCCTACAGCATAAGGCAAGTTAAATTCAAGACTTTTTAATGCCACTTGAAAAAAAAATTTAAGACCAAATTCACAAGAAAAACCTGCTTGCGACAACTTAACCCAAAGGTTTATTTTAACATAAACCACTGCACTATGTTTCACATTTTGAAAAGCTTCCCATACAGGAAGAAAGCTAAAAACACACAAATGACAGATATATTTTAACAATTATTTCACTGAATTCACAAACTTTGTTTTGCAGAGACAAGGGTGGAACAAAACCGAGAAATACCGGCTGTTTCTCTGCAACTCGATTTTGACGCTTTGTGTTTGGCGCTTTGCATATGCGACTCCACTGCCTTCATTCCCATCGTTCTGAGCTTGAATGACTTCTTGCACAAAATCCACTGAGCCTCATGTATGTTCCCTGGTTTTAGCCATGGAGAAAACTCTTGGCTGGAGACAATTTTCGTTACATTTACACTTGCTCACATTTTCCAGACAAAAAGTTAATGGCCCATCTCCCAAATGTCCCGGCCACAACAACGCTTTTATTGGTTCCGCTATCGGGACAGAACCAATAATGGCGATCAATTTTTTTTTTTTTTATGAAAAAGAACAAATGAAAAATTATCAATTTTAATGTTTTATTTAGATTACAAAAATAAATCGTAATAAAAATAATCCTATTTATGATGCTTTAAAAATTAAGACCTACAAAAGACTGATTTAAAACATTTTAATACCAATTAAGGCCTTTTATTTTGAAGAATTCAATGCCTTTTAAGACTTTTTAAGGACCCGCGGGAACCCCGGTATGCTCTCCATCCAGTCTCAGTGCCTTTGAACCATGTATAATTTGTTCTTCAGTGTTACAGTCACCTGCATATATTTCTTTTACTGTAATTAGAAAGTTTAAGGCCCTCTCAGCTCCAACATTGCGGTTTACATAGATTTCGTCTCTCCGCAGATCATGGCCCTTCATGGGAACAAGCCCATTCGACTCAGTTACAGCAGCTCCAGAGTGCTCTACCCTTCAGGCAGCAGGAGCAACAGACTTGTGACAGACGTCAGCGGCAGGAATCCTTCAAACTTAAGTCCTGAGCGAAGGAGGAGGCTCATGCTCAGACGCATCCGCCGTCTGCGGCAGCAGAAGTTGCTGAGGTTGATTTCAACGACGATGCCCACGACGACGACGACTACAACAACAACAGCTGCGACAACAGCTCCCACTACATCGTGGTACGACTCGTTTTCCTTCGGGGAGGGAGAATCCTTCACACCTGGCCTGAATTACAACTATGAGTACAAGATCGACGACTACTAAAGCCACAGGTTTCTGATCCTAGCTCTTTGTGGGTCAATCCAATTTTCCATAACAGAAAACAGTGAATTTTCACATAACTACAGTAATAATAAAACATGTTACCAGAAAGATCCGTTCAGTCCAGAGTCTGCGCTGTTATTTTTGCTCCTTTTGTAAAATGTATGCTTCATGGAAAGATGTTTATTGTGAACTTACATTAAAAACAAACAGCTGAATTATTTACACCGCCGTCAATCGTGTTTTTTTTTTTAAACAAAACAAGTTGTCATTTTGGCACAGGTGAGCCAAAATAAAACTGATAGTAAACAGTGAGTCTTGTATAGCACCTAGTCTTTGTTACTGGATGATCAGTTATAACACCTTTGACCCGAACAGGAAGAAAAAAAATAATAATCTGGAGATCTTTAGTCCAACTGATCCAGAGAGGAGGGGTGAATATTGTTCTGTTAATGACTGACATTCATCTCGCTTTCTTCATCTTCGTCAGCGGAGAAGGCAGAGAAGAAAACCGGCTCGCACTGCAGGGTCCGTAGATTGACCAGGCAGGCGGTCTGGGTGCTGCTGAAGTCTGGGACGGTGACCAAAAGGACTTCCTGACCATCAGAACCTGGCAGGAGACAAACATTGAAGAACTTACTGATCGTTTGTGTGGTGTGTTTGTAAAATGCACAGTAAAGCGGATACTTCCTACTCAAACTGTTAAAGATCTCTGTGCTTTTTGGATCAGCATAATCAACAGGCAAACTGTTGGTTATATGTACAGACACAGGTGGAGGTAAGGGATCAAAAAATAAAACAACCTATCCAAAGCTGGAAAACGGTAAAATAAAATCAAACATATAACCAGGCAGCGAAGGAACTCTGCACACCAACCTTTGACGAGTTTGGACCCAAAGACTGGAGCGTTGCCACTGAAATAGACGTGTGGACAGTCCTCCAAGATGAACGGGTCTCTCTGATAAAACGGGTAGCAACCTAAAACAAAAAATACTGTGATTAAATGTGTAGACTGACAAAGCTATACCACTTTGCTCTCTTTGCAGTAGAAAACAAGCCCCATGTCTCCAGTATCTTCGTTTGATGTTAAGCATGACAGTCGAGCAATCAGTGAAAATCAGGAACTGTGCAAAGAACAATGCACAGCATTGTGATCCAAAATTAATTACTTAAAATCTTAAAGGTCCGCCTCGTATATTGTCCAGATCCCTCTGCTATCTCCCTGTTCTAAGGATCATCTTTGTAAACATACTCTATATCTGAACCTCATTAGTGATATCAAATGGTTAGCCATAGAAACCCCCCAGCTACAGGAGACCTGGTTGTGTGTGAAAATCCCAGTAGATCAGCAGTTTCTGAAATACTCAGACCAGCCCTTCTGGCACCAACAATCATGCCACGTTCAAAGTCACTCAAATCACCTTTCTTCCCCATGCTGATGCTAGGTTTGAACTGCAGGAGATTGTCTTGACCATGTCTACATGCCTAAATGCACTGAGTTGCCGCCATGTGATTGGCTGCTTAGAAATTAAGTGTTAACGAGCAGTTGGACAGGTGTGCCTAATAAAGTGGCCGGTGAGTGTATATGCTAATATATCTACATCAGAGTGCATAAGTTTAAATCTAACTTAACCAACCTAGGGTATCCGGAGCGGTGGGGGCCAGGTGTCGGAGCCAAAGCGTTTCCTCCAATATCTCCAGATGGCTCTCCATGCTGCTGTACCTCCTGATGTCACAGACGTTCTGACCCGACGTACCCAAGAACCTTGGCAGAAAGAAATCAAAACAGATTGTAATCTGAACAATGGCTTCCTGATGGGACAGAAAGCGTTGGTTCAGGAAGCCTGACCTACCTGACTCCGTCGATGTTTGCACCGTACGGATTGGAGACCAGCTGCAGTGTGGGGTATGCAGAGGACAGAGGAAACATGCATTTGTGAAGGGGCTGCTGTGGGAGGGTGTAGTTGGTGGGGTCACACTCCCCTGGCATCACATCCACTGAAATGGATGCCTTACAATGAGCAAGAGGAGGAAACAAGGATCAGATGTACGATCAAAGAGTTATTGACATTTAAGCTGAAGATGATTGGAAATAAATATAAAATAATATTAAAGTTAAACTTTTGAAAAGCTTCAGAAATGGAAATGTTCAAAACAGGCTGTTTGTAAAGTTTGTTCCAATATTTGGTTATTTCACAAACAAAGTTGGACCTCAACCAGAGGAGCTGATAACACCTGATACCTGCTGTCAATAAACTCCTAAACATCAACTGAAACTTATCTGTTCTTTTAACACCATATCACTATCTAACCATTTTATAACAGTTATTATACAACCCTTGCTCATTGTGCCCCTCTTCACTTTCTCCAGCAACAGCACAGTTAGAGCGTCCCAGGAAGATGCAGACTCACCACCAGCTGCAGCAGCAGTTCATCAAGCAAACGCATGGCTTCCACGCTGCCTGCCTGGGTCTTCTTAGTCAGATACTTAGGCTGAAAAATAGCATAACAAATGTAGAGTGTTTAACGTTTAACGCCATCAAACCACCATTTCATAGCTTGTGCTATGTTAAGCCATCTAACTTGAAATATGTCAAAAAAATTTACTTTCCCTTAAATAAAAAAAAAAAGCATTTTATTATTATTCTATATCATGGGTATAATTCATAGTTGACCTTTCCAACTCACTGTGTGTGTTGTTCGTGTTGTGAACGACAACTGTGTAAAATTTCAAATCTCTAGTCCTGAGCATAGTGAAATTATCACCTTTTTTGTATGCGAAAGGTCCACTCGGCCCAATTGATCCAAATAACAAAAAAATAAATAAAAAAAATGTTAATATACCTTTACATAAATGCTCATTGCAGCATTTTCTTTTTTAATATTTCACATTTTCAGCTTTCAGAATTGTGACTTTTTCTATGTGTATCTGATTGGTTCTCCTCTTTTCTTACTCCTTATGTAGGTTTTACTTCATTGCAACTAGGGCTGAAACATTTAATCTGATTAATCGAAATTAATTAAGTATTGAAATATACCTCAACTAAATTAGTAATCAATCTGGAGTGTAGAGACTCTAAAAAATGCCTTTAGCTGACAGAGCGACCACTTAGAGCAGTATTCCTACCAAAATTGCAAAAAAAATAAAATAAAAAAAAATAAAAAAAGGTAAGGTTAAAAAAAAATTTGTGTTAGTCAATTTGCTCTATACAGAACTACTCAAGTGGAACATTTGTTATTTCACCTGGTTTAATTCTGTAAAAAGTCTTCTTTAAGGAAGCTTTGGCTATTTGATTATTAATTGATTAATCAAAAACATAATCGACAGAATAATCCATTTGCAAAAAAATCGTTAGCTGCAGCCCTAATTGCAACAATAATCTTATTGGCTAACAAAAGATGTCAATCAAAGCTTTATGGGTGACTAAGCTGTGGGGTTATGGAGGTATTTTACAAACCAAAGTTACAACTGATTTAGGGAGCAAACAGATTGGTGAATATGCCCTGTAGATAATTTGCCGGACATCCATAATTACACACATAAAATATGTTTTATCTTTTTATTTTCACTTTTACATAGGAAAAAATTTACTTTAGCGGATTATTACAACACGGGATTTTATTTTATGAGAAAGGAAACTGGACATCACTTTTTTGTGGTATTTCTTGGAATGCCAGAAGGCACCAGCAGGTAAAATGTTAAATTTATTAATTATAATTTGACGACAGATTGTTAGTTATTGGTGTTTGTGGAGTGTAGTTGGCCTACACTTTAGTTAATGGTTGTTTTCTTAAGGATTGTCCTATTCTGAATAGGGCTGAACGGTTTTGCCGAAAAGGAAAATTGGGATTATTTTAAACAAATGTTGCAGTTGTGATTTTATTTCAATTTTCCTGTGCATAAACCAAAATCATGTAAATGTTTCAATTTTTCCATGACCCGAAAATATTACTTGTCCAGTCCTTTGTTGCAGGACTTTAGTGTAACCTTTTGTTAAGTAGTGATAAATTCCAATTGTATGAATAGATTTGCATGCTAGGTGCACCTCTCTTCCTGTCTGTGTGGTTGCGAACCCACTTTAAGCATATTTCCACCAGCTAAAGAGCTGAAGGGATAAATTTAGCAACTTAATCTTTTTAGATTTAAGATGACCAAAATTGATTGTCTTTGAAAATTTTAAAATTATGATTGTTAAATTGCAATTATATTGTAAATGCAATTAATTACCCAGTACTAATTCTTAAATGTAAAACATGTTGGATTTTATTTAGAAAGAAGCCTGACGTCCCAGTGGGTGGAAGTAAAGGGGTTTTAAACCAGATTACAGCAAAAATATGTAAAAAAAAAAAAAAAAAAAAAAAAACTGCAATTCTTCACCTTTGTCGATGCATCTTTGTCCTGGGTGCTTTGGCTCAAGAGGTTTCCAGCAAGTAGCACCCTGGAAATTGTCGCCGCCCTACTCTGCTCTCCCGTGTCCCCGAGCTGACCAGTTACCATGTCCACCAGCAGCTGCAGACCCAGCATGCTGTCCGCCTTGCTGCTGCCAAGGCCGAGCCCTGAGGCCAGTAGCACAAACCTGGGCAGACGGATCAGTTACAGGCCGGTGCCATCACACAGAGGCTGGAGATCCTCAAAGGGTGTGTGAGGGAGCTTACTTATCAGAGCTTAGTGCAGGTCTGGGTGTCTGCAAAGGGAGATCAGCCATGCAGAAGTCTTCAACTGTGAACTTGCCATCGTTCTTCTCAGCTCCGTAGATCACAATAACACTACCTGAGAGGATGAGAAAGGCAGAAAGTTATACTGAAGAGTCGAGATAAAAGCTGTGGTATTATCTCAGAAATAACTGACCTGTGTTACAGGTTAGTTGTTTCTGGTAATTAACTGACCTGTGACACATTTGTCTCTGTCAATTTTGCCCTCCAGTTTGATTCTCTGCAGCTCATCCTCCAAGATCAGTTCGTCTGCCTCTGTGATGTATTTGGTTCTTGCAGGCTGGGGCAGGAGGTTGTGCTAAAGAATTAAAAAAATATATATAAGATCATAAAAGCAACAATACAGCAGCCTGCAAAAACACCCCGACCTTTCAAATAGGGGCGGAAAATATGGATCAATAATTTGTCAAAATACTGTGTGTCATCTATTCTAAGAACAATACAGATTATAAGAAATATTATTTGTCTACTGTAGTCTTTTTTTTTTTTTTACTCTAAGCTGCATGTCAGCATACCAGATATACAGCATTCTCACATTTGTGTTAATATTTCATGTTATCATCACAGGAAACCTAGGTTATATGGAGCAGCGGGGGCCAGGTGTCGGTCTTTCTAAAAGAATGCTGTTAAAATATTTATTTTTATTCAAAAAAGGCTTCTTCTTATTATTATTACAAACAACTGGGAAGTAAAGGTATTCATGGGTGTTCAGTGATATTTTGGAGCAAGCCCTGGAAAAGTAAACTTTATGCTACTCTACCCACTAAACAGACCCTGCTTTTGCAATTTATTGATTAAACAATTCTCAAAACAAGATGGCTTTTTTATAAGTGATAGTCCAGAAAAAGTGGTTCCTGTCATGTTTTGTGGAAGTGTTTCATTAAATAATATTCCTAATATATTAACATCTGAAGTTTTGATTAGGCTACATTCGCCCTTCAATGTCTAACCTAGTGACAAAATAGTGGAAAAAACCCCAGAGCAAATGTCTAAATAATGTCTATTGTTTTAATCATTAGTTTGCTGTATCTTCAAGTTTTGTTTTTTTGTTTTTCATGAAAAGATCAAATAGAATATCTACACATTACCAACACAAAATAGTGCACAAATGGGATGTCAAGTTAAAAAGTTAGGTGGTTTTCAAGGTTCCAACCTTACTTTCCTGGGTTAATATTATGCAGAACAACCTTTCAGAGTAATCACAGCTGCAAACCTTTCTGGTTTTAGCAGCATGCTCATCATCTAGACCAGAGGTCACAAATTAGCGAACCACAGTCCAGATCCGGACCCACCTGCTGGCTAATCCGGACCCAACCTGATTTAAACCATTTATAAATTACCGCATGTTGTCTGACGACAGTGTCTAATTTCACTTGCGCCGCTTCTCCTGTTAATATGGTAAAGACATCGGGACCAAGCTGCACATTATACAAATTATCCAATGAGCTGTGTCAGTCAGGGTCACTGCTGCAAACCACTTTTAGACACAGCAGAAATAGCTAGTGGCAAGCAGGGCGATGGGAAAGAAGGAGAAGACGATGAAAAAAAGAGAGCAGAGAAAGGGTGGACTGCTGGAAGAACTGCATTGAACTAGTGAAAGAAAAGTGAAATTGTGCGCTCATAGATGACCCTGCATATTTAAGTATGTTTGGCTCAACCTGTTACTGTGAAGCAGGATTCTCTACCATGAACATGATCAAAAATAAATATGGATCCAGGCTCAAAATGAGCACCTTAATATGTGCTTGAGAATGGCTTTGTCTCCATTCAAACCCAGGTTTAAAGCCTTGTAGGGCAGCATAAAGCCCACTGCTCTCATTAAGCCAAAAAAAAAAAAAGAAATAACAAAAGGTCAGTTCAGGTGTTTTCTAAAATATGTGAATCATGAAATTATCTATATAGCAAATTGAATGATTGTAGTTCTCTACTTCAAAAAACAGTTTAGATTTTAAAATGGATAAATTTTCTTTTTTTATATATCTTTATTTAAAAATTCAATGTATAAGATGGATGCATAAACCAACACCTCGTTTCATTTCAGTGTTAAATGCTGTTTAAAGTAACAGTTTATAATTAAAAATGTCTCCAGACCCAGGACACCTGATGATTTTTTTTATTTGGACCCAACTGATTTTTAATTGGTTACCCCTGGAATAGACTTTTCCATAGTAGATCTGGCTATAGGTTTAGGGTGCTAACCTCCTCACTGATCTCCTTCAGTATAGATGGCTGCAGGTCCATGCGCTTGAACAGGGTCCCTACAATGCAACACTGCTCCCCTGTCTCCAGATCACAAAGCTTCTTGATGAGGACATCCGAACCTGGCAGAGATATGATAAGGTTGTTAGAGGTACACTGGATAAGGTGTTTGGTGCTCAGGACGTCCCTTTATTCTTACCCCATTTGTGTTTGGCCCTCTCTGAAAGCAGGGGTCTCATCTCCATGAGCCGAGCTGCATAGATGTGAGCATACTGGCGACTGAAGCTCCGCTCCCCGAGTCTGTAGCGCTCTGTGCAGGGGCTGTAGTCTATTGTGGTCCTCTCAAACACCGGGCCCTGGTCCTCCGAGGCTGGGCGGCAGAGCAGAGAGGATCCCTCCCTCTGAGCACTCAGGTCAGAGAACATCACGCTCCTGAAAATAAGCTAATGTCAGAAAACTGGTTTTACATTCTGTCCATCATGCCGTTACATTGTGGGGATAAAAGTAGCAAGGAATGAACAGCTCGGTGCTTTAGTTTAAGAGACAACTTTACCTTATAAAATGGTTCTGACTTTAGCTTTGCCCGTCTAGAAAGTGATAATATTAGCACGTATTTCCCGACTTTTCTCCAGAAAACAAAATAGACGACCGTTCCCGCGAAATTACTGTTGCACGTCACTTTCTCGCGAGATGAGTGTTGTTCTTTTTCTTCTTCTTCTTATTGATTTTTATTGTGGGTTGGCAAAAAACGTTAGGTGAGCATTACCGCCACCAACTGGTATGGAGTGTGGATCAGGATGCAACTTAAAAAACAAAACAAAACAAAAAATAACAAAACTAAATACTTTCTATCAGTTTAGTTTTCTTAAGAAAGCTTATTAAATAACGCAAATATTCAGAAGAGGAGCAATATCCCAACATATCTGATATTTTTAACTGTAACTTATTCTTTAGAAGTCGATATTCTAATTTCTTTCTCTCCTCAGAGTACTTTGGACATAGCAACAAAACATGTTCTACTGTCTCTTCTTGAAAACAAAATTCACAGTTTCCTGATGGATGTCTTCCCATTATAAATAATGTACTGTTTAAGCCTGTATGACCAAAACGTAACCTGGATATGATATTTTCTTCTTTTCTACTTCTTCCTGTTCCCCTCATTACCCCAACTTTCCTTTGAATGCTATAAAGCCATCTACCAGTTCTTTCCTCCTCCCACTGCTTCTGCCATCTTTCCTTAACCTTTTGTTTTATAATAGATTGTATCTCCTCTTTACTAAATGGAATCAGTATCTCAATGTAACTGTTTTTTGAAGCTTGTTTTGCATATCTGTCTGCCAATTCATTTCCTATTACTCCTATATGAGATGGAACCCATGTAAAAATGACAATTAATCCCATGGCCTGAATTCTAAAAAGTATTAACTGAATCTCCAATAGAAGGTCTGGTCTACTATTGGACTGATTATTTTTAATTGAATATAACAATGAGCTTGAATCAGAACAAATTAAACTTCTTAAAGGACGAACCTCTTCAATCCAACTTAAAGCCAAAATAATTCCCATCATTTCCCCTGTAAACACTGATACGTCATCAGAAATCCTCTTACATTTTTTAATATTAAATTCTGGGACGATAAATGACACCCCATTGTTGCTACTTAGGCTTTTAGATGCATCTGTATACACTTGAACATAACCAAAATATTTATTTTCTATATATGATTGGACTGAGCAAGATTCTGAAAAATTTCCTTTTTCCCTCTTCTTCAACAATGATAAGTCTACAATGATTTCATTAAATAGAAATGGATGAACCAGTGACAGAGGAACTGTATCACTCATTTTTATGGATGATAACTGAAATTTTTTTAATATCACTTTCTATCTCCCAACCAACGGATTTTAAAGTTTTTTTCCCTTTTTCCCAACAAGGTTTTAAAATTTCTTGACATGGATGGTTTTCATAATGACCCTTTAAATAACTCCAGTAAGATAATCTTAACTGTAATCTTCTAAGGTAAAGTGGTATTTCCCCCATTTCAACTAACAAAGCTGAGATTGGAGTTGTTCTGATGGCTCCTGTACACAACCTCAAGGCCTGAAACTGAATAATATCTAATTTTTTAAGAAGTGTTTCTGATGCTGATCCAAATGCCAGGCTGCCATAATCTAATACAGATCTTATTAAACCCGTATATATTGATTTTAACGCTTTCCTCTCAGCGCCCCACTCTCTCCCCACCAAACACCTCATAACATTTAAAACTCTCTTACACTTATCCACTACTTTTTGAATATGACTACTCCAGGTCAGTTTTTCATCCATCCACAAACCCAAAAACTTAAACTCCTTTACTCTTTCTAAATCATGTTTATACAAATATAATTTTAAATCACTAGATACTTTCTTCCTAGTGAAAAATAAAGTCTTTGTCTTATCTATTGAAATTTTAAAACCCCAATTATATGACCACTCCTCGATACTATAAATTGCTTCTTGTAATTTCTTAACTATGAATTTCAAGTTCTTACCTCTCTTCCAGATTGCTCCATCATCAGCAAATAATGAACAACCCATCCCACTCTCCAACTTATCAAACATATCATTAATCATAATAGAGAAAAACAAAGGACTCACAATACTTCCTTGAGGTGTTCCATTTTCAACAAAATATTTTTCTAACAATTGTTGACCTATTCTTACTTGTATAGATCTATTATGTAATAAATCTTTTATCCAATTAAACATTGATCCTCTGACTCCCATTTTTCTTAATTTAATTAAAAACCTTTCTTTCCACATCATATCATAGGCTTTCTCTATGTCGAAGAAGACAGCCACCATACTCTCCTTATTAACTTGCCCTTTTCTGATTTCATGTTCTAGACACAAAACAGGGTCCATAGTACTTCTACCTTTTCTGAATCCACTCTGAAATTTTGACAAAAACCCCTTCTTCTCCACAAAATAACTCAGTCTTTCATTTATCATTCTTTCCATTATTTTGCATATATGTGATGTCAAAGCAATGGGCCTATAACTTGTAGGATTTGACTTCTCTTTCCCTGGCTTTAAAATTGGAACTATAATTGCTTCCTTCCATGCCACAGGTAAATAACCCTCTTCCCATATCTTATTAAAGAAATCTAATAATATCTTTTTAGATGAATTACTAAGTTTTTTAATCATAAAATAAGAGATATTATCTTTTCCTAGAGAAGAATTTTTTGTTTTCCTTAAAGAGTTGTTCAATTCAAATAATGAAAAGGAATTATTCAATAGATCATTATATTCTGTATCTACTTCTAATAGATTACTCTTTTCCTTATTTCTTCTATATTTAAGTTATTGCTACTATGTATTTCAACAAATTTCCTACCCAGCATATTTGCCTTGTCCTCATCATTTAGAGCCATTTCATCTCCATTCTTAAGAACTGGATAACTATATTCCCTTCTTAATCAACATTTTTAAAATTAAATTTTTCTATATTTCTATTAACAACTTTCTCTATTTCTAAACCGATTTCAATAACAATAGGATAATGATCACTTCCTAATGTTGATTCTTTTAAAACTTTCCAATTACTAATCCCAGCAAAATTTGCTGATACTAGAGTTAGATCTAGCGCTGATTCATTTCCATTTCTAATATCAATTCTTGTCCCTTCTCCATTATTAATACAGACCAATTGTTTCTTATCCATTATTTGTTCTACCACTTCTCCGTTTTCATCATTTTTATGACCCCATACAGTGCTAAAAGCATTAAAATCTCCCCAACAGATTAGACTTTTTCCTAGATTTTTAAACATTTCCTCTGCGAGATGAGTGTATTCTCGCGAGAAACTTTGTAACTTGTGCGACCTATACCTGGCAGAGATTCGGATTAACCCTTTAAAGGGGCACTCATTGAAATTCTTTGAAAATCCAAATTATAATGATTAATAGTGTTATTGGACTCCAGGACAATACCTTATTACCTTTGTAACATTCAAAAAATTTGATATTTTGATGGAAATAATTAATGTCAATGTAATAACAAGAAACGCCAACTTGCCCGAATATATTAAGAAAAATAACAAAAGTGCTTCTTTAAGAAATTAATGAAAAACACTCTGAGAGTGAAGGAAACATTGTTTTTGGTCCAACATAACCTTAGAGGCATTGATGCTGATACTGGCACTTACATTTTTTTAGTTTATAAACCTAAATATGATTATTAACTAGGCTTATTAACTTTTGAACTTTTCAATTAGCTTTTTTTTTTCTTTTCCTTCCCATCCAGCAAGCGAAATGTCTTCAAACTTGGAAAAAAAGTCCAGTGTATTGTTTTTTTTTGTGGAATGACTATGGCCTGGATGACTGATGATGGCTCTGGGGCTATGAGTTTGGTTTCAGCCCACAACTTATAAATATCCTGAAAACTATTCAAAAAGCTTATAGAAATTTCCTCTGTTGCTCCACATTTGGGAAATCCAGATGTGGTAGAGGATAAGCTAAAAGGCCTGATTCACACTTTAGAATACAATTAAATATATTTATTTTCTTGGTTCCACTGAAGGGAAGTTTATGTATATATATATATATATATATATATATATTTATATTAAGCTCTCAAAAACTGCATATCCAGATCTTATAAAATGTGAAACTAAATCGAATGAAATGAAAAATTGTACAAAAATTGAATGTAATAACTGAGCATAAAAACAACAGCAACAGTCCACTGTGCAAATAGCAGATAATATGTCACATTTCTCAAGCTTGTTAAGAACAGAAGGAAGGGTTTGTTACTTCTTTTTCTTTCATATCATGGCAGGTTGCAAACATAAAGCCACCCACCCTATTGGTGCGTAACAACAATAGCTCACACTATTTAGATTTTATCTATGAATTTTTGTTTTACGCAGATAAATACATGATAGGAGATACATAGGATGTAAAATAACATGGCTCATTCATGCATTTAGGATGCAATAGCCTTTAACCAATGTAGCTCTGCAAAGCAGCACTGTAAGTTTAAGAGCCATATTGCTATTTATATTTATTGAAAATAATTTTCTACTGGTCAAATGTAGGCCTAATATACATCTTTTAGAGAAGCTGAATTGTAGATTTCCGTTGATAAATTTCGATTAAAAACTGACAGAATTAAATGAATCAATTGTGTTTCTGTTTTTATTCCATTGGTGTTAGCTTTTAAATAATATATTTTTTATTGACTTTTACTATGTTTTTACATGATATTGGCCAAGCTAGTTAAAATCTAATACAGCAGAGGGGCAAATATATGCAAACTGCAATCAGCGTCGCTAAATATTCACTGTGCTGTTTTACTTCTTAAACCTTGTTTCGTAGATTATTTGCAGGCTTTGTTAAATTTTGCTTTCTGGTTGTTTTATCGTCAACAGTTAACTGATTTCTAAATTCTATTTCAGAATAGTATGAGAAAAAAGTCAGACTTCTGACTTTACTCTCAGAATACCGACTTTAATCTCAGAATTCTGACTTTATTGTCAAAAATCCTGACAGCTAATAAACATGTTAGCATCAAGCCGTAGCTATGTCTGTTTTAGAGATTAGCTGTATTTGACCTTCTGCTCCTCCATTAATGAAAAATCGTCACCTCGGGCCCCTTGGGCATATAAGCAGTTGCCTAATTCCGTCATTTTCCCACTAATGAGTCACTGGCACTCTCAAACAATTCAAATCTTTGTCAGTGAGGCTGAGTGCATCTACATTAAGATCCAAAATACTGAGATTAAAGTCAGAATTCTGAGATTAAAGTCATAATTTAGACTTTTTCCCATATTAAACTGAAATAACATTTAAAAAATCTTAAAACTTTTTTATTTTATTTTTTCAGTGGCCCTAATCCTCTACCTTATTTTGTAAACTGTCTTTGCTTTACAAAACTTACCTAAAATTTGAATCAAAGCAACGTCGCAGAAATGTGACGTAAGGACGTTAAACGTACATGTCGCAGATCGCTTAGGTCACAATAGCGTCGCCATTTTTGCAGCTCTTTGTGCGCCTCCGTCTGCTAAATTTCCCCCTGTTTTTAGCACGTTTTACGTCGACTTTTGATTCACATCTGTTGACAAAATATGCAAGGATACAGAGGCCACCAACAGAACCATGGACCCAACCGTTCGGGGAACCAACAAAAGGGCGAAGGGCCTAACAGCAACGGGCAGCAGCCGGAGCAAAGGGACAAGACAAACCCCAACGCGGCCTTAACGCTGGACATGCAGAGCTTCAGGAAGCCTGGAGAGAAAACCTTCACCCAGAGGAGCAGGCTGTTCGTGGGAAACCTGCCCACCGGAATCACCGAGGATGACCTGGCTCAGCTGTTTTCTAAGTACGGCAGCGCCAGTGAGATCTTCGTGAACAAGGAGAGAGGTTTCGGCTTCATCCGACTGGAGAACAGGATCATCGCGGAGATCGCCAGAGCGGAGCTGGATGATTTCTCATTCAGAGGCAGACCTATCCGGGTGAGGTTCGCCACACACGGCGCCTCTTTGTCCGTGAAAAATCTGCCCGAATTTGTGTCCAACGAGCTCCTGGAGGAGGCCTTTTCCGTCTTCGGCCAGATAGAGAGAGCTGTAGTGATTGTGGATGACCGAGGGAGGCCCACAGGGAAAGGCATCGTTGAGTTCACCGGGAAGCCAGCAGCCAGAAAAGCTTTGGATAAATGCAATGATAGCGCCTACCTCCTCACAGCTTTCCCCCGGCCAATCACCGTGGAGCCCATGGAGCAGTTCGACGAGGACGAGGGGCTGCCGGAGAAGCTGGTCAACAAGAACCAGCAGTATCACAAGGAGCGAGAGCAGCCTCCCCGGTTCGCCCAGCCTGGATCGTTTGAATACGAATACGCCATGCGCTGGAAGGCCCTGATGGAGATGGAGAAACAGCAGTACGACATGGTGGACCGCAACATGAAGGAGGCGCAGGAGAAGCTGGAGTCCGAGATGGAGGCAGCCAGACACGAGCACCAGGTGATGCTGATGAGGCAGGACCTGCTGAGGAGACAAGAGGAGCTGCGCAGGATGGAGGAGCTCCACAACCAGGAGGTGCAGAAGAGGAAGCAGGCTGAGCTGCGACAGGAGGAGGAGCGCCGGAGGAGAGAGGAGGAGATGAGGCTGCGCAACGAGGAGCTGATGAAGAGGCAGCAGGAGGGCTTCAGAGGAGGCTTCTCTGACAACAGGGAGCAGGAGATGAGGATGCACATGGGAGGTCACGGCATGCCCATGAACAGAAATTCCCTGGGTGGGAGTTCAGGAGCTGCAGGTGCTGCTGGCATGGCTGCTGAGAGTTCTCCTTTGATGGCTGGGCCAGGGGGCAGCAGCCTGCCTGTGGGGGGCCAGGGTGGCTTCCCTAGAGGGATGCCTGTGCCTGGGCCTGGAGACTATAACAAGCAGCGCAGATTTTGAATTGCATGTCTGTATTTTGTTTCCACATTTTCAGCTCACTGTATGTTAAGGTTTAAGGCAATGGATATGACCCTTAAACTTTTAAAACCCTTTGTTTATTTGTACTTTTGGTATTTTTGAGTACTAATGCGTCGTTCCAAATGAGCCATGTATTTTACTTCTTTTTTGTTAGGAATAGATAATTTGGATTTGTTTGAGTCTATGTTACATTTTCTGTAATAAATTCATCATTCCCTTGAAAAAAAAATGAAGTGTATCAGTTCAGGATAGAGGTTAGCACCGGTCAGGCTGCGGATACGCTTGGTGATGTCTGCTGACAAAATCAAACATACGAGGAAGAAAACTGTACTGCACATTTTTGGATGCCGCGTAGTTTTAAATCCAACAGAAACTGAATTATCATTGTTAAGCGCATCATTCACATTTAATGCATTAAAACAAATGTCCCTGTAGTTTATTTGATTTGTTATTAAATGCAAAAAATGTGTCTAAAAGCTGCAGGTTTAAAAGTGTGAATTCTTGATGCATCAAATATCAATTTGTTTCTTATCTTTGACAAGCGTAAGTAGTGAATATTAGGTAATTGTGGATGATTGGGGATTTTCTACATAAAATATCTCATGGGCCAGTCTGGGAGTCTGGTGATTTAACTTTTAATAATGGTATTAAAAAATAAAAGAAATGCAAATTGTTTTTATTTCTTTCAACAGAAAAGCAAACAAATGGTCCCACTGCTCCTTAAATATTAAAACTTGATTAATTGTTGCCTGGATTGATTCTTTTTCATACAAAAATATAAAAGATTTAGGTTTAACATTTACCTATTTTAGCATCGGTTCTAAACTGAAAAAGGTATACGTTTCCCTTTAGCCTCTGATAAGCTGGACGCAGGGACCAGATGGAGGAGCTGAGCTGGAACATTCCTCACCTTAAATTGTAAGAATGAAACATAACCTTGGCGTACCTTAATTCCTACAGCTGAGGCCTTATTGGCAGAGGTGAAAGCTAAAAAGAAACTCATCTAAAGAATGAGGAGACAAAAAACATTTTATTAGGTTTTAATTGGAATGCACAGGTGACAGTTTGAATATTAAGTAGAATCTCTTTATTATTTTATATAAAGTGTAATCCTACATACTGAAGTACATTCAAACTTTTATGCAAACAATCATTTGAATCTGCTTAGATGGACTCAGTGACCCAGAACCTCCGAGCTGGTTTATTTATGATTAAGGTGCCAATGGTCACAGAGAGGAAGGAAAATTATAATGATGGAGAAAAAAGAATTAGATAAAAACTTGGTTCTTTGCAAATGAAATAATTGCAAAATTGAACTATAAAATTAAAAAAAAATTTCCTAACATCTCAATTGTACAGTTACCTCTTTCAGATTTCTAGACAAATTTTCTCCGGTATATCATGATTTAATGCTAATGTACAGTATATACCAGAGGTGTATTACCTTCATAGCCCAAAGAGCCGCTTTGTCCTTAGTCTAAATAAAATGCTTAGAGCCATAAATTTTCTTTTAAAAGTCTTTTAGCTTTAAAAATCAAATCTTTTTTTTTCACATCAGAGGATACATACATTTTTTTCTATGGGATTTTTTTATATCTGGCATGGTTAGAACAAGTATTTATTTGTAAATGGCTGTTTTTCTTGTTTTTTTTCCTAAAAAAAACTATAATTGAAACATTAAAGGTGTGTTGAGATCTGGTTTAAATAGGATTTGGCATGTCAGGCTTTTTAGTGATTGGCCATAAAATCTGCTATTGGTACAACCCCAATCAAAAACTTCATAAGTACCTTAAGGGCCATTCTCATGCTTACATTCAAAGTAGTTTTTCAGTAAAAAAAAAAAAAAGGTTAAAAACTTCCGTATTTTAAAAACATGAACTGAATCTGTAGTTATTAGACCCCACAACAATGCTTATTGCAGAAAATCAGTCATGGTTCTTAATCAGTTTCCAGACTCAAAATGTGACTTTTTTTTTTTTTTTGGAAACTTACCAAATGGGATAGAAATAAAAATAAACAGCTAACTCTTGATTTGCACTGAGTTATTAAGAATTTTGTCCAAAAGAAAAACAAACATTGAATAAAGAATGAGTTCCTTAAATCTTTTGCAGGAACTAATAATAATGTTTGGTTATTTTCCCAGGTTTTTATTGTCATTACACTCACAAGTACAGCACAACAAAATCAACTCTCTACATTTAACTCTCCCCATGGGGAGCAGTGGGCTGCCATTGCGCGGCGCTCGGGGATCAGTGTGGGGTTAGAGGTCTTTGCTCAGAGTGGCAGTCTGTGGGAGTGGGGCTCTAACTCAGAACTCTGACATCAAAGCTCTATGCCCTAATCACAAAGTCGCCACCCCCCACACTAACTAACCGCCCACTAAATTATAAATATCTCAATTTTTATGGAGTATAGATATAAATCATCTATAAAGCAATTGCTGCCATCAAACATCTGAAAGAGTCACGGTGTGGAAACTGAAAGAGTGTAACCACTCCCTCTCACTGAGGTGATGAGATCGGAACGCCTTGTCTGACTAGAGTCTGGTTTCCTGAGCAGATGAGCTGCTTCATCAGCTAACATTAGCTTTTTAATGTGCAGTTTAAAATACCAGCAGGTGACAAAAATCCCCCTGGATAGGTGTTTAAACAAATTAAGCTAAAGTCTAGCTGCTTTAGATTTGTTTCTTTGCACATTTTTCAACATCTGCTCCTGTTTTTTTTTATTTAATTTAATTCAGTAATTTAAACGGGGAAGAAGGCAAAGCCTTACGGGAAGCTCCACAGATAAAGTAAAGCCATTTAATGTCCGCAATTCTGTTTGTATTACAGCACGATAAACCGAAGTAGAGATAATACGAATACGATTTATGACAGAGAATTTCAAGGAGTATAAGTGGCTTAGATATGAACGATGTTTAAGTGTGACATTTCAAAATACAAACCCATCCTTCATCTACTGTTTGCCCATCAGATGCCTATCTCCAGCAGCATATATATATATATATATATATATATATATATATATATATATATATATATATATATATATATATATATATATATATATATATATATATATATATATATATATATATATATGTATATGTATATATATATATATATATATATATATATATATATATATATATATATATATATATATATATATATATATATATATATATATATATGTATATATATATATATATATGTATATATATATATATATATATAGACACACCATTTGTCAAATCTGGACTTGCGGAACTCAGAGAAAATCATCATGTGTTTAAATAGAAACTCTTAGATGAATTCTAGACCTGGATTCAAACCCAAGAACCTCTTGCTGCAAGGCAACAGTGCTTCAATCTGCGCCACCATGGAGCCAGATTAACAAATTGCAGCCATCACTACAAAAACAGCATCAAAAACATATTCTGTGTCTTTAGTTACAGATAAAAAAAATTAACTGCAAAATAAGTGTTTTTCTTACTTTTCTCTTCAAAAACAAAAATCTAGATACAGTTTGGGATAATTGTAAAACCCATTTATTACGTCCATACAATAGTGTTATATGGTTAGGGATGTTATTCTAACTGATAATGAAGATGGGGCTAACAACCCCTGTTATCTAAGTCCAAGGAGTCAGATTGCTTTGTGATAAAGCCTAAAGAGCGCTGTGGAAAAAAAAACCGATAAGGAAGAGACAGTAAAGAGGGGAAAATGTTATCTAGATGTAACATCTGTGAACTCAAAAACAATTGAAAAATTTTTTTGAGATACACTGAACCCTGAAGGACAGAAGACCCGATTTTCCTACTGCTCACATTGTCTAAGGTTCAAATATCTGCTTATAAAACCAATGCAGATGAACTAACCATTAAAATAGATCATTTTGAATTCACATTTATTTCAGTTTAACTACGAACATATAAGATGTGCATTTTTATTTTAGAATGGATTTATTTTTTTAAAGTAGACTAACACAGTCATCCCTTACTGCATTTTTCATGAGAAATATACAGTATTATTTAAAATATATCCAGTATGTGAAAGTTCTGCCTTCAATGTAAAAGTATATTTCTACACTATAAACTTTAGCTGTTTTGTTTACACTTAATTTATTTTTCAAACGTTTTTAATGTGTATCACAAATCACAAAAACTTATTTCTTTCAAGTAAATGTTATTTTTTGTCATTATAATTATTACAGACCCTACAGAAATAATTATATACATTTTTACCCTTTTTCTGTCATTCCTACTACTTCAAATTGTAGTTGCCATGAATAATACAAATAGAATAACTTTTTGCAGAGGATAAAATAATGTGCCTGAACTGCTTAAAGCCACATTATGTTGATGATTTTTTTTATTTTTTGTAATCTTGATTAGTTTAAGAGCCCTCTGGGTTAAAAAGATGAAGTTTAATTAGTTCAGACAAAACAGAAATTTGAAGTCCAGGTCCTACCAGCGACATGAAGCTTTAAGGACAGATTGAACATGTTAAACAAGGGTGTTTTTTTATGCCATTGTTGTCAAATTATAAGATAAAGTTGTCCTGTATTCAGATTTTTATTCAATTATTCAATTCAAGTAATGAAAGGATTACCTGAGAGGGAACTGCTGGTATTTCTATTCATCTAGAGTTAATGTTGAACCTTTTATTAACAGCTTTTATTACACGTATGATTAAGACTTGTGAAAACAAATAGCAACATGTTTTATGAATAGTTTGAAACAAAATAAATTATAGCATTCTCCACGCTGGCTAGCATCTCTGAAAAAATCTGCAAAAAGGCCTTTAATGAACACAATTGTCATCTCACCTAGAAAATAAGTCATCTGTTTCCCAGGAATATACAACTGCATTCAATAAATGAGAACATCTGTTCAGTCGTAGCTTATCCATCCCCATCATCACCCTTAAGCAAATAAATATCGCTAATAAAAGAATATCTTTCATTGATCTGATTTAATATTAAAATAATAAATATTTTGCTTTCATTAAATGTAAATGAAATATCATTTTAAGGAACGGAAATAAAAGCTTGCAAATATCAGCTGGTGTGAAATGTATGAAGTTACTGATATAGATAATAATATTGTACTTTATTTAATGGTTTTGTATAGGAGGTGACTCAGGTCTTAATTTCTCTAATAGGAAATACATGGAAACATCATTCAAGCAAGGTGCAGCTAAACTCTAAATATCTGCAGGGAAATAATTTTAGAGTTAAAAATGTTTTTTTTTTATGGTGCACAAATATAAAAGAGCAGGAAAGTCTTATTTTATATGAATGAATCATCTCCATTTGTGAAGAAGTTGGTAGAAATCTAAATTTTGCATTAGGCGTCTTTTTCTTTCTTCTTTTTTTTGCAAATCATTTTTCTCTCTAATGTAGCTGTAGCTTGTTATAGTGCTGTTAGGTTTTACATAAAGGATAGATATTAAGCTAATTTAGCAAACACACCATTGCTGCACAAGGTCAGTTGATGCCATGTTTGCTTTCAGGAAGAGCAAAGTAGTTAATATAAAACATTGTTTAGACCAGATGTGGGCAGAAAGATGACAATCTCAGATAGTGAGGACTTAGAACATGCTGACAATCTGCCTTCTGTCTATCGCTAGTTTATCTGGTCGTTTGCAGACTGATCAGATTCATGCTCCTGCTTTTTTTTTTATTATTGAAGTAATAAGAACACATTTTACTGGAAATTATCGTTTTATAAAATATTCTGGATAGCGGAATAAGTGTCAGAGTTTCTCCATTTCTAGCACTCATATACTTATGGTTAAATATTTAAATGTGTAAGAATGAAATGCTAAAGTTAGCTCGTACTGTGTCAAATTTGCAAATCCTAAATGTCATTGTTTTCACATTGATTATTTATTTTGGTTACCATTAATTGAAATCTTACACAAATGACGTACTTTTAATGGATCATGGATCCATCTGTTGCTGCCAGATTAGCAACCAAATTGAAAAAATAATGTTCTTAATTACTTTCACATCTTTTTAATTAATTAAACATCTCATATTATCAAAGATAGATTTCATTGTCAGTTCATGTTCGATTATTTTTTGAAACTGGAGAAAGATATATATATATATATATATATATATATATATATATATATATATATATATATATATATATATATATATATATATATATATATATATATATATATATATCTTTTATATATATATTGAATTGTCGTTGTTTCGTTTTTTTAATTGATCATTGTAATCATGACTGGTAGATCTTTTTATATATATATATATATATATATATATATATATATATATATATATATATATATATACGTAGATATATATATATATATATACGTATATATATATATATATATCTACGTAGATATATATATATATATATATATATATATATATATATATATATATATAAAAAGATCTACCAGTCATGATTACAATGATCAATTAAAAAAACGAAACAACGACAATTCAATCCTTAAAAAAAGAGTGAATTCTAAAGCATTGGAAGATAAATGCCAAAATCAGCTTCTTTATATCTCATTAAAAGACAATATACAAATAAAGTCACGTTAAAACCGGATCTGAACGCAACAATAAGTGGATCAGCATGAGACGGCAGTTAAGACCCATCGTTCGACGCTTTGAAATCTGCTCTCTATGAAATAGTATATTGAGCATATTTATCTGTACCTGCAACTTATCAAAGATTGATAAACCAGAACATCTGGCCCAATTCTTCTTCATATCTCCCCATTTGCTTTTATAATAAAATTTCACCATCACCTTTGGCCTGGTTATGCAGCCAGTCCTGTGGTGTAACTGCAAAGTCTGGACTGTCTCCCACTATCACCGCACTAACCTTGACATAAAGTGATAATATAATTAATCACAAGGTTGATCTTAAATAGGAGATATGAGTCAGGAAAGGATTTATCAGCTTGTCTGCGCGCAGGGTGGCCACCCAGTATTGACAACATGTAGAATGAACTATGAACAAACAAAGGGCATTTAGAGAAACTAGACAGAACATGTTTTATTAGAAAGAATGACGTGCACTTCAAGGTCATGTTTAAACTACATCCTTACTGCACCTGCTGTGTTCAAAGTGTGCAAAAATGTTTTATTATTCTGACTTTTTTACAGAACAGCTTCTCTTTTAGATCAGTTCGGTTTGCCAAAAATTCTTTAAAATATATTTATATCATATATTTATTGATACCCTGTGCAATTACCTGTTTCACTATATTTGACACCCAGTGCACTAATTATATATATGAATTTAAATATCCATCTATATAAATGCCCATGTAAACACCCTGTGCAATAACACTGTATATATATCCTACTATAAAAAAAAAAAAAACTCATTTGTGGATGCACTGTATATACTATATATTTCACACAACCTTTTTCTTCCTTGTGGCACATTCTTCTTGTTTGATTATTTGAGCTGATGTAAGGACATCAATAAAGTCAATCAATCAATCAATCAATAAAAATAAATTAAGTGTCCTTCCTCTCTAAATTACAGAATAATAAAGATTAGATTGCTTTCATTATTGTGAAGTAAAATGAGCACTGAGAGTTGATATGCAAAGAAGAAAAAGTTTTATTTTACTCTGCAGAGGAGAACGACACAAACAGTGGACCTGTTAGTGTGGCTCTGGTGGGGTAGTTTCCCACCCCTGCATATAAAGATAATTCTCAAACACAAACATTGGATCTTAACAAGAGAAACAACTTTGAGTTCATTAAAGTCATACATTTTTCACTAGTCAGATAAAAACATTTCAAAGCAGCTTTCTCTTCCATTCATGGCATTGGGGAGTCTTAAACACCTGGAAGGGCATGTATCTATATTTCACCCTTGTCTAGAGTTAGGAACGGAAAATTCGCAACCGCTCTCCGTCATCTCACTACCAACTCCCCACATAGCTTCCACCAACATAGAAAGGTTCAAGGTAACTTATAATTGGCTGAGAAAAGGCTCAGTCTAATCTCATCTCTTATATTAGTCAAATTCAGAAGTTCCTACTCTAGCCTTTACTATTTATCAGGACTACATGGAAAAGTGCATGAGTTGTGTCAAAGACATGAAGCAGTAATCAGAACTGTTGCTCTGCAGCATTGTTGTTCTGAGCCACTGATATGGGGGCTTCTGCTTAGAATTTCCATATTCTGATTATGAAAGGAGCACATTTATAGGCAAAGGATGGATGGGTTCACGTGAAATTTGGTATCTATTCACACTGCAAAAAATGGAAATCTAAGAAAGTTATTCTTTTCTTAAAATAAGTGCATGTTTTCTCAAATTGAGGACGAAAGTGAGACACTATGCCAATGGAACAAGACAATTTACATTTAAAATAAGAAAAAAACTATTGCATTGTCTTATTTCAAGTTCATATTAACTAATTATCTTATTTTTAGACTAAAGATACTAATTTCATTGGCAAATCATCTTATTTACCTACTCAAATTAAGGGTAAATACACCTAATTTAAAAATTGTTTACTTTTTTTAGATAGTTTTTGCAGTGTAGGTATTTAGGTTTGTTCCTTTCTTCAGACAGAAATTGTCAGGTTTGTACTCACTGGGCTTCCCCACACAGCATTTCAACTCTACTCACAAAGAATTCTCAGAATCTAAGATTAAAACATTATTTTGGACACTTAAAAAGATTCACTTTGTTGTTCTTAAGCCATTTTGTAACCATTTTGTCATTTAGATTCAGGTCTTTGTTTTATTAGAGGAACCATTTGCCTGGCAGATTTTTGATTCATGTAGAATTCTTTTCTGATGATACCTTTTGTTTGCTTAAGTTCACCAGTCCCTCCAGCAACAAAACACCCACACAACAACATGATGCTGCAAACCCTCTGCTATTTACATGTGTTTCAATATTTGCAAGCTTCCCTCCCTCCCTCTCAAGACAAATGAAATCCTTAAAGAATTATGTTTGTCTGAATCAGAACTACAGGACATGCTTCTGGTATTAAAGGATTTGTTTTGCTAATTTTGAAATATTGGCTCCTTCTTTACTAAGTGGCTTTTCAGCCCATGCTTAATATTAAGCACCAAAACAGGTTCATCTCTGGAACAGCCAACTTGTAAAAGTGCTGCTAATATTTTCCTGTTATCTTGCCCTTTTTTTCATAACGTCACAAAATGAGTAGAATTTTTAAGGCGTTGTCTTTGTTTACATTTGCAGGTGTGTCTTAATCTAATCCAGATTTTTAAAACCTGCCTTCCTGGATCAGATTAGGTAAAACTTTTTAAAATTAGCCATAACTTTACCACTATATGGGCTTTTCTAAATTGTTGGAGGACACAGCAATATATTAAAAAAAGCTCACTGAATCTAAGATTAAAACATTATTTTGGACACTTGAAAAGTGTCCAAAGTGTCCTTTGTTTTTCTTAAGCCATCTTGTAGCTATTTGGTCATTAAGATTCAGGTCTTTGTTTTATTAGAGGAACCACAGCAATATATATATTAAAAAAAAGCTCTTTCTTGCACATTATTCTGGAATAAAAAGACTGGGTCTGACCTAAAACAGGAAGGATTTGTATTATTTTTTTTTTAAGAGAAAGTGAGGAAATAAAATTGTGTTTATCTGTGTTTATAATATTGATTTCAATATATCTGGATTCAGCTTCAGGTTGCATTTAACCATCAAACAGAGCTGAGCTTTGCCAGGTGAAAACATATTTATAATGGAAGAAGGATCTACTATAAACAGAAACATGATAAGTCAGAGACTGGCAGTGACAGGCTGAGAAAACTCATGCAGAACCTGGGCGAGGCTGTTTTGTTTTGGGTTTCCCTAAATAATTCCTGCAAACTGCTTTACTGTAAGTAACCCAGGCAACCAACTCCACATTGCCCCAAAGTTAATAATCTAATAGAAATATTGATCCTTTATCACCCTGATTGGTTGTCTGTAAAATCCCCAGATAAGAGGGCTGTGACACTGCAGTACTGGTGACGTTGGTCAAAAGTCAGGATGTTTTTTTCTTCTTCTCAACACAGTTAGATGAACAGATAACAGCAGAGCAAGGACAGCCACAGAAGTCCATCCACTGTCTTTGCCAGATGTGTCTCCTAAAAGGACAGTGCTGATAGTTAAACACTCCAGCCTCCCGAAAGACAGGATACTGATTCAGGTGCTGCAGAAACTCTCCAGGAATAATGTTTCATGCTGTAATCCTCGTCGCATTTCTGGCCTGTCTGGTGAGTAATGGTTTGCGTTTCCGCTGGGAAACATGTACCTGGTAAATGTTTGCTTCTCTGTTAACCACTGTTCTGATAATGAAAATTTTTTCTGGATTGCAAACTTTGAAAAGTTCAGCGAGAGACCAAAAGTGGAATAATCACAGCATAGCACCATTTAATAATACATTTATTCTGAAAAAATAACTCAATTCTTATTATATGTAACTGCCATTTTTAATAAGCCAGTCTATACTGTTACAAATATACTGTTTAAAGTAGCATTGTTATTTTGGTTTTCTGTACAGATTAAAAAAAATTAACAGAGCCTTGTTATTAATATATAATATTTTAATGTCTACTAAGAGAAAATCCCTTGTTGTATTAGGAATTATATTACGTATTCGACTGATTTAGAGAGAAAATAGAACACATGAGAAACAAAGCACAGAATATATCATTTATATTGGTTATTCATTCTCCAGATGCAAAGTATTTATATTGTAAAAACACTGTACAGTACAGTATTTTATGTTTATGTTCTTAACTCTTATTCTGTTATTTTTGTACACTTTTTTAAAGTTCACATTTGTGTGAACGCTTTTGCTGTAATCTTTTGCTGCTGTAACACCACAATTTCCCCATTGTGGCATAATAAAGGGATTTTCTATTCTATCATGGGATAAAACATATTATAAGATACAAAACTTAAAGTGAAGCATTCTGAAAACACCCAATAAATGTGCATAACTTCCAGAAGTCTGCATTTTGAAATAGCTGGAAAGTCTTTTAACATTTTGTATTTTCTGCTTATTAAGCACCAACGTTTTAACAGGTTTGTCCCGCTATAATAAATTATTCTTTAAGCATTAACTGAGGTACACTAGTGGGTGTGTTTTTAGAGATTTCGTGTGAGGCAAAAGAAAAAGCAAAAAAGAAAGATACAAACAAAATCAGCAGGGGACTGTGGTCTATATAGGTATAAAGAAATTAATCTATTCAAAAATTATATGCAAGTATCCTATAGGCAGTATCAGGATTTTAAATGATCATAATATTCAGGAATGGATGGGTTCGAATGTTTTAGTATAAAATGTGCAAACCTACAGAACCACGAACAGCATTACTTTTTATGAAGGTGTTGGCTAAAAGGAGCCTTATACTGTGGTCTTAAATTGATTACATTTTAGCTACCATGAGCTCTAGTTCGATTCTAAGAAGAAAAAAAGGAGAAAGAGAGGCAAAAAACCCTTCCAACTGTGAAGCACGGGGATGGTGGCATTATGGTTTGTGTTGGGTTTCCTACAGGAGGACCAGCACACCGCTAGAAAAAGACAGCTTTATGGTAAAAACATTATATGAAAATCTTGTAGCGTCAATGAATGACGTCAAGCAGGAATTGAAAGTACAGGTACTAATGTGTCTTCGGAGGAAGAGGTTGGTAGTAACTGGTTACAGCTTCTCAGTTATGGAGGTGTAAAAGTACACACATTTTTACTTGAGTAAAAGTACAGATAGCAGTGTAAAGGAAGACTAGTAAAAGTAAAGTTATCGAATGAACTCCTTTAGTTAGGTAATAAGTACACCCTAAATTATACTTAAATACTTAAGTAAAGTAGTTTTTGTTTTTAAAAATAGCTTTTAAAAGCTTCCAAAAAATATTTTTACAGAAAATTGATTGATTTTCCTCTATTTCTCACTGTGTTGGTAAAGAGAGCATAAAAAAAATTACACTAACTCTGTGCAGTTTTTTTCCAAATTAAAATTTCAGAGAGGATAATATAAATTCTTCTGTGTAGTTGATTAGATTTTACAGCTCTAGAATTCACAGCATTAAAGATGCACATATCATTGAATCGAAGTTGAAGTTGAAGCATAATCAACATGTGAAGGAGGAATGGATGGGGAATGTCTTGGGTCTCCAAATCTGATCCGTCATCTACAGTGTTTCCCAGCCTTCCGTTTACATCCATGTTGCTTTCAGTTCTATCTGCGTTCGATTAACATACTGGGCTCTGACTGGACAGATTCTCTTTGTGGATTTTCTTGTTTCATTACAGCTGTTAAATCATTGTCAGTATGTTTAGAAGTAATGAGAGTTTTGAGAAGTAAGTTATAGAAAGTGTGGATATTTGTGTTCAAATTAGGGTAGTAGAAGTAAAAAGTATTCAGAAAATATATATATATATAAATATATATATATACATGTGCAGACATCTGCACATGTTGATGGATGGACTCAAATGTTCTCACCTTCTCCACAGGTGTCCTCACAGGGCCCACCCAGAGAGGGTTACTGTGCCTTCTATGAGGAGTGTGGTCGTAACCCAACTGTGGACGGTAGCCTGATTCCTCCCATTGTTCCATGTCTCAATTACAGCGCAGCCCGACACCTTACAGGAGAGCATTACAAAAGGCTCAAAGAGGTTTGTTACTTACCTGGGTTAAACAAGCTTTAGCACGTTGGGACTGTCTGGCATGCAAATGATTAAAAAACTCTCCTTGCTGCAGGTGTGCCCCATGTTAGACAAAGGAGAAGGCAACACATATGCCTGCTGCTCCCTGGGACAACTCTCCTCTCTGGAAAATAGTTTGAGTCTTTCCAAAAACCTGCTGGTACGCTGCCCATCCTGTGCTGAGAACTTTGCCCACCTGCACTGTATCACTACCTGCAGCCCCAACCAGACTCAGACCTTAAATGTCACAAAGGTTATGAATGTAACGTATCTGAATGCGACGAGGGAGGCAGTGGTGGCCTACCAGGCATATATCAGCAGCGAGTTCTCAGAAGGTGCATTTAATTCTTGCAGAAATGTCAGGATTCCATCCACAGGAGGTTTTGCCATAGCCACCATGTGTGGTCGTTATGGATCGAAGCTGTGCACAGCCCAGCGTTGGTACGATTTCCAGGGGGACACCAGCAATGGTCTGGCGCCATTGGACATTGACTTTCGGCTGATAGCGAACAATGACACTTCCGGAGTACCAGAGGGGATTATTCCTTACAGTGGGCATGCTATTGGGTGTAATGAGATTACAACAACAGGCGAGGAAGCCTGCTCCTGCCAGGACTGCCTAGAGTCATGCCCTCCTGTGCCACCCCCACCTCCACTTCCTGAACCTTTCATGCTGCTAAGTATGGATGGATATCTGCTGATATGTATAATCTTATTCTGTCTTCTGATGTTAGCCTTTTTGTTTTACCTCATTGTGTCTTGCTACGTGGAATATCAAAACAAGAAACACTATCAGACATCTAAATTAAATAAAAAAATCAAGGATGAAAACAGTAATGAAGTGGGTGAGCGCATCATCGACCCATCAGAGGTGACATGTCTAGAGAAAAATAGTTTTGCAGCTCAAGCTTTTATGAGTCGTCAGTTTCAACGTTGGGGAACCTTAATGGCTTCTTATCCCCTCATTGTAAGTAGGTCTTAAAAAATCTAAACCTGTAGATAGAGAACCAAAAAAAAAAAAATGTGTCAGACAAATATTTTTTCATCCTCATTCAAGGTTATCTTGGTGGCAGCCATCATTGTGGCTGTTTTCGCTGTTGGCCTCAAGTCAATCCGGCTCACCACTGATCCGGTTGAGCTGTGGTCTGCTCCCAACAGCAGGGCCCGCCAGGAGAAGGACTTCCATGACGAAAACTTTACTCCCTTCTTCAGGACTAACCAGCTCATCCTGACAGCACCAGGAAGAACAGGTCACGTTTATGATTCACTGCTGTTTGGGCCGCAGAACTTCAGTGGGCTTATATCCAAAGATCTCATCATTGAGCTGCTGAATCTCCAGAGAAAAATACAGGTAACATGTCAGTCGTAACATACAGCAGTGCTTGAAAGTTTACATGCCATTCCATTTACTAGTGAAATAAGATCAAATTGACAAAAGTAATAATAAAATAAATATAAAAAACATTGAATTCATGACATTATTTTGGAATATATATATATATATGTTTAGCCAGACTTCTGCACCTGTTGACAGGTCGGTTGGTTTACTGTTCGTGAGCAAGGAACTTTAATTTCTCTGAGACAGTTTTTCTTAGACTTATTTTATTTTAAATAAAAACTCAAAATCAATATTTTCATTTACTGGATTATTATTTAGTACATTTTTATATATTGGATAAATAAACACAAAACTTTTCAGTTTTGTGTTTCTTGAATTACTAGTGTGAATATATCATTTTCTTTAATAGGAGGGTATGTTAACTTTCAAGCATAATTGTAATTGAGGCATTTTTGTAATCTAATAGATGTCACTGTATCTCACAGTTGCACCTTTTATTTCCTTTTTGCATTGCTCTAGGATATTCAGTTCTGGTCAGATGATTTGAACCGAAATGCGTCCCTGAAGGACGTGTGTTACGCGCCACTAAACCCATCTAATCCTTCCCTTACTGACTGTGCAGTAAACAGCCTGCCACAGTACTTCCAGAACAGTCTGGAGAACATTAATGCTAAAGTAAATATGACTGAGCTCGGAGTGACCAAGGAGGTAGACTGGAGGGACCATCTAATCTACTGCCTTAAGTATGTATTAATGTAAGCAATTGTGATGTAAAGGTCCCTCAAAAAGCTAAAATGTTTAAACTTTCCCCTCTTCCGCCTCTTCTCAAGCTCCCCGCTCTCCTTCAAAGATATCACAGATTTAGGAATGAGCTGTATGGCTGATTATGGAGCTCCAGTATTTCCATTTCTAGCAGTGGGAGGCTATGAAGGTGAGTGTCATTATGTTTGAATGGATTAAATTAGTAAAGCACAAAAAAATAAAAAATAAACGCTCAACTTATTGGAAAATTTAATTAATTCAGTTTATTTGTAGAATGCCAATTCATAACAAATGGGTTCTCAAGTAAATTTAACCAAATCATACAGACAAATTGGTTAAAATGTTTTTTTCTGTTAGCACCAGAAGGCCTGCAGTCTGGGAGAGAAGAGCTCTGTTGGAAATACAGGTGCTGGTCATAAAATTAGAATATCATGAAAAAGTAGATTGATTTCAGTAATTCCATTTAAAAAGTGAAACTTGTATATTATATTCATACATTACATACAAACTCATATATTTCAGATGTTTATTTTGTTTAATTTTGATGATTACAAATGACAACAAATGAAAATCTCAAATTCATCATATCAGAAAATTAGAATATTACTGAAGACCAATAAAAACAAAGGATTTATAGAAATGTTGGCCAACTGAAAAGTATGAACATGAAAAGTATGAGCATGTACAGCACTCAGTATTTAGTTGGGCCTCCTTTGGCCTGTATTACTGCAGCAATGCGGCGTGGCATGGAGTCGATCAGTCTGTGGCACTGCTCAGGTGTTATGATAGCCCAGGTTGCTCTAATAGTGGCTTTTAGCTCTTCTGAATTGTTGGGTCTGGTGTATTGCATCTTCTTCTTCACAATACCCCATAGATTTTCTATGGGGTTAAGGTCAGGAGAGTTTGCTGGCCAATTAAGAACAGGGATACCATGGTCCTTCAACCAGGTACTGGTAGCTTTGGCACTGTGTGCAGGTGCCAAGTCCTGTTGGAAAATGAAATCTGCATCTCCAAAAAGTTGGTCAGCTGCAGGAAGCATGAAGTGCTCTAAAACTTCCTGGTATGTGGCTGCGTTGACCCTGGACCTCAGAAAACACAATGGACCAACACCAGCAGATGACATGGCACCCCAAACCATCACTGACTGTGGAAACTTTACACTGGACTTCAAGCAACGTGGATGAAGTGCCTCTCTTCTTTTCCTCCAGACTCTGGGACCTTGATTTCCAAAGGAAATGCAAAATTTACTTTCATCAGAGAACATGACTTTGGACCACTCACCAGCAGTCCAGTCCTGTTTCTCTTTAGCCCAGGCAAGACGCTTCTGACGCTGTCTGTGGTTCAAGAGTGGCTTGACACAAGGAATGCGACAGCAGAAACCCATGTCTTTCATACGTCTGTGTGTGGTGGTTCTTGAAGCACTCACTCCAGCTGCAGTCCACTCTTTGTGAATCTCCCCCACATTTTTGAATGGGTTTTGTTTCACAATCCTCTCCAGGGTGCGGTTATCTCTCTTGCTTGTACACTTTTTTCGACCACATCTTTTCCTTCCCTTCGCCTCTCTATTAATGTGCTTGGACACTGAGCTCTGTGAACAGCCAGCCTCTTTAGCGATGACCTTTTGTGTCTTGCCCTCCTTGTGCAAGGTGTCGATGGTCGTCTTTTGGACAACTGTCAAGTCAGTAGTCTTCCTCATGATTGTGTAGCCTATAGAACTAGACTGAAAGACCATTTAAAGGCTTTTGCAGGTGGTTTGAGTTAATTAGCTGATTAGAGTGTGGCACCAGGGGCCATCAATTTTGAACCTTTTCACAATATTCTAATTTTCTGATATGATGAATTTGAGATTTTCATTTGTTGTCATTTGTAATCATCAAAATTAAACAAAATAAACATCTGAAATATATGAGTTTGTATGTAATGTATGAATATAATATACAAGTTTCCCTTTTTAAATGGAATTACTGAAATCAATCTACTTTTTCATGATATTCTAATTTTATGACCAGCACCTGTATATAGAAAAGTCAGATCTCTGATGTATAATGGAGCTTGATTATTTAGGGGATTGTAAGTGAGAACAGGATTTATTTTACTTCTACTTTGGTTTTAAAACAGAGTAAATGAAGCGAGGCTCAAATAGTAATATGTCTTTTTAAGAACATTAGCTGCAGTATTTTGTGGATATCCTGAGAATAAAGAATGACAACAGTCCAACCTAGAAGCAACACACGCATGGACTAGTTTCATTGTGTCACTCTTGAGCAAGAATATTTCTAATTTTTTGCAATTTTCTTTATTGAAAGTATATGATTTATAATAGATATCCTGATCAATTTAAAGACTAAACATTACTAAACAAGTAATCCAGTTTTTTTTTATCTTGAGACATACATGTCTGCAGTCTTTAGATATAAAATGTTCATTTATTCATTTTGATCAAAAGGAGGTTGTTTACAAAAAGCTTCAATTACAGCTACCTTAAAAGCCTGTAGTATGTTTCATAGTACTAAAGCTGGTGATAATCATGAAGGGGTGACAATCTCCTTAAATTGCACATTTTAAATTATTTTGCAGGGATTGGATCCATCATACATCATGTAAGTTGAAGGTGTAGAGAAATATAATACTTTTGCTAAATGAGAAAGTGCAACTAGATCAAAACCGTCCAAACATGGCTTAGCTTCAACATTTACCTCAAAATCTGCCTTGTTTATTGGGAGGAAATTGTTAATATTCAAGTTTAGCCACTGTATTATGGTGAAATTTACGACTATTTTTCTCTTCTTTTAATGATGAAAAACATTCTGATCCAGCTTTTCGAGGGGTGTTTCTATAACACAGTGCACAATTTTTCAAAATTCATGAACCCTCCACTGCAATATTTCTCCAGTTTTAAAGAGTTGGGCTTTCTGCAGACATACAGGTCTTTGATAATTAAAGACAGAACCAGCTTCCCACATACTTCACTGTCAAAAGGGCTACATTGTCCAATGCAACACAGAGCAAGGAAAAACACTATCAACAACTAAGTTTTGAAAGGAAATAAATTAAATAGCTGCAATCTTCTGTGTCTTTCTGTGATTCTGAATAGATTGTGAATGGAATATATTTTTAGTTTACTCATCATTGTTTGATAATGATCTAATATATTTCTTTAATGTGAGGGTCAAACAGAATAAAAAAAAATGTTTATATGTATTTAGAAATTAAGAATATGCAAGGTCCAAAGTATGACAACAAAGTTGGATAGGCCTGCAGATGTTTTGAGCAACGTTAATGTTGAAGGCTACATTTGATTATCATCATTGTCAACATGAGAGTTAAAATCCTCAACTTAAAAACATAATCAATATTTAACTCTATTTCTGAGAATGTGAGAACTTAACTGATTAGAAGAATTTGACTCTTTTATACTAACATAATCATGTTGCTGAATACAGGTTTCCAGAGACAAAATAAATATATCACAAATCAAGTAATTACTTAATAGTCTTCAAAGAGAGTTATCTATTATTTAATAAACAACTTTTAATTGCGTTAAGTTTCTGGTCAGATATAGCCTCATGCTATAAGATTTCCATGATTTTATACTTTCAGAGTAGTCTATAACTTTTTCGATAACATTGTACATTTTGTTTCTTTTCTTTTTCTTGCAGGCAACTCAGATGATGGATACACCAACTCTGAAGCCTTCATAATGACCTTTTCTCTCAACAACTATGGTCGTGACAACCCCAAATTTAAAGTAGCCTTGCAGTGGGAAACAGAATTTCTCAAAATTGTCCGGGACTACCAAAGAAGCCCAGAATGCAAATTTACTTTTGCATACATGGCTGAGGTAAAGTGAACCCTGAGACTTCCATAACTCTACCTCTTGTTTTCTAGTCTTGTATCAGCATTAGAGATAATGTCAGGGCTGTCCCTGATTACGTGTTATCATTGACATGCCAGCGATCTTTTACCTACTGGCTATAACCACCTCCTATCTTTAAAAGAGACTGATATCAGCAGTTTTGATGATAAAGTAATTCTGCAGGACCTGTCACTTGCAAGGGCAATAAGTTCGCTCCACTATCATTATTTTCTATGCCTTGTTGCAGCAAATTTTATCACGTTGTTTTACATTTTCTTTCTATTCCTAAAGAGGTCCCTGGAGGATGAAATTAATCGAACGACAGCAGAAGATATTCCCATCTTCATGATCAGCTATGCTGTGATCTTTGTTTATATCGCAGTGGCACTGGGGGAGTACTCTTCATGCAAACGCTTACTGGTAAGACTATGGAAAAAAGGCCTGGATAAGTCTATTGTCAACACAGTAGAGTACTTCAGCATCACATGTCATTTTTTAGTTGCTAAAACAACAAATATTAGAAAAAATACAACAGAAACGTGCAAAACTATTAAATTACACATGAAACCTCAATTTTACCTCCTACTGGTCTACGTTGATGTCTTAATTGGAACTTTAGATAATAATACAAGCTTAGTTCATATTTTAAAATGTAACCTAAATTACACAAAAATCTTGATTAATGTAAAAAGAATTGTTTAATTCTCTATTTAGCCCCCTTTACTCTTGTGCCCATGAATGAAATTCATTGCAACCACTTGTCTTCAAACGTCCCCTTTATAGTAAATACTAAAGAACTCATCTGAAGACACCAGAAGTATGTTTGAGGAATTGTAGAATTCCTTAAAGAGAAACGGGAATTCCTAAATGTCGGACACTTACACAAAACAGCTGAGATATTTACTGTTTGTAACAAATAGCTCAAGTCCAGTAAACAAAAATAAAAACCTGTAATATTTTTATTATTTTTATCACAAATATGTGGGTTTTAACCTTCATCCTTACATTGCCTATACCACACAAAAAGCAGTTTATTGCAAAGAAAAACATTTTGTTGTATTTTTCACAGCAAGACATGAGTAAAATATATTTATTCCCAAATATCAAACTTTGGAAAATCAGTAAAAAAATAAGGACTAGAGTTTAACAAGGAAATTGATTATTTTCAAAAGACAAATTTCATAGTATTTTACAAACCCTCAACTAAAAATTAAGACAATTCATATTATTGTTATTGACATATCATAACTTGTTTCTTATGAAATAAGTAATTGCCTATAATTAGCTTAGCTGTTATTTTTTTTTATTAAAATTTGGGTTGGAAAACTAAGTAAACACAAACTAACAAACATGAAAAAAAAACTTCTGTAGGGAATTAAAAATAGACGTTTTGTTTTATCATTTGCATATTTAGGATTTTACTTTATTAAAAGTATTATTAGTGTGCCTCTTTTTTACTCATGAATAATTCCTAAAAGCTTTAGAAACAAAAATTCAAAGGGACATCTTCAAGGTTCCTGCACTGTCAAAGAACAGGATGAGCCGTTAAGTTGATGCAACCAATTTGGCATTCTGCTCAAAATCCACCCTGATCCGAGCCCCACTTACTGTAACATGCTGGTGAAAGTTCTCAGTCATCCAGGTCATAGTCATTCCAAAAAAAAAACACACAAAAAAACAATCCACTGGACTTTGTTTCCAAGTTTGAAGACTTTTTGCTTCCCATGCAGGAAGTTTTATAGAGTGCACCAAAAACAAAGCCTTGTTTTGGCTTAGAAAACATGCAAATTGAACTGGACAAACGGGTCCGCCCCTTAAGAATGGGCAGTTCGGGTTCATGTGTGGTTCTTAGAGCCATACATGAACAGCCCTGTTCAGCCAGGCCAACAATTCCCCCTAATGACCCCCTTTGCAGTGACATAGACTGGTATGGGGTATTGCAGGCAACAAATAACCTAAACGACTGCAAATTCTCAACGGGCGGACCTGTTAATCCGGTTCAATTTGCATGTTTTCTAATCCAAAACAAAGGCTTTGTTTTTGGTCCACTACATAAAACCTTGAAATCAACGCTATTTCTGTAATTTTGAATTGAAAAAGCTTCCTGGATAGGAAGCGAAACGTCTTCAAACTTGGAAACAAAGTTCAGTGGATTGTTGTTAACTTTTTTTAAACACTTACTGTAACTCCAACCACTCATCCGAACACAGGATTCAGTGTCAATATCACTTATATTTCAGGAGAAACATGTTGGTAAAAAAATAAAAGATTGCTTAAACCCTCGCCTTATTTTCTCATTGTAGTCATATAAAAACATGTTTTTTCTTCCACTTCACACATTTGATAAATTTTCCTTAGATCTTTAAACTGCGATATTAAAAACGAAATCAACCAAAGAATCATCACAACCGACAAAAAATATAATCTCTGAATCTGTCTTTCTTCTTGCAAATTAAGACATCTATCCCAGAAGGACAGAATCGGTTTCATAATAATGCAATCAGAACCCTCTATTAGTGAACATGAGTTGGAAAATATTGCTATATTGAAAGTAGAGGTAAGGCAAGGCAAGGCAAATTTATTTGTATAGCACAATTCAGTAAAAAGACAATGCAGAGTGCTTTACGTGATTAAAATATAGGAATATAAAGCATAATCAAAGCAAGTAGGAAAGAAAAAAATTTTAATGAAAATAAAATAAAAAAAAAAAATTATAAAAAGGTAGACCCATACATCAGCCAGCGCATGTTTGTGGCCAAAATTTGCATTCTTGTTTCTTCCTCTTCTATCTGTATTGGCCGATACATTTATCTGTTAGCCTTTGCCATTGTCTCCATTTGAGATGCATTGTTGTTGTTTTTTTTTTTTTTTTTTTGTTGATAAAAGTTTCTTTTTGTTTATATTGAGACTTCTGTAACTTGTTTCTTATTGTGTCATTTTTACTATATAAATGGAGGAAAAAAAGTGATATTGACTAAGAATCGGCCCAAAAAATAACAGCAGCACACATCAGCGATTGGATAGACCAGGGGTTTCCGAAATTGCAGGGACAGTCCCTGGGAAGCTTTGTGATTAAAGGAAGTTTGAGTTGTTTATGTGATTACAATAGGTAAACTACTGTGTTTGACTTTTCTATGTTAAGCTTTTGAAAAGGACTCAATGGAGGTGAGAAAACTTGCTTGTGAACCAGAGGGATTCCAAGCAAGTGAAGCATAGGAACCACTGGATTAGACTGATGTCAAAATAATCTGTATCAGAATCAGCCCGAAAAAAAATGAATCGGTCAATCTCTAATTGGAACATCAACTATAATGGACTCATCACTATTCATCATTCATCACTATTTGAAGATATCCGCTCGGTTAATGGTCTACGCTTCACAATTTGTTATTCCTGTTTAGCACACTAGAAAGAGGTTATTATTGTAGCTGATTTATAGCTTAATTACTTTGGTTGTTTTGCATTGAAATGGGCCTTTGGCAAAAAGAAAGAATTGATGATAAGGTGCTTATCAGGTCCAACAATAACAGCACACTTCCACAGTATGCACGTATCAGCTACATGGTGCTTATCTTTAGTCTAGAACAAATATTGGAGGTATACTATTAATGATTTGTAATAAAAACTGTGAAAAGAGACATTTTTGTTGGAATTAAGTATATGTGTTTGTCCCGCAGGTGGATTCAAAGTTTTTAGTGGGTTTAGGAGGAATTCTGGTGGTGGTCTGTTCGGTTCTGGCCTCCATGGGTTTCTACTCATGGATTGGGATCCCATCCTCGCTGGTCATTCTGCAGGTCGTGCCTTTCCTGGTGCTCGCTGTTGGAGCTGACAACATCTTCATCTTTGTTTTGGAGTACCAGGTGTGACTGTCGTTCTGCACCAGGAATCTGCAGCATTGTTGCCAACTAAAGTTTAGATTTTTCATATTAGTAATGTTACATTTCCATTTCATCCTTGCAGAGGGATGTAAGGGAGATGGGAGAGACCCGAGAGCAGCAAATTGGCCGCGTGCTTGGACGAGTTGCACCCAGTATGCTGCTGTGCAGTTTGTCAGAATCTGTCTGCTTCTTTTTAGGTATGTTTTTTGTTTTTACCTCTGCAATGTTGCTTTAAAAAAAAATGGTTAGAAGCTTTGTAAATCTTTGATGATGTTTTTGCCTTGCCACACCAGGGGCCTTGTCCACCATGCCGGCCGTGAAGGCCTTTGCTCTGTATGCTGCTTTGGCCATCCTCATGGACTTCTTCCTCCAGATCACAGCCTTTGTGGCACTTCTGTCCCTGGATGCTAGGCGCCAAGACAACAACCGGTGTGAACTGCTTTGCTGTGTTACTGTGTCAAAAGAACGTGCCAATAAACCAAATGAGGGCTTTTTGCTGCCTTTTATGAGAAAGTTCTACGCCCCCGTCTTGCTGCACAGTGTCACCAGGATCATAGTGGTAAAGTGCCTTTTAAACAACACTCTTTGACATGTTTTGTGGGGGGTTTATGTGATCGTCCATCACAAAGCAGTGCGTATTTTGAATTGGATGGACAAGGATTAATGAATGAGCTTTGATCTGAACTATCTCTATTGTAGTTTCTGCTGTATGTGCAGGGTTGGTGTCCTGCTGGATGGTGAACCTGTCCTGCTCTGATTTTACCTTGCTCTATCTTCTTATCAATGCTGACCATTTCAATTATTGCTGCTGCTGCTGCTCATCAACCTATTATCACCACAAATTAATACGTTCTGCCATAAAAAGCATATGAATGAATGTGGTTTATATGCTTACCTCTACATTTTTTTTTTGAGTCAGCCTGGGGCAACCCTGTGCAGGGTTGCAAATGTATTATAGTCTTTCTATTCTTGAACAATGCTCTCGGCAGAGCTCTGGGATTTTTTTTTTTTAATAACCTGATCATGCTAAATACCCCACCCTGACCTGTCTGCAATGTTTTTCATTTTCTTCTTTGTCCTCTAATGCTCTCTGAAAAAAACGCTGTGGCCTTAGAGAAAATCGATTTAAAATCAAACAAAGGTAGCTCATTTTAATAATAAACTATACTCATTGGACGGAATTTCTATTTAGGGGTATCAAAGTGTAGGGATCTGAAAGCTAAAGCGTGCTAAAGTATAGTTGATCAGGTCACCAAGCAACTCACAGCAACCTGAGGAAACTCTAATCGATCTAGACTTATCAGATCAGCTACCGGGGCTGCAATCATGACAATATAGAACAGCATAGAGTTGAATAGATGTAGAATAGAATAGAAAATCTCTTTATTGTCCCACAATGGGGAAATTCTGCTGTTTACAGCAGCAAAAAGATTATAGAAAAAATTGTCGCACAAAATCAAAGTTAAAATATAAGCAATAACATACTGTAAAGTGTTTCAACAATATAAAAACTGTGCACCCGGAGAATAAAAAACAATATACAGCTATGGACATTTTTACAGTAATGGATTTTTGAAAATAGCAGCAACATCAGAGATGTGTAGAATGACAGCAGCAGGTTATTTAACTGACTAAGGTAGGAACTTTACAAAATCAGCATGAATGTAACAACTTATTAAAGTTGTTGGGATTAGTGGTGCTAATAGAGTCTTAAAGCTGCTGGGAGGAAGGATCTGTGATAACGCTCCCTGGTGCATTTAGGGGGCAGCAGTCTGTCACTGAAGGAGCTCTCCAGTTCAGCAGCAGCTTCATGCATGGGGTGGGAGACATTATCCAACTTGAAGTTAATTTAGCTAGGATCCTTTTGTTTCCAACCTCATGCAGTGAGTCCAAAGGGCATCCAATCACAGAGCTGGCCTTCCTGATCAGCTTATCGAGCCACTTTCTCTCAGCTACAGATAAGCCACTGTTCAAAGAGACAGCTCCATAGAAGATGGCTGATGCCACAACAGCTTCATAGAAGGTCTTTAGGAGTGGCCGCTGCACTCTTAAAGACCTCAGTCTCCTCAGCAGGAAGAGTCTCCTCTGACCTTTCTTATACAGATCCTCAGTGTTGTGAGTCCAGTCCAGTTTGTTATTCAGATGAACACCTAGGTACGTATAAGAGTCCAATATCTCCATATCTGTTCACTGAATGTTCACCAGTATCAGTGGGGTGGATCTGCTTCTGCGAAAGTCCACCACTAGCTCCTTGGTTTTCTCTGCATTAATCAGAAGGTGGTTCTGTTAGCACCAGACCAAGAAGTTCTGGGTCCAGTGTCTGTATTCTGAGTCGTCCCCACATGTGATGAGGCCAACTATGGCAAAATCTTCAGAGAACTTCTGGAGGTGGCAGCATGGGGAGATAATGGAGAAGTCTGCAGTTTAAAGGGTGAAGAGGAACGGTGCCAGCACTGTTCCCTGTGGGACCCCCTACTGCAAACCAACCTATCTGAGACACAGCCCCGCACCCTCACTTACTTTGGAGGGCCAGTGAGGTAGTCCAGAATCAACTTGGACATCTGCTGGTCCACTCCTGACAGCTCCAGCTTGTCCCTTAGGAGTCCTGGCTGGGTGGTGTTGATAGCACTGGAGAAATCAAATTGGCCTATGCCTCCTTTACAGAGGCATGGGCCAGTATAGGGTTTTGCAGGCCAAAAATAACCTTTACGACTTCCCATTAGTAAAGAGGGACCTGTTTTTCAGTTCAATTTGCATGTTTTCTAAGCCATAACAAGGCTTGGGCCACTTTATAAGCCTGGAACTCAACGCTATTCCAGACATTTTGAATTAGGAAAGCTTTGTGAATGGGTAGTGAATGTTTTCAAACTTGGAAAAAGAAGTCCAGTGGTTTATTTGCAATTTTTTTGGAAGTATTTCACTAGTTATTCACTGCTCTGTGAGGGTTTGTTGCATAATATCCCATAAGATACATTAAAGTTTGTCACTGTGATGTGACAAATTATCATGTTCAAAGGACGATGAGATGAGCTGATTGTTGTTTCGTGGCTCTTCTCAGATGGTGGTTTTCATCTTCATGGCGTGTGCTTCGATATACCTCATGCTGCATGTGAAAGTTGGTTTGGATCAGGAGCTGGCGATGCCCAAGGTGAGTTGGAGCCGCTTTATTCATCATCAGCTCAAAACATAGAGCTCTTAATGCGTTCCCTCACCTGGATTTTTTTTGTTCTGCTTTAGGGTTCCTACATGCTGGACTATTTTCAGTATCTCTACAAATACTTTGAAGTTGGCGTCCCAGTATATTTTGTGACAAAGAGAGGATATGACTTCAGCACGGTGGAGGGCATGAACGGTGTGTGCTCCAGCGTGGGCTGCGATCAGTTCTCCATGACTCAGAAGATCCGCTATGCCACAGACTATCCTGAACGGTGAGTCAGCTTGAATCCTAATTGGTCCAGATCTCTGTATCAGAGCATAAAGCCAACCTTTGTATTTATTATATTCTCCTCACTGCATTAATCAGACTGCTGCAGGTGTCCTTCGTTTCATATCTTTTTCTGGCAGGTGGCAACAACCTCACGGTACTTTACCTTGTTACATAAAACATTTTTTTAAACAACTGCTTCCCTCAAAATAAATGGAATCTAGTGGTACTCATTTATTGCTGGAACAGTCATTTATTTCTTGGCAAACAAACATGAAAGACAAAAAATACAATACATTCAAATGGAAAATTTTATTTTTCAAATAGGCTACTTCCTCATAAGTTGCACCTGACCTTCACTTTATCACAAAGTAAATGTTTTACACCAAGGGAAGTTTATAAAATATGGGAATATTTACTAATCAAGAAACAACAGACAGTTTAACAGTTAAGATTTATACTCTCAACCAGGCTTGGACTGGTAATCTGTGATACCAGGCATTTACCCAGTTTTTATTTTATTGTCTAAGGGCCGGCCCTCCTTAAATCATACCAGCCCCAACAGAAACAACTACCTGCCACAATAAATAACTCAAGGAGCTTAAGAAGTAGTATAATGTTAACTACCTAAATGATGCATGCAGTATATATAGCCCTTCCTTGTCATGCACATCGGTGTGACGGTTGGCCTGTGGTGTAATTTTCTGTTTCTTCAAACTGTAAAATGCCCTCAACAAACTAAATTATAATAAAGCTAAAATGCTTTCTTTAAAGCAAACTACGATTTTCCTCTTTTATTTGGCGACTTTATGTTCAAATATTTAGCAAAAATATGTTGCAGTGCATGATGTGGTTTTGCATCTGTTTACATTATTCCATTTCATTGCCCACATGCCAGCTAGACTTGCAGTGAAGGCTTACACACTGCTGAGCTTTCATGTATTCATTCTTAATAGGGTGACCAGACGTTTTTTTTTTTTCTGGCTGCGGGGGGGCTGGTGTAAATGAAAAAAAAAAACGGGGCTGAAAATCTTTCCCAGTCCAAGCCTGCTCTCAACCAATATTAGTGACAAATTTGACATATTAATGAGTAAACACGCACTATTTACTGAAAATGTAAATAATATTAGCAGAGAAGCAGTTGTAATAATTCTAGGTGACTTTTACCAATTATTTCAGTACATCATGGATCTACTGTCAATTCAAATGAGGAAAATTAGACCTGCTGTTCCCAAACATTTCAGCCTATGATCCCAATATATAGATCCCAGAGACTGGTGATCCCCTAAAAAAAAAAAAAAAAAACAGTAGTGCAATACATAATTTAATGGTGTACCTAATCACTGAATAATGTATTATCACCTATTTCATAGTGCATTTAGTCATTTAATTATATTTTTCGGCCCTCCATATATAAATATTGTACAGCTTTTCCTAAACTTTTTTAGTTTTGCACCCCTTTCTGTGTCTCATGCACCCCCAATTTCCCACACCTTTAAAAGAATGCTTTCTAAATAACGCAAACCTTTTTTTTAAAGCCATTTTAAGGCAGCATGTTTAATCATGCTCAAATAACCAGAACACACATCGTTACAACAGCAAAATTGCAGTCAAAATAACAGCCCTGTCATGACAACACGTTATGGAAATCAAATTATAACAGATTTTTTTAATTAAAGTGCAATAAAGTTACACACAACATCCAATACAGGATCCTGAGGATTTTCAGGTTCAGCAAGAGAAAGAAAGATCCTGACAATGTTCTCATGTTTTTCCAATTTTGAAAACTGTTTGGCATAAACTGAACTTTTTATCATGTCAAATTTGTAAATACAAAGCGCATCATTGTTGCTAATTAAAATAGATTTAGATTCTGATATGTTAAGTGTATAAAAAAAGCGTCTGTTGGGTATATAGTTACAGGAAATCTTTGGGACAAAGGTATTCTTGATTAGGTGAAAAATCAAATAATTAATCTAAGTCAGAGTTCACGGATTAGTGGACCAGGGTTCCGCTAATCCGGACCTTTACTGGTTGTTGATTTTCTTTATTAGGACCCCGCTGATTTTTAATTGGTTATCCCTGATCTAGAGTTTGATCTTTTTACCCGCTGAATAAATAGAAAGATTATTCCTAAAAAGTTTTAAAAGAACAATCCACTGGACTGGAGTTTAAAGATGTTTTGCTTCCCATCCAGGAAGCTTTGTCAGTTCAAAATGTCAGAATTAACGTTGAGTTCAACGACTTAAAAAGTAGCCCAAAAACTTGTTTTGGCTTAAAAAACATGCAAATTGAACCAAAAGATCAGGTCCGCCCCTTAGGAATGGGGACTCATTTGGGTTCATTGTTAGGCTGCAATACCCGATACCTGTCTATGCCTCTGAAGTAGAAAGATTAATTCCAATGCATTTTACACCCAATTAGGGCCTCCAGTAGTTTACCCTGCTATTCATCTAAACTAAACTGCACTCAATACTTACAGCTATTTTATTTAATTGTTTGATCTTGTCTTTAAACTAACCCTCAGATCCTACATGGCTATTCCTGCTAACTCTTGGGTGGATGATTTTATTGACTGGTTGAACCCTGGATCCAGATGCTGCCGCCTCTACACAGCAGGTCCAAATGTTGGAGAATTCTGTCCTGCAAACATAAGTGAGACGACTTTCACTGTAACAAATAAATAGAAAATAAGGAAATAAGCACAAAGATAAAATAATTGATATCTGTTTTTTGCAATGTTTTTGCGACAACAGCCGGTTTAAACTGTTTAAAGAAATGCTTGCCGAATCCTGAAGATGGTGTTGTACGGCCCAACTTGACACAGTTCAACCGCTTCCTCCCTGAATTTCTGGCTAACAGGCCTGACCTGCAGTGCTCCAAAGGGTGAGTAATGAGCTCCGTGTCTAGAGAAGCTGATTACATCACATCAAAACTACACCTCACTTCAAATCTCTTCTAACAGTGGTTTAGGAGCTTACGATACAGCAGTGGTGCGAAGCGAAACTGGAGAAATAGTAGGTATGTTTGTTTTTTACATATTTACGTCATTGGACAAAAACTTTTTAAAAAAAGATAAAATTTGTACAAATAGGATTATTTAATATGTTTCTTTAAATATAATGATTATATACAGAGGTGTGAATGAAAATATATTGAGTCTTGCAGAATTTCTAAGCATTAAAAACCAAATAGCTTCTTTCTTAGCAGCAGTAGTCTGGGGATGTAAATATATGCCTAAAAGTATTAACAGGAGAATGGAATATATCAGTGAAAGCAAAATCTGATCATGCACAGAAGGCAGGCGAAAATCCTTGCATCTTGTTTTGATTCTAGGCATCGTGAACCGAAACCTGATGTTTCTCCCAAATGTTTGGCCTGTGATCTAAATCCCGTCCGAGCTGTGAAAACTGTGAAACACTTAGGTTTACTTTTCTGATTGTCCTTTCTTCTCAGCCTCTCGGTTCATGGCATATCACTCTCCACTGACCAACTCTCAGGAGTTCACAGCTGCCCTGAAAAAAGCCAGAGAGCTGGCCGACGAAATCACCAAGGGCATGAGGAATATTAATGGCACCTCTCCTGACTTTGAAGTATTTCCTTACACGTAGGTTTTTGAATGAGTTTCTATCTTCTTAAATAAAACTTTTTCTTGTTTCCAAACAGCTGTAGAATTTATTTATTTTTTCTTTCTCTTCTGCAAGGATTACTTACGTGTTTTATGAGCAATACCTGACTATCGTGGAAGAAGGGCTCTTCAACATCGGCCTTTGTCTCATACCGACCTTTGTGGTGTGCTGCCTGCTGCTGGGTTTGGACCTGATCTCCGGCTTCCTCAACCTGCTCACCATCCTCATGATTGTGGTGGACACCGTTGGGGTCATGACCTTATGGAGCATAGACTACAACGCAGTGGCCCTGATTAATCTGGTCACGGTAGGTGAACATCTCTTATGTGGAAATAAAAGCTGCTGAGGTAAAGACGCATCGAGTGATGACACAGAATTATTAATGCCATTCTATTCAAACATTTCAATTTCTTGTTACAAACGCAAACCGACCAAAACAACGTAGCATAAATATGTGAAAATTATAGTAAGAAGTCCATTCAGCAGCAGTTGTAGAGATTCTCACCTCAGGTGGATAGATATGTTTTTGTTTTTTTTATTACAAAGCAAAAGAGTAATAGCTAAGAAAGCCAGAAAAAATACCACTTTTTGTTTGGCATTATGTGAGATGGAAAACAAGCATAACAGATTCTTCTGAAAGAAAAAAAAACCTTCCCTAACATGAAGCATGATGCTACGGCATTGCTAAAGCTAAATGACTTTGCAGAGCAAGATTTGCTTTGCAAAACACAATATATCTTTATCTTTACAACAATATATTTTTCTTAATCTCCCAAGCAGGAACAGAAAAATCCTAAAAGACAGTGAAATGTGGTTCATGGAAGATTTGACTCCAGTGGACTAAATAGAAATGAAATTAAAACAGTTTTTATCAGTAAAAAATTAAATTAAATTAAATAAAAAGTAATGATGCATCACTGTCATTCAACTTTACAATAAAATCCAACATTTTGCTGTTCTGACCCATAATCATGCAAATAAAAAATAAAAAGATAAAAAATATTGGGTTTTTTTATGAGAACTAACTGTTGAAGTTTTATTTCTAACCTTAAGGACCACGGCCCAGACAGCAGGTGTAACAATTTTTTTATGTTTCTAAAATGAACGAGAAGTTAATTCGTTACATGGGAGTTAGAGTTTTCGATTTTCGTCCCAAAGGAAGATTAAAAACTTCATGAACATGAAGCTCCTATGTTGGTGCCCAGCATGGACCCTCCTTCAGGCAAGCAGATCCCAAAGACTAATAGTGAGAAGATAAAATAAATAAATATGATGGTCTTCAGGGCCTTTAAACCTTTATATTTTGCAATATTTCTGTTTGATTTCTAAGAAAACTTTATAAAAGCATAGGATAGCTGTGATGCTTCATTAGCAACTTTGCCAGAACTGTAAATCAGTCTATAAATTCTTTGGTAAGACTTTACAACAACATACACAAAATTTGATTAATTACTGGAGAACAATAAGGAACTAATGGGTAGCTAACCGGTACTAACTGGGCCAGCCCAGCCTTATATATATATTGTCCTTTTGTATACACAGAATGAATACAAAACAAAATCTCACTGAGTACAGTTTTCCAGACAGTAAATGAACATTTCCACTCCATAAAGTGCAGCAGTGATCAAATAAAACCAGTGTGGGAGAAAAAAGAAAACATGGTTCAAAAGCGCATTGATACAGAAGTTCAGAGCATTAATATATATATATATATATATATATATATATATATATATATGGTGGAAATAACCAGTAGGTTCGGTTTGGTGTCATCAGCCTGATGCAGAGTCTGTGATGATTTAGAGTTGTTCAACAGTTTAGCTTTCTTCCCCACTGCTGATGGCAGTGGGGAAGAAACTGTTGCAGAATCTGTTGGTCCTGCATTGGATGCTTCAAAGCCTCTTCCCAGAGGGCAGCAGGGAGAGCAGTCCATGGTGGGGGTTTGAGGGGGTCATTTATAATGTGTGGGACTGCACTGGGATAAAATGTCTTTAATAAGGGAAGAGCAGCCCACATGATCCTCTCTGCTGTTCTCACCACTCTTCTCACCTTCTTCCAGTCTGAGGCGCTGCAGCCTCCACACCAAACAGTGAGTCACCTGGTCAGAACGCTCTCTATCGTGCTTCTGTAGAAGGTTGTGAGGATGGGTGGGGGCAGGTGGGCTCTCCTCGTCCTCTGCAGGAAGTACATGAGCTTCTGTGCCCTTTTGTGCCTCTGCAGATAGGATCATTGGGAGCTCACTTGCCTTTCGTTGAAAAACATGTAAAAGTAAAAAAAAAAAAAACAAATCTGCTGACACCATGCATCCTGATCTGAAGCCTGTTATAACTCAGGGAAGCACTAAACAGCCCCAAGGCTATTAGGGTAGTCAGAAATCCTGCCAGAACAATGAATATCTTTTGCACTAATCAGCCTTTCCTTATATTTTATTCATTTACAAAGAATGCACACAATAATAATAACTGAACTTAACTGATCTCACACTGGAAAAATGTACCTCTGCATTTAACCCCTTGGAGCACAGTGGGCTGCCATTGTGCAGCGCCCAGAAAACAGCAGGGAGAACAGTCCATGAACAGTTTTACTAAAACTGTTTAGTTAACTGGGAAACACAGATAAACTAATTAGGAAGTAGTATGTAGTTACCATGGAAACAAAGAGTAACTAATTAGGAATTAACATTTAGTATAATTATTTATTTGATGTAATTTGGGTTTTTCTGTTGTATTTCAGTCAAATTTAGTCTTTTTCTAAAATCTAAAACTATTTTCTTGGATGAACTCTATACTTCAGTAAATGATCATTGCAGCAAATGTTCTTCACTCGATTAACCTTATAATCCATGCTATTTGCAGGCAGTGGGTATATCTGTGGAGTTTGTGTCCCACATGACCAGAGCCTTTGCTCTCAGCACTAAGATGACACGCATTGAAAGAGCAAAGGAGGCGACAGCCAACATGGGCAGTGCAGTAAGTAACCTCTGAGCTGGATCCTTAAACATTAAGTTAAACAAAAAACTAACCTTGGTTATAAAACTAAAGATCAGATGAAAGGTCTGAGGAAGTATATAAAAAAAGAAATGCCTTCAGTGGAATTTATTGTATTGTTTGTCTGCCAATAAGTAAATGATAACACCAAGAGTTTGATCGTTACAAACAGAAACAGCTGTTTAGGGTTGATTTTAATCTTTTTTTTTTATCCTTGAAGGTGTTTGCTGGTGTTGCAATGACCAATTTGCCAGGCATTATTGTTTTGGCGTTTGCTAAAGCTCAGCTGATCCAGATTTTCTTCTTCCGCTTAAATCTTGTCATCACTCTCCTGGGACTGGCCCACGGACTCATCTTCCTCCCTGTGCTGCTCAGTTACTTCGGTATGAACAATAATCTGCAAATTGCTTTTCATTCTGATGGCAGGAAATGACAACAGACAAATTTAAGTTATCCTGATCCTTGTTTTTCAGGTCCTGGTGTGAATAAAGCAGTGCTGTTGCACCAACAACAGGATAGAGAACAATCAATGACGGATGAAAAACCTAAAGAGGTGTATGAAAACATTGCACTTTAAAAGCATGAATTAAAACTGGAACTGGATTCAAACTCCAAAAAGCTTCAATTGAAGTTCCAGATCACTCAGGAATAAATGAAAAAGAGGAGATAAACAGAAAATCTTTCAATAAAAGCCAAAACCCCTAAGAAATAAATGAAGGGATAAACTCCAGCAAATCTTCAATTGAAAGCAAAAACCCCTGAGAAATCGATGAGGAGGAGGAGATTACTGTTCTCTGAGCATCACCTGTATAAACACTTTTCTCTACACTTCTTTTGTATAAAGTTGGACTGGATGGACTCAAAGCAGCTTTGGAGTCACGTATGCAGCTCAATGTGGAAATCATTAACCCAACTCCGTCTCTATCTTCAAATGGACTATTAAGAAGGCTGATAAAAACAAAGTTGTGTAAAAACTTTAAAATAATAAATAATGCATAAACAAAGACAATGCAACATGATACCTTGAAATTGCCTTTTTTTTTAGTAACCTGCCTTTCACCAATTGATTGATGCAGAGAGCCACCAGCTCTCCCTTCAATCCAAACAGCATCAAGCAGGTGTAAAAGAAATGGATAAATGAATAATCAGATGAAGTGATGAGTCAAATTTAGTAAACAACACAAACAAAAGCCTTTTTTAGATCATTAATAGGGCACACTCCACCTTTAATTCGTTTTTATTATGTGCTATACATTTACAGGTACAATAAACAAATGAAGAAATGTTTATCCTCTAACACAAAATAAGTATTGCTTTTAATAATAGAAAATTAGAAGTTACAGTTATCTAGAAAAGTTTTTTTTTTTTGTTCTGGTTTGTCGACTAATTTTTTATTTACCAACTAACCCAAAGAGTTGCAAATGTGTGCTTCCTCATTAAGATGCATGAAGAAGAATGCAAGTTTGTGAATTTATGAAGACCATTTTTACCGGTGTGACATTTGTGTCAAAAGTAAAAATGAAGGCGTAACTTTTAAAGTTGAGTTTGTGACTCATGGCTGCAGAATCTCGCAGTTGTATTAATTGATTTGTGTTTGTGTTAAGGGAAAAAAAATACATATTTTTTGAAGATTTTAATACACGTGTTTGAATTTGTTTTGCACCATTTGTTTTAGATCAACTGTAGCAAAACTGAATGTAAGAGGATTTTGATGTGCAACTTGTAGAACAGAATTTGTGTTCTTGTACTTAAAATTTGAACAGTTGTAAAAAAAAAAAAAAAAATTGTACCTGTGATTTTTTTTTTATTCTAAACATACAAAACTTAGAATATAACTCTCTCTACAACTTCCAATTCACACTTACAATGCACAAATAGTTTAGAAACAAAATAACCTTCATAAACTTTGATAAAAACTGTCATTAAGAGCTAGCCAAGAAGCTAAGAAGATAAATGTTGCATTAGGAACATTTATCAAACACTTTAATAAGAAGGTGTAGGATACATGTTTTCTAAATACTCCATAAAGTAGATTTTCTTAATTTATTTTTAATTCATTTTTTAAACAGCTCGCTCATGGATGAACCATTAGACAATTTTTTTTAAGGAAATTAAACAGAAAAAAAGAAGTGAGAATCCCTCTGGGTGTTTCAGATTTTGTTTTATTAACAATGCATCCCTTTGATAGGATCGTATGTTTCTTTAGGTCATCGGTGCCCCAAAAACATACTGTACACATTTTACAAGGGAAACACAATTCAGGCAAAAAAGAAAAATTAAATTATAATACAGTCTTGAGGAAAAATATAAATAACTTTTTTCTTCTCTGGTTGAGCTCACTATGGTACAGACATATAATAAATAGATCGGATCTGACATCACTCAGCGGATCTATGAATCATCTCTCTATGAGTCCACTTGTGTAGCAGCATTGTAGCAAAAAAAAAAAAAAAAAACGCCAATGGAAACAACCCGTTTCCTTGGATACCTTTTACATTTAGTCATCGCACTGAACCGCCCCCTCCTCTGTCGTTGTGCTCCAACAGTGAGTGATATTGCATGGCGGAGGGGCAACCATTCCTACGACGTATGGCGACATGAAATGGCAACCTTTAACTTCTTTAAAAAGCAATAAGTTAGGGTGAAGCGCAACTTTGCCATGCTAGTTGAACATGCAGTAGAGTGTGAAGCTCAGAGGTAAAGGAGGAATTGTGACGAGGAGCTGCTGGTTGGTGAACGTTTCAGGAACACCTGTGTACATCTGTAATCGACCTTTCTACAGATTACTTACACGAGCAAGCATTTTAGAGGAAAAGAGAGAGACCCACCTTCTTTGAAGCTCGCTGAAGATGCCAAAACACAGGAAAAGAAAACATTAAAGGCTCTGAGCCAGAAAAGTAGGGGAAAAAAACTAGCATTAAATTACATGCTATTCTCGTTATTCACCGAGTAGCGGCGGCAGGTAAAATGCTTTAGAAAACACAACACTGGTGATTGTCTGTGACACTGGAAATAGAAAGTTTTAACAGGCCGTCTGTGCGGTAAGGAGGCTTAAGGTCTTAGGAGGCGGTGAGGAGAAGGAATCCGGCTCCAGTTAGGGTTTTAAAGACAGCAGGATCCGTTTGTAGTGTTTTCTTTGAAGAAAAGAACGCAAGGTCCGAGGAATATTCAGTAAGACGTGATGATTTGTTTCATTACAGGAAACAATCTAAAACTGCAAAAAAAAACAAAAACACAATTTGATTTTTTTTTAAACTACTTGATTATTTTCTAACTGCACCGTCTTTGTCCTTTTAGTTTTCTGATGATCTACCGGTGAATATTTGACAGTGTTGCCAATCCACATGGAAACAGTATTTGGCTTTTCTGCTGCTCATCGTTTTTCTGAGACAGCATTTAATGTGTGTTCGGTTACTGAAGTCTTTTGTTTCCAGCTCAGGAGGAAGCTGAGCGATGAGTGTTCTCTGTTTCAAGCAACAGAAATGGGCTGAAGGTTCCTTTTTCCATAGAGCCTCAGACCTGCTTTTCTTTCCACAGTTATAAAGGAGTCAGGGCTGTAGCCGGGGAGGGGGAATCAGGACTCTGCAGGAGGGGTAACGTCCTCTCCGACGGGTTCAGGAAGCTTCATCAGGATTGCTTCAGCTTCCTCATACATCTGGAAAATTAAAAACATGAATCAGTCCAAAATGCTCAATAAATTAATGAAAAATACCCAATTTAGGAGTTTGATTCCTTACTGGCATAAACTGCACGTCCTGGAAGAGCTCTTGTATGAAGCGCCTCGAAGTCAGACGAAACATACAATGGGACAAGAGGTGAGAAACCTCCGAGTACAAGCAGATGTCATCAAACGCATAAGGGAACTTCTCCTTTATCCTGAGGAAAGAAAAAAAGAGAAGACATTGGGGTGACCCTCAAAGCTACAGACCGTTTACAGTCTGTGCTCAACTGGCGAGAAAACCTGACTCACGTCAATAATCCTGTTTCATTGCCTTTGGTTCCGACAGAAGAGCTGAGGTTGATGATGAGGCGGAGAATCTCCTTCCTCAGGAGGACTCGAGAGGCAGGGCCGTCATCAGAGATGGCTTTCCCGCCTGCAGAATGCATTGAACATCAGTCTTTATTGAATGAACGCTTTGACACTTGCCTTACAGCATCACTGCTGGATGAAAACAGTCCTTAAGAATCTAGCAAAAAGCATCATATATACCTAGCAAATGTTTTAATGTAGTGGGAAGCTAACACTAGCTATCACCTTGTAGACACCGTGTACCCAAGCTTAGGTTTTACCATCAAAAATTATTTCTCCTCTGCATGACGACCAAGAAAAAAACAATGAAAAAAATGTATTAGAGTTTTGGTTTCTCAAAGTGGGAGATTAAACAGAACCACATTATAATGAGGACTTAAACTCCTAAGTCCCTTAAAGTCGTACGGAAGCCGCTGTTCCAACCGTTGCATTTCCAAATTCTCCCGTTGCGTATATTAGCTGCAACATATGAATCAAGATGCTATGACCGAAAAAATTTGATAGACAGATGACCGTTGATATATGATTGACCGAATTTAGGTGTACAAGCTGACGTACAACTAACTGGCCTGCATAAGATAACGAAAAAAAAAACGACTTTAAGACAGATTTTCTTTTAAGAAATTTTCTAAATTTTGGGTCTGATAAAAAGTACATTTATATACATGTTTAAGCCAGAATGATTTGACATTCAGATATGACTTCCTTACAACTTTAAAATAAGTGCATCATTCTTTCTTGAATTAAGCAGGTATGTGAGACTATTTGCCAATGGAATAAGACAATTTACTATTGAAATAAGAAAGAAACAAATGAATTATCTTATTTCAAGTACCTAATATCAAATTATCTCATTTTAAGTGTAAAAGTGCAGGAGCTGATAATTTGAAACATGAAGAACGGATGCTAACTGTGGCTAGCTGGATCTGCTTTTAGTTCCCCAGTTTCAGTCCGGGTTCTTACCAATAACGACGTCTCCAGGCGTAGGCGTGCTTGAGATCGAACCTTGAGACACAGCAGCGTCACTGCAGCCTGACACCCCCGAGAACTTGGACTGAGGCATCACCTCCAGTCGATGCCCCCCCTGCCCACCCCATGAAGGGAAGTCAACATAATCTGGGAAGAAAAAAAAAAAGAGTTTTGATTTTCGTCTTCGATGCTAAAACTTTTCCACGTGCGACGAACATCACCTGTCCGAGTTTGCGTGCTTTTGATCTGCGGCTGAGTCTGGTATCCGAGGACGCTGGCTCCTACGCAGTACAGACAGTTTTCCTCGGAGTGATCCTGCAGACCCGTCTCTTCTGAGTCCACCATGTGGTTCTGAGACTCTCCTCGAGATGCAATGAGCTCAGAGATACTGAACTGCTGTTTCAGTAACGGCAGAGCAGGCCGATCCCCTGCAGCGTCACAGACAAAAGCAGCATTCATCTGAAAATCTGTTTACCTCTAACAGCTTTAGCACTTCATCCCACATAAAGCCGCCTTTACCGTCTCCGTCGCCAAACAGGAAGCGTTTCCGCTCTTCAGAGGGCGGGCTGATCCTCTGCTGGAAGTAGGTAGAGTCTCTGATGTGGAACATGTCGTTGATGTTCATCGGCAGCGCCAGGCCGATGTAGTCGTCGTTGCACCCTAAGGTGGCGCTGGAGACCATGGAGCGCACCGAGGAGCAGCGGTGCAGGGTGCTTTGGCTGATGGGACTGAGCAGCTCCTCTTTGTCCAGAGAGGCGAAACTGAGAGCTTTTAGGAACCTAGGGAGCGCAAGAGGAGAGGTGCGTGAGAGGATCCGGGGGGAGAGGCTGGGAGGGAGAAGGAACACGGGGAGTAAGCCAGGATATGTTGGATAAAACCACACAGAGGGGGGGCGTGTCAAACTAGATTTCAGGACATAGTCATCAGGTTCACAAACAGAAATCAACATCATGGAGGCAAATGTTCAAAGTTTTATGACATTAGTTTAAGATTCCCTAAAAAAATATATATAACCTGAGCAGGAAGGAACTCCTTTTTAACTTTCTGTTAATTATTTTCCTTTTCCAGACTTTTTACCTTGTCAGTCATGAAACAAACAAGGCTAATGTGGGCTGCCTATCTTCTAACCGTAAATAGAAAAAATATTTAAATTCAATGATCACACATATAAAACAAGCCAAGATGACTCACTGTTTGAACAACAAAAATGAAGAAAAGCCTAGTGGAGTATAACAATTAATCGGATTAATAGTGATTAATCCATTATTGAAATATTCGTCAACTAATTTAGTACTTGATTAAGCGTAAACTGGAGGTATAGTCTCTAAAACATGCTTTTAGTTGACAGAGTAACCCACTTAGAGCAGTAATTGTAAGAAAACTGTAAGAATATCTATCGTTTTGCATTTAAGATTAAAAAATATGTGGGGAAAAAAAATGTGCTATGAACTCCAAAAGTGGAAAAGTTTTATTTTGACCTGGTTTAATTCTGTAAAAATCTTTTTTATCAAACCTTTTGCTATCTGTTTATTAATTGATTAATCGAAAAAAAATAATTGACTGATTATTCAATTAGCAAAATAATCGTAGGTTGCAGCCCTACATTCAGCATTTAAAACCTCGTTTTGACTAAATATATTCTAGGCACAAGGAACCTAAACACATTTAACTCCAACTACAGTGATTATATTCACAACAAATATTTAAGGTCTATTTATCATAATCAAAGGAACACCATTAAGTAATAATCATGATTATAAATTACTCTATTGCAGAATTATAGTTTTACACCCAAAGCCTTTGATGGGTTATGATACCAAGATGTTTTTCCATGTTTAGATTTTTGGAGCCTTTTCGCAAAAGAATCAACATTTTGGAAAAAGGTTTAGATGTATTTATACACCCGACCAATAAAGCAAACTAAAACAGAAACAAAAGTCCTGACCTGGCAGAGTATTAAACCAAATGTCTCATCAGACATGGCAGAGCCTGATTACATTTATTACTTCTCTGGAACAGACCTAGTTTTTAATTATAGCACACAGATAGGCTACAGGGTTACGATTAGGGCCATTAAAGATCTAATCGTCAGACTCAACTTTAATGGCCAAGACTGTGAGCACAAACATCAATTTTGTGTTTGGAATTAATCAACAGTTTCAACGACAACCATACTAGAAGAAAAAAAGCACGCTTTAAGGAGTTAAGGAGATGATGATGAACCTCAAAACCTGGAACATTATATTTTAATCCTCTCCCTCAAATAAAAAGGAAACTGGTTCAGTGCTGCAAGAACAATCCAGAACCAACAAAGTGTCAAACCTGTCGTAGACTAGAGGATGCTGGAATACTTATACTGATGGCTTTAAAGGATAGTGCAAATCTACTGACATTTGAAGTTTCCCATGTAGCCCAGGACAAAGCCTTTAGAAACGTTTAAGGATTACATGACACAGACTGAGCTGCTCTGGTCAGATGTTTTGGTGGAGTCAAAGTGAGGCTTTCAAATCAAGGGAAAGCAAACTGTCATGAACGGAGGTGGAGGCATTAGGCTGATGGATGCTTGGATGTAAATCCACAGCTAAATGGTGCAAATTGGACACAGATGTGTCTCCTAACAGGACAAGAACCCCATGTTATCAACTAAAGCAGGTTTTTTTTTCCACATAAAAAACACTTTCATCAAGCTTCACTTGAAGCTTGATGAAAGCAGTTGTTTGATTTAACCATTAGTTTATGTTCATATAAGTCATGTGAATTTGTGAAAATCATTTGGTACGATCATTCCACCCTGGAGAGAGAGAGAACTGTTCAAATAAATAATTATAAGTCAGACGTTATAAAGACGAGTGCATGTAAATCTGAACATCGCTGTTCTAGCTAATGGGACATCGACTGAAGGTTGGAGCTGGAACTATTCCTCTACAAGCAGGAGTAATCAGAGCTACAGGCTGCTTCTCTACTGAGGACGACACTGGGCAGATCCACCCACCGCGGTACAAGTGTTCTGGAGAGCCTGCGGTACGGGCTTGGCACGGTGGGTTCTGGACAGGTGCGCCTCCTGTCCGACAGCCTGACAGACACAACAAAAGGTGCACAAACACACTTACATTTGTCCCTGCAGTAACCAGACGTCGAGTAGGACCAAAGCTACAGAAGAGTCGTATGGATTTAAAATGAATTACAAACATTTTCAGGTTAGCAAAAGCAAAACAGGAGAAAAAAAAACAGACGACCACCCCTGCGATCAGAGAGGACCCACCTGCGAGGAGTTAACCTGGAGTCCAGGCTGCCGGTCTTCATGGTAATGGTGTCTGTGAACAGAACGTCTTTGGCGGGTGAAGCCAGAGCCTCACTGTGGGACAGAGACGGGTGTATCCTCTGCTGCTGCAGCCTCTTCAGTGTAGCGTAACCCAGCGCGTCTCTGGGGCTGGTGTACATGATGCTGCAGTCAGCCAGGCTCTTGATGGTTGTGACCGAGGGGGACTTAAGAGACTGAGCTCGGCGGGGGAGGGTGTGCGAGGAGCCTGGCGGGACCAGAGAAACGCTAGGGGACTTGGAGGAGCACATGTGGTTTGTCTGAGGCTGGGGGCTGAGGGAGGAGAGGGTTTTGACCGTCTTTGCAGACACAACGGTGTTGAGGCTCACACAGTCTGAAGAGTCTGGTTCCACTTCGGGGTGATCTGGGTTCCCGACGGTCTCGCGGGAGGGGCTGGAGCTCATGGAGCTGATGCCGCTGGTCGTCGTATCCGTGTTAAAGCTCTGACTGCGGCTTTTAAACTGAGTACCCCCGCCTCCTCCACCCCCTCCCACATTACCCCCGCTAGAGGAGCCGCCTTCTCCCGCCAGGCGCTCTCGGCTGCTCTGCTCCCTGTGCTGCTCCACCACCCCGTGTCCCCCCAGACCGCTGAGTCCAAGGCCGGAGCCCCCTCCCCTCACCAGCCTGCCTTCCACAAGCTGCTCCTCAGAGCCACCCCTGGTCCCAACAAAGGACGTCTCCAGGCTAACCGTTGGACTCTTTGGCATTCCTCGGCCATTAAATACTGAGTTGAATACGTCCCCGTGGCTGTAGACTGAAGGCTCCGTCAGTGTCCTGTTCCGCCTCGGGCTTTCCATCTTCAGATCGTTCAGAGTGCGAGAGCCCGTGGAACTTTTTGGGTCACTGGTGGAGCGTACCTTCTTGCTGGGGAGGGAGAGGGAGTTGAGGAAGCGGGGACGAACAAAGCGCGTGGAACCAAGGATTGTGAACGGGCTGCGATCTTTGACTGCTTTGGAGTGTTGATAGAATGAGGGGTCGTCTGACGAGTCCAAACCGTCACACTTGTCATCGTCCAGGATGTACATATCTAGAAACGGAGAGGAGACTGGGATAAACATTTACTGGAGAAGGGACGGCAAATCACAGCGGCATACACATTTATGAGTGGACCCTTCTCCTCTTTATTGCTGCAGCAGAGCCTTAAATCAAAACAGAACCATGAATTGTACCTTTAAAGTCTATTAAGAGATCCAGTCCCCCTTAAAGTGGCTTCTAAATTCAACATATTCATTCATTGATGGAGGGAAAACAGCTGCCAGAGAGCTGCAGCAAAGATTGACATCAAGAACAAAAAAATCTTATGTTTTGTTGTTTGCTTGTTTTGGAAAGCATCAAAGATGTAAAGAGGTAGAGGTGGCCAGCCTTTGGTCAGATGACACCAAGAATGAACAATTTAGGGACCAACACTGTATGAGTTTTTGATGTAAAAAAAAACGGGGCAGATCCATTCATACCCACTGTTAGGCATAGCAGAGGATCTGTGATGGTTAGGGCCTTACTGTTTTCCAAAGGCTTCACGATAACAGTTTGACATAAAAGGACAATATAAATGAAAGTGTCAGACTACGGAAGAGGATTAGGGCCACTGAAAAAAAAAAATTAACTGATTTTTAAATTTTATTTCAGTTTAATATGGGAAAAAAAGTCAGAATTCTGACTTTTTTTCTCAGAATTCTGACTTTTTGCTCAGAATTCTGACAGCTAAGAAACATGTTAGCATCAAGCCACAGTCATGTCTGTTTTAGAGACTAGCTCTCTTGTTTTAATGACCTTCTGCTCCTCCATTAATTAGGGGACCCCTCTGGCACGTAAAAAGTTGCCTAATTCCGTCATTTTCCACCAATGTGTCACTGGCCACCTCAAACAACTCACATCTTTTTCAGTGAAGCTGAGTGCTCCCACATCTCTTCCTTCATGGTGCCCATCTACATTAAGATCCAACATTCTGAGATTAAAGTCTGAATTCTGAGAAAAAAGTCAGAATTCTGACTTTTTTCCCATGTTAAACTGAAATAAAATTAAAAAATCAGTTAACTTTGTTTGTTTGTTTTCAGTGGCCCTAATCCTCTTCCGTAGTCAGACAACCAATGGTTCTTTAATGGGTTAATTATCCAACAAATCTGTCCAATTAAAAAACAAAAAGGCTCAATAGAAAACACCAGAGTTCTAGATCAGAAGCTATGCTGGTCATAGGAGCTACAACAGATTATGGTTTGTATTGAGTTTTAACACTTCAGGGAGGATGTACAGCGACCACTTTTGATTTTAGCCTGTAGTAATCAGTACAGGGTTTATACAGGAATGAGTAACTATATTTCAATGCCTTGTAATGTGCTTTTAATAATCTTAGAAATAATTTTAATACCATCAACAAGAACCCATGAATTCTTTTCTGAACATACAACTTTAGATCAACTGGAAGCAGTTCCGCACAAATATATCGCAAAACAATATATCTGACGAAATTGTTTTTATAACCTTTTTTTTTATGCATTTTAAATGCCATGATTATCACATTTAATGACTTTTTAATGCCAATTAAGGCATTTAAAAAATTCTTATTTAAAGCTGCAGTCTGTAACATTGAGAAGTGAGCAGACTTCAACTGAAAATTTGAAGAAAAACAGGTTTCACGCCACTCCCCCACCCTGTGTGTGTGAGCTGTGATTGACACTCCATCAGACGCTCCTCTGGCTGTGATTGGTTGTTTTGACTCGTACCGAAATATTCTTTCCAGATTGAAATACAGGCAGTATGCGGGACCAATTGAAGCAGTTTTTTTCACAGGTTACATATCACATGTACTGCTGTCTGGGTATAGGGACAGTTTTAGCCAATATGACAAAAAAGTGAATTTTAAAAACTTACAGACTTCAGCTTTAATGACTTTTAATGATTTTTTTAATGACCCTCTCAGACCGGAGCAGACTGTGAGAAACATTAGACCTTAAGACATTGTTCAAGCGTCTGTGTTAGGGTTATAAAAAACAGATTATTTGCTGCTGTGACTCTTTCACAAACAGCCTCAAAGTGCAAGTTAATTTTGATTTAACAAAACTGATGTAAGAAGGTTGGGTTCAAGTCAAATATTAATGAATACTTGAACATTTTCTACAGTACTTTATAGTTATGTTGTTCTTAGTTTTAAGTGCATTTAGAGTGTTTTTAATGACGCAAATGGTAATACTCTTCTGTCTTACATCCTGGACCAAGGCATGAGCAAATTATGCCGTTTTAGCGGCTTATAGGCTCCAAAAATAAACATTTGCAAATGTAATATGGGGTTTCTACACAATGCAAAAAGGAAACAGAGTTTGTTCAGCTTCTCTAGACTATATTAAATAGTTAGAATAATTGTATTGTTTAATTATATAAAAGTTACCTTGTTTGCACTTAAAATTTATTGTATGAACTTTTGTTCCAAATGTTGAAAAATATAAATCTATCAGTGGCCATTATTTGTGTTTTACCCAAATATATTTGTTAGATAAAAAAAAAAACAAAAAAAACAAAGCTATGGATAAGGCATAACCTATTTCTACCATAAACTGTTTTAGAAGTGATTTTAAAAATATATCAGGGTGTGAATATGCTACTGCAATAAGAAATGTATCTGTTTGAGTTTTTCTGGGAAACCAACCCAGATGCGTCAATAATTAAGACTGACAGAGTATTTAAAAAAAACATTCTTGCCAGTTAAACTTTCAGTATTAAAACTAAAGACAACAGCCTACGTACTTGGTTGAGACTCGCTCTCGCTGTTGTGGCAGGAGCCAGTGGATTCCGAGTTCAGACTGAGCGTGCTCGGTACGGAGGAAAGCTCTGCGGTGAGCTGGGTGTCCACCTCGTCAGGAGTGACAGGCCACAGCGTCCTGCGACTATGCCTGACCGCATCCCAACCGTACTGTTTGAGGACCTCACATCCCTGCTTGGTCTTAGAAATCACACCAAGCACATAAATGCATGTCCTGTCGATGGAAAGAGAGGGAAGAGAAGTGACTCACTGCTGTTAGCCTTTCTTGAACCTAATTGGTATTTAAAGAGGAAATCCAGTCCGGTTAAACTTACCCACGAACCGACAGCACCTCACAGTGCTGAGCTAATGCAAGGATGTCAGGAATCACATTCTCCTCCTGCAAGAGATTCAGACCCCAGTTCGAAGAACCAATGTTTCCCTGGAACAGAAACAATAAAACCAACATCAGTGTGAGCGTCAGAAAGACAGAAGCCTGGATAGAAAACCTTTTACTTACCAGAGCCCATAGAGCAGCCTTCAGCTGCTTAACGCCCTCCCAGGTGTCCAGCATCGGGGAGCGGACCGTATAGCTGAGATCTGGAACTACATTCTGCAGAAAGAAGGAATCCAAAATAACCAAAGACGCACCGAGAACCTTGGACTTTGTGTTTGCCAATCATTCTGAAGATGAGTTGATCGTTTCATGACTCAACTCATCTTTAACGTTTGTAGATTTATTGGTTTATATCTAATACTTTTAAGACACAAAAAAGATCCACTTTCCTAAAAAATGTCAGGTCGCAACTCATGTTTTCCTCTTTTAAGTTTTATGCCTAACCCCTCGGTTCCTCTAAAGCAGGGATCTGCAACCTATGGCTCCGGAGCCACATGTGGCTCTTTGGACCCTCTGCAGCGGCTCTTAATAGTGGCTAAAATGTATATAAAGAGCTAAATAACACGCTATGAAATAAATACCAGTCTTAAAAGCTTTAATGGTTTTTATACGATGGATAAGGATGAAATTAAAAGAACCGGAAATATTTTTTAGAGCCATTTTCTCCTTTAATTAGCTTGGAATTTATGTGTTTTAATACTATTTTAAAAACTAAAATTACAAACACTGTTAGTTGTTTAAGATGACGACTAATTTCCTATACCAGATAATAACAAAAAAAACAGATACCGTATTTTCACGACCATAAGGCGCACCGTACTAAAAGGCGCAGTCTCAGTTATGTGTCCCATTTCTGTATTTAACACACACATAAGGCGCACCGGACTATAGGGCGCGTTTTTTATATACAGGTACATGTCCTCTACTACCTTTAAATACCTCTACTGCGTATTTAAAAATACAGCGGGGGCAAAACTGAGTATGACTGTGCTTTATTCATGTATTTATTAAAAAGTATTAATCAAACCTGGCAGCTGGCCGTGAGACAGACACATCGCAGATGACACAGCGCGCTGTGATCACTCCTAAATTAACTTAAAATCCTGAAACCTGCCGACGGAATATGTTCGCTTTTATGGGTGCCTGCAGTTTAAATTATTTAGATGAAAAACACCTGCCATCCACCGCGTGAACCCGGAGGCTGCCCAGCCTAGAGGCTGCTGATGAAAGGATTTCTCCTGTCGGTGCACCGCTGGTATGTGGGGGTCTGAGCGCCTCCGACAGAAATAGATAATCTGGATGAACTGACTGCAATAATTAAGTTTTCAGGTGGACTTTCTCACTTAAAAACATATTAAAACTACTTTATTCCCCCTGATCACAGCAAATATAGCTGCAAGATTTAGATTATTTAGATGAAAAAACACCTGCCAGCCGCCGCGGTGAAGAGGAGGAGACCCGGCCCAGAGGCTGCTGTTGAATTAAGTTTTCAGGTAGAAAAATAGAGCGGGAGCAAAACTGAGTATGATTGTGCTTTATTCATGTATTTATTACAAAGTATTAATCAAACCCATCAAAGTCATCATCCTCTGTTTCTGAATTAAACAGCTGCGCTAAATCAGACATGCCAGTTTCCCCTTCTTCGCTGTCAGTCACTTTCCGTGCAGCGCAGCTCCTCAGAAATGATGCCGGCTTTTGCAAAAGCTTGTACAACAGAGCCAGCAGACACGTTAGTCCATCTACAATCCATCCGCAAACTGTGGCGTAACTTGCCCGGCGCTGCCTTCCACTTATCCTGAAACAGTGGTCTCTGTCGGCCATCCATTGCTCCCACGCCGCTCGCAGCCTTACTTTGAACGGCCGCTTCACACCGATGTCGAGCGGTTGAAGTTCCTTTGTCAGACCCCCGGGATAACGGCGAGCACAGCATCCATTTGATTCACCTTTTTTTTCACATCGGCTGTGAGATGGGCACGCAGCGATGGTGATGCGTTGAAAAAACCACCTGGTCTCCTCACATACACCTGCCTCAGCTACGCTTTCATCATCTCCTCATCCATCCATCCAGCCTTTTCCATTTGCGTTAATATCATATGTCATCAGAGCGCTGTGTCTGTCTCGCTGTCAGCTCCCAGATCAGCTTCTCTGATTGGTTGATGCGGCGCGTCCAGCAGCAAAACTTCAATTTTTCCATCTCGAGCAGCAGCAGCGCGTTGGCGGTGCGTCAGATGCTTAAACGCTCCTGCTGCTCAAAACGCGCTGCAGGACCTTTTGCTGCACCTATACGCGCGTCAACCATTGACTTTGCATGTAAACTCGCTGCTTCTGCTCCACCTGCTGGGTCCGGTTCACACCGATGTCCAGCGGTTGAACAGCGAGCACAGGGTTAATTTGTTTCCCCATGTTTTTCACATCAGCTGATAGATGGGCACGCATGGAGTCACATATTAACAGCGATGGTGATGAGTGGAAAAAAAACACCTGGTCTCCTTACATTCAGCCACTCTTTCATCATCTCCTCAATGAGGTGGTCTCAAAAGTCGCAGTTACAACACACATAAGGCGCACCGCACCAAAGGGCGCACCGCACATTTTGAGGGAAAAAAAAGACATTTAAGTGCGCCTTATAGTCGTGAAAATACGGTAGTTTTTTTTTTTTTTTTTTTTTAAGTCATACCTTGTTTCTCTAAACAACTTTTACTTGGTCTGACCCCGGGTTGCAGACCCCTGCTCTAAAGAAAGCAACTCTAGACAGTAGTTTTGCATCCATCAGTGTTTTTCTAATGCATATTTTAAATGATCAGAAAAGTTTTAAGGAAACAGAAAATTTGAAAAAAATAGTTTTTATGCTCGATTTAAGTGGTTTTTGGCTTTTGTGAGAAGGGTTAAACGATGATGGAAACATTTACTTTACATGAATGAACTGTTTCCTCTGTCGGCGTCTCCCTGTACGTTCCTAATAATTGTGTAAACATAGCTGGAAGCAACATGGCTATTACTATGTTAACATAAAAACAGATTGCCCGATAGCCAGGCAACCACTAAAACTTTCCTCCATTACTGATCTGTGGTCAGTGCTACATTGTTCCCTCTACCTCCTGTTTATTCTAGCCACACATGACGACTTAATCTGGATGACATTTGACAACATTATGCTTTGCATAATGGAACGCTGCACATTTGCGTTTCCTTTTTTCAAACTTTTACAAGTTTGCTTAAAATTCACATTTCAGTTGGAAAACAGGGTTTTAGTCAGAGCTTCTACCTGATGCTCCACAGCACTTTTCTGAGCAGATCAACCAGTTGATGAAAAGCAAAATAAAAGTCTGACAAAAAAAAAAAAAAAAATTTCATTCCAGTGTGAAGTCACCAGAGAATCTCACTTTATACTCGACACCATGGACGATAATTTTATTCCACAACAACCATTCCTTTTATAGACAATACCAAAAAAGATTAAGCATGAACAGAAATTGTTGAGAAATTCAGTCTTACAGGTGATTAATTGTTCTATTAAACTTGTTCACCACTATCACATCCGGTTGAACCTGGCAGAACCTTCCACATTCAGTGGAACGTGGGTAAGTCATTCATTGATCAAGCTGAGTTTGGAAATTTTTATTTTGGCAAATCTTTTGCCCCATTTACACTACCTATCTGAAACTGATCTGTGCCGAGTTCGGACAGAGCTTGGATCAGTTAACCGTGCTGAGCTTGGTTCTTACGACCATTTACACATCACTCTAGCACGGTTCCTCGCCTCCTATTGGCGATCCGTGTCACTAAGGCTCCCAAGGCGCGAATTACGCAGACAAAAATGGCGGCGTCCATAACATTCAGGAGCTTAGGTGCCTGGATAGCTTCCTCCTCCCAAATTTCAATGAGAGCCTCAGCATCATCCCAGGTTGCACCGCGCTATTTTGATGCCTTTTAATGATAATAGGCTGAGAAGAAGTTTGTTCTGTAAACAGGTGCAGAGATCTGTGAATCACAAAGCCGGACACGCCGGAAAACCCACAAAACGAGTCAGCTGACTGTAAATAGGAGATGACGCAGTCTGCTCATGCGCACTTTTTTAATCAGAGAACCAAGCCACAGATTAATTGTGCCGAGCTCTACTGTTGAACTAGTACTAGATATAGTGCGGTTCGGTTGTGTGTGGCACGGTCCAGTTCAGTTGCGTTCCATTTATACCCAACAGTTATCTCGGTTACCATGCTATGACCGGTTTTGGCACCGTTTCAAAAGGGTAGTGTAAATAGGGCTTCCGAGTTGGGTCAAAGATCGGCATTCCCCCTTCTACTCACAGAGGTTTACAGCTTGTAATACTGGCCCTAACAGTAGCTGAAATTATCCTTAAAATGAAACATAATGGCTAGTTAAAAAAAAAAAAAAAGTTTGAAGCTGTTATTAGCCTTTAAAAGGAGAAAAAAAAAAAGAGTGGGGGAGTGGCAGCCTGCTCCCCAGGCGCCTCAAAATGGCAGCCTACTGCTCCCCAAGGTGATGGGTTAAATGCAGAGAGTTCATTTTGCTGCTCTGTACTTGTGACAGTGTAATGACAATAAAAGCTGGAAAGAAAAAAAGAAAAGCAAAAAAATAACGCCTCAAAAACTTGGTACTTGCAGCTCAACATTTTACCAATAAAGATCTTCATTAACTATCCAAATAAACCAAACATTTACCTGAGATTCCAGTAGATGACAGCCTGTCTTATCATGGACCAGCTGACCATACAAGTGCACGGGGAGATAAACATTTGGTCTTTGTAACCTGCGGACACAAACCATTCTAATTAATCTGACCTCTGATGCCAGTCGAGGGTTCATCGTTTCGCCATCTCACCTTTGGTTGCTGCGCCTCACGTAGTTATCTCCATCTACGGGTTTGCGGTAAGTTGTAAGTGCTTCGTTCAGCTGCTCCTCTATCAGATCCACATATTTAAGGTTGTACTCCTGCAAACAAGACCACATCTTGGAGTCAAACACCACCTTTGTATGGCATTCTTTCGCAAAATGCAGATTTCCTAATACCTTCTGCCATTTATCCAGCTGCTTGCTGACATAACCCCTCTCATTGAGGTAGGAAAAACCTTTAGGAATGGACAGGAACCTAAAATATAAAAGAACACAACGAACACTTGTTTAACATTATATAGGCATCTTCAAGAACAATCAGATTAGATACTATATGTCGCTGCTGATAAAAAGGCTGAGGTTATAAACACCCACCTGAGGAGCAGCAGGAGGCCTTTGTCTCCCAGATGGGACACAGCTGGTTTCAGCTGGATTAGAGCGTGGAGGTTGGCCTGAAAAGCAGAAAAGAGGTCAAGTTGAACTCAACTGCCTTTAGCCTCTTCTTTACATCTTTTATTAACGGATTTTATAGCAACAAGCATTATTTTACAAAGAGCTGCTCCTGTACTTCTAAAATTAATGATCCTTTAAAGAGTGATTTTATTCCTCCAGCGGGGAATATACAGAAGAAATAAGTGCAAAATATGGAAATACCTTTGAGATTTTAAATAATAAATAAAATCAGGATATCAAAACGACAAAGAATTGTTAACTTATTTCTTTTAACGCAGTATTATAATAGAGGAGGTAAATTTATATCAGGGTAGTCCCTTTTAATGGTTGGTAATGAACGAATGAATGGAATAATGAGCTTGTTTATTTTGGTGATTTCCAGATATACAAGTACTAATCAGTCCCTAGTGAAGATTAAAAACAAAAGAAATAATAAACTGTTGCTGAGAGAATATCTGCCTCAGACAAATAACTGATTTTATCGACAACAAATTAAAAGATTGAAAGACCAAACAACAATCACTTGCTTTGTTCTGTTAAAATCTCCTTTATTTGATAGATGTCTTTTATTTTGAGTATTTATCTCCATTTTCATGTCTCTGCTCTGAAATAATTGTTTTTTTGCAATTGTAAAGTGCTTTATAAGTTAAATATTATTATTCATTAATAAAGCTTAGGCTAGAAAGTATCAACAGTTTCGCTTTTTACATAAAATAATAAGCAAAATCTTTTAACAAGTTTATAGGTGCATAATTTGAATCCCTTTTTTAATTAGAAATAAACTAAATAGATCAAGAAAGGCCAATATTTACAGAATGATCAACTATATGTTAAATTTAAAGATTGTAAAAATGTCTGCACTGGAAAAAAAAAATCCAAATCTAGATAAGTCATTTTTTCTTAAAATAAATGCATTTGTTCTTGAATTGAGGAGGTGACAGAGACATTTTGCAAATGGAAAAAGACAATTTACATTTAAAATAACAAAAAACAATTGCATTGTCAAATTTCAAGTACATTCTATCTAAATATCTTATTTTAAGAGTAAAAATATTCATTCCATTGGCAAATCATCTCATTTACCTACTCAAATTAAGGGTAAATTAACTTAATTTGCTAAATTTTGTACTTATTTCTAGATCGTTTTTCCAGTGTCACAGATATTAAGAAAATCTTACAGTTCCTGGACTCATAATCTGATTTTTTATACATAGACATACCGTATTTTCACGACCATAAGGCGCACCGTACTAAAAGGCGCAGTCTCAGTTATGTGTCCCATTTCTGTATTTAACACACACATAAGGCGCACCAGACTATAGGGCGCGTTTTTTATACACAGGTACATGTCCTCTGCTACCTTTAAATACCTCTACTGCATATTTAAAAATACAGCGGGGGCAAAACTGAGTATGACTGTGCTTTATTCATGTATTTATTACAAAGTATTAATCAAACCTGGGAGCTGGCCGTGAGAGATGACAGGGCGCTGTGGTCACTCCTAAATTAACTTAAAATCCTGAAACCTGCCGACGGAATATGTTCGCTTTTATTACCGGTATCCTGGTGCCTGCAGTTTAAATTATTTAGATGAAAAACACCTGTCAGCCACCGCGGTGAACCCGAGGCGACCAGACCCAGAGACTGCTGATGAAGGGATTTCTACTGTCGGTGCACCGCTGGTATGTGGGGGTCTGAGCGCCTCCGACAGAAATAGATAATCTGGATGAACTGACTGCAATTATGAAGTTTTCAGGTGGACTTTCTCACTTAAAAACATATTAAAACTACTTTATTCCCACTGATCACAGAAAATATAGCTGCAAGATTTAGATTATTTAGATGAAAAACACCTGCCAGCCGCCGCGGTGAAGAGGAGCAGACCCGCCCAGAGTCTGCTGTTGAATTAAGTGTTCAGGTAGAAAAATAGAGCGGGAGCAAAACTGAGTATGATTGTGCTTTATTCATGTATTTATTACAAAGTATTAATCAAACCCATCAAAGTTATCATCCTCTGTTTCTGAATTAAACAGCTGCGCTAAATCAGACATGCCAATTTCCCCTTCTTCGCTGTCAGAGTCACTTTCCGTGCCGGGCGGCTCCTCAGAAATAATGCCTGCTTTTGTGAAAGCTTGAACAACAGAGCCAGCAGACACGTTAGTCCCGGCATCAACAATCCATCCGCAAACGGTGGCGTAACTTGCCCGGCGCTGCCTTCCAATTATCGTGAAACTGTGGTCTCCGTCTGTCACCCATCACTCCCACGCCGGTCGCAGCCTTACTTTGAACGGCCGGTTCACACCGATGTCGAGCGGTGGAAGTTCCTTTGTCCGACCCCCGGGATAACGACGAGCACAGCGTTTATTTTTTTTCACCATGTTTTTCACATCAGCTGTGAGATGGGCACACATGGAGTCACATATTAAAAGCGATGGTGATGCGTGGAAAAAACCACCTGGTCTCCTCACTTACACCTGCCTCAGCCACGCTTTCATCATCTCCTCATCCATCCAGCCTTTTTCATTTGCTTTTAATATCATATGTCATCAGAGCGATGTGTCTGTCTCGCTGTCAGCTCCCAGATCAGCTTCTCTGATTGGTTGATGCGGCGCTTCCAGCAGCAAAACTTCAATTTTTCCATCTCGAGCAGCAGCAGCGCGTTGGCGGCGCGCTCCCGACGCGCTGCGCCTGCTGCTCAAAACGCGCTGCGGGACCTTTTGCTGCGTCTATACGCTCGTCAACCGTTGACTTTGCATGTAAACTCGCTGCTTCTGCTGCACCTGCTGCGTCCGGTTCACAGCGAGCACAGCATTAATTTGTTTCACCATGTTTTTCACATCAGCTGTGAGATGGGCAACTATGGAGTTACATATTAACAGCGATGGTGATGAGTGGAAAAAAAAACACCTGGTCTCCATACATTCAGCCACTCTTTCATCATCTCCTCAATGAGGTGGTCTCAAAAGTCGCAGTTGCAACACACATAGGGCGCACCGCACCAAAGGGCGCACCGCACATTTTGAGGGAAAAAAAAGACGTTTAAGTGCGCCTTATAGTCATGAAAATACGGTAATTGCTCGTATAAATTGAGTCAATCCAACAAAACCAGTTTAACCCTCTGATGCATGAATTATAAAAAAAAAAAAAAAGAAAACAAAAAGAACCTTACCTATTTGCCGTATATAGATAGATCTAGATAAGTTATTCATTTCTGTTTAACCCAGAAAAAAACTAGTATTTTAAAGATTCTAAAAATTATTTCTCCTCTAATCTCATTCCCTTCAGATAGAGGCTCAAATATCCCAAAGAGAAAAAAGGAGCTCCCTAAAGAGGCTGATAATGAGTTTTTGCTGATTTCTCGTCCTCCTTCTACCAAGACTAAATATAGTTGGCATAACGTATAATCCATGTAAACACTTCTTAAACCCGCCTTTTTTTAAGCTACTTATCATATAAAAATAAAAGCACAAATGTAACCTTATGAAAAGAAAATCTTGAATGCATTCATATTTCTTAAGGTACGCACTAACATAAATTTGCTGTTTACTACTATTTGTTACAATCTGGCAGATCCAAAGAATAATAATGATAATCAAATGCAGTGGCAGGCTCCATCAGTTAATCTAAACGGTTGTCTTAGTTGAACATAATTAGTACATCTATTCCACACTGGAATAACGGTCGGAATACACAAAGTGAGACGTCGCTGTGACTTTAAAAGTTTTAATTAGTAAAAATATTTTTTAACTAATATGTTAATAAAAATAAATAAATAAAATTCTTGAAGTTGTATAGTACTCAACCTAAAGATTTATTCATAGATTTTATTCAAGCATAAATTCAAATTTTCAAGAGGAAGCGGTTTTTAATAGACATACAACAAAACCAATGTATTTTTATTTCTGTATTTTTTGGTGCTTCTTAATAAAGGGTTAGCTTGCTCATATGGTTGCGCAAACAGTCCTTTTTAAATATACCCACAGGAAAGCAGTGGTTTTAATGAAGCCTTTGCTTCCTTCCTACACCAGAGAGATGATGGGTTATGGGCCAACAAACAGAATTAGAGTAAACTCTGTGCCTATTTTTGGCCTGAATACAGACAAGGTTGTGTTTTTTATTATGCTTGTGAGGTTTGATACATGTGAATCAAATAATCAGGATGCTATTAGAAGCATACTGACAATGAGCTAGTGGTTAAAGTGTGAACTTCGCCTTATTTAAGGAGGCACTCAAAAGACCAGGTGTTTGTTTTTGCTGATGAATCTGTGAATTGTTAGAATTTTTTGATTATTTTTCCAAACTGTGAAATAGTTATTCCTTTGGCGACTAATGTTGTCATCTATGCTTAACATATATTTTGCAAAAGTTAAATTAGAGTTTAGAGTTTAAATTAGAATTGTTTTATAAAACTGGATTTATTTGAGGGACTAATTGTTTAAGATGTAAAATGGTATTCAAGAAAAAAGTAAAAAGGGTACAAAAGAGAATATATCAAAATAATCAGGATTTATTAGCATCTTTTTTTAGAAGAACTCTGCGTGAAAACTTTGAAAACCTTCTAGTGTAATAAGACAAACCTTACCTTGTCCTCACAGGCCTCATCCAGAATGTCCAGGGCCTCCATGGAAACAACCTTGTTGTGGTCATGAAGCTGGGTGACCAGCAGCTCCATGCCCCAGCTGCTGAAGAACTCCACGCCCGCACGCAGCAGCACACGGAGGTGTTTGGTGGCATACAGCCTGCATGTCTGTTTGGAAAGACAAAGAGCATTATTCCACAGAAAATTAATCCTTAAAAGCACCGAGCCCTTTTTCAATATCATATACATAAATCTATGACATAGTTTCTATCAAAAATGTATTGTTCTTTATATTGTACAGGTGAAACCCTCTCCATTTAATCTGTGCCTCATGTTTTGTGTTTCTTACATCGGTGGAAGCTGTGAGGACCTTTGAGAGGATGACCCTGGCCAGGCCGTCTCTGCTGTAATCTAGAGTCGTTACGGCAAGTTTCAGCACAGCATCCTGGTTCTTTACGGAGCACAGATTCAGCAGGCTGTAAACACCAAAACAAGAGATGATGCCTCACGGCTGTAAGCAACACATTCCATCGAATGGAAAAAACATTCTGAGGCTCAGGGGGGAAAAAAGGCTGACAAAGCTTGGCTCACTTACCACTGGAACAGGCCACATTTCTCTAACATTTTAACTCCCTGTGGGTGTGCGGAAAGTGTCCCCAGGAAGAGGAAATAGTGCTGACTGAGTGTGGTGAGAAGGCCGTTGCTCTGCAGACTACGCTCTGGCTTCAGTCCTGAACACGAGCAGAGCCATGAGACCATGTCTCTCACAAGATCTTCCAGATAGCCCTGACCGTCCTGCTCGCACCAGAGGGAGACAGATTCTGTGAGATGGTTTGAAAGCCAGGATCAAATAAAAGATAAACTGCTCTTTTAATTTTACCTCATCTGAGTCCATGAGGAACTCCACAAACTGACATCCAACCACTGTGAGTTGTCTGGCCTTTACGTGATCCAAAGGCAGCCCAGCATATAATTTACTAGTGGGCTTATAAAAGAAGAGCAGCCTCCGAACAAACCTGCACACAAGCAAACATCATTTAAACTATGCAAATGTAAGAGGAGCTTGTTAAACAATTTCAGTATATAACAAAAGTTAATCTTACCGGTGCATCTGTTCATCCTTGTTGTTCCTGAGGTTCACATTTGGCCACTGGAAAAAAAAAACACTCAGAAAAGGAGAAAACAGCAAACATGTAAATATGTGCAGCTGCATGGGAGCAGCCCAGACCTTCAAGATGGTGGCAATGAGCAGCCAGTTCCACTCCAGGTTCTGCTTGTGGTTAAGGATTTGGCTGTCTCTTAGGTTCATCAGCAGTGCCTCTTCAGTGTCCTAAAAGCAAAAGAGGAAAGTTGAAAACACCACTAGAGTCACATTAGAAAGAAACAATAAATATAGCTCTTTAAAGAGTTCTAATAAAAGCTGCAAATGTAGCTGGATCAAACATGGCCACCACCATGAAATCTATCATCAGTTCAAATTTCAGATCTTTACCTTAATGATGTAGATGTCCCTTTGGACACGCGAGTGGGAATCTCTGCGGTTTTGAGACGAGACGGACTTGCGAATGATGTGGTCCAAGTAAAGACTGTGCGGCTTCAGGCCTTTCTTCTTCTTCTCGTGGAAACGTTTCAGATTGTTCACGGCTGCACTTGCACGACTGGAGGACACAGCAAAATAAAAAAAAAATAGATGTTTTTTTTTTTTTTAAGTTAAACAACCACTACTACTACTTTTTAACTGCATCTTTATCAAAATAATAGAAAATCTTTAATTACTTCTTTGTGATTGCTTCATTTTTATTGATTAGTTTCTGTAAATCTTTTTGATCTTTTCCCCCTCTTCTTATCCTAAATAGTATAGAATTTGATCAATAAACTCGTTCATCCATCCATCTAATCAACCCTCTGTGATTTACTGTCCTTTTTAAACATTAATTAAAAAAAACACCTTTAATAAAATACTAACTTCATGTATCAGATATGAAGTAAGGCTCTTAAATATACATGAAAGGTGTATAGCAGGGGTGCTCATAGACTGGTTTAGGGAATAATTGGTGGCCCTCAGAGGAATTTTAGATTGCCCTCGATCATATTTCAAGAATAAATTTACCTACGGCAAAAATAAAACCTTTCTGAAATTGCAAAGGTGGTTATGGTCCAACACATTATCTTTAATCAGCATGTTATCAGTTTTACTAAATTGAAAATAGGAAAAAAAAAATAGTGAATTTTATGAAAGAATATTTAACAAGCCCTTTTATTTATTTTGCAAGCAAAGATTTGGTCAAGGCGAGAACAACATCCGGGGACTTGTACATTCTCAGTCTTGTGTTCTTGTGAATTGGAACAGTACTAGGGGCTGAGGCTGATGACGTTTCATGAGCATAAGAAAACGAAACATATTGAGAACCAGCCTCAGCCTATCGCCGATCTCATGAGGATTTCATACAGCTCTGCCAAACTATGAACCATGTAACATGAAAACGTTTTTTAGAAATATATCACCTTTGTTAGGTTTCACTTAGCCTGCAGGTATCAAATCGCAACAAGATGTAAATTTTAATGTTTAGAGTCTAAATAGTCCCGGGCCCATTTCTGGATGTTTGTAGTAATAATTGTCCCCTGGAGAGGAGAAACAGATTGTACTCACAGTCGTTTCTCCTGGGAGATGTCAAACGAGGCGGCCATGTTGATAAGGGTGGGAAGGCAATGCAGGTGGTGGCTATGGGAATGAGGAAGAATTGTGTTGGCCTAAACCAATAGAAAAGAGGCAAAATAAATACAAATTACTGAAAAAATTACAGTGATTATTTCAGCTATGAATGTGCTGAACATGAGCTATGTTAGTTACCATATGCAAAAGCTCTCCTAGGAGTATAGTAGCTCTGATAGCAAGCTGGTCATCGCTGCTGGTCACAACTTCCACAAGACCCTACAGCATCGACAAATAAAGGAGAAATGAAGACAGGGTTAAAAGGAAACTATTAAAATTCAGACAGAGTGGGAAAAAAATCCTCTCACCTCTAACAGTCCACTGGTGATAAAGGCAGAGAGCACAAATGCCAGGTAGTTGTCCATCAGGTCGGCCCTAAAGAAAGAAACAAGGAAAAATGTAAATGCTTCTTCAAATCACTAATCTGACTTTAACCTAGTTCTATTTCTGTTCTCTTGCCTGGAGCGGGCCCGATGGGGTAGGATAACTTTAGCCTCAGCCGCCACAAACCCATCAGAGAGTCTCCAGGTGTCCTGGAACCTGGCGGGATCTAAAGCACACAGCAGCAAAAATGAGTCCAGGCTGGCTTTGGAGAAATATTTAAAGCATTTTGAGCAGAATATATGAGGGTTAGGGTTTGCCTCATGAACAGAGGGGGGGAAAAAAACCCAAAAAATGCAAATTCACACCTTAAACTTTGATGATGAATAAAGATTAATCCTCACCAACACTTTGGAGAGCCTCTGTGAAGTCTTCAGTAACAATGGGCACAGGGAGCCTGAATATCTCATACAACACCTCCAACAGGCCTTTCTGCAGAGCGAAGCACATCATTTGATTACAGATTTACGTGTCGTCTCGAACTAAGACCAGGAGCATGAAGGTTATTTTGTTTCAAAACTTTTTGTGCACTGTAAGTGTGATTTGCAAATATGTGTGGAGAGTTGTGTATTTGTATCTGGATTTGTGTGTGCGCAGTGGGATTTGAAAATGGGTAAATGAAACTGTAAATGTGTGCAGAGATTTGTGTGTCTGTAAAACAATCTGCAAATGTGTAAAAATATTTGTGTGTATGCAAATGTGTAAAAAAATTTACAAATCTGTATTCAGATTTGCAAATGTGTAGATCAATCTGTAAGCACACAGAGACACTTATGTCTGAAGTATTTTCAGTTCAAGACCCAGAAATACAAATCATTGGTTACAAGTCGAGCGGTTTCTCGGTTGGCTCTCTTTACACATGTGATTTTTGCTACAATTCTGCCGTGTGAGATCCGCAAATGCGTAAAGGATTTGTATCTGTTACATCTGGATTTGCTGCCCTGAGCGCAGACTCACAGGCTGCCTCTTCGAAGACGGTTCCACGGATGGCCCGGCCCGGAAGTGCAGGGAAATATTTACGGTAAAAATAACTTGGATTTAATCCTTCTTCACTATGCGCAATAACAGAGTCATGTGCAATAAAAGTAATTTAGGTACCAAGCAGCATTTTAATTTGTAAAAACTGTTGATTGCATATACTGAGATCCTTATATTATTTTATTCCTGTATTTTATTTTACACTATTTATATGGGAAAGGTGAAATTTTACTGTGCAAGTTGTAATTTTACAAATTTTACTTATTTTATCCTGTTTTAATATTTTATTTTGCTCTATTGTACTTCTGTAAAAGGTTGCACTGCAAGAAAAAATGTTCCCGCATGGGATTAATAAAGTAATTGATTATGATTCCTGTAACAACTTAAAAGCCTACAGGCTTCTGTGAACAAAACAAGCATATTTATAATGAACTGATCAGTCTGTCTGTAACAGGACAACTTTGATTAGTGTTGCATCGATACCGATACCAGTATAGGCAAGGACCGTGATACTGCACTAAAATGGTGGTATCGTATTGGCGAGTACCAACAAATAGGGCACAGATACCATTTTGAGAGCCAAAAGTTTATCCAACTATTGTCACCCATTTCAGGTAGGCAATAAAAAGTTCTACTGGATTCACTTTGTATTAGTCTTTCTCCTACTTCACAAAGGTAGGCAGCAGCTTAAAGCCATGATGGCAATTATTTTACATCCAAGTAGTATGCAGTTCTTCATATATACACACACACATCAATTTCAAACAGATGGTATCGGACGATACTGCATAGCCAGGTATCGGTGCAACTCTAACTATGATATAAATTTGGACGTTTTAAGTCACATAAAGGTGTGATTTACTTAGTCTTTTCAAAGTTTTCCATATTTGAACCTGCATTTTTTTTTTCACATAATCTGACATAAATGTTTCATCTGTCTTTGAACCACAGCGATTTAATTGAGGGTCAAAAACTTCTGGTCCTGTTAAGTACTTTTGCAAGATACTGTATGTCATTAAAATTTGCTCTTCATGCATAGAAACGTGGAGCTGCTCCCGTACTCACCCTAACTTCCATATTTGGTATGCAAAGTAAGCCAATTAAAGACTGGATCCCAGAATTTCCAGCCTTGCACAGGTTGATAATCCCTGAATTTAAAAGGAAAGAAAGAGTTTTAGATGTTGATACTTGCAGCAAACCGGACCTTTTCCTTTTTCCTTTCTATGAATTACTTTATGATCTCTTACCAGACCAGGAACGAAATGCAGCAACTATGGCCATCCTGCTCGACAAGAACCTGGATTCTCTGTCTTCCCTGTAAAAACAGAAAAACACACTCAAAACTGTACATGTTACAAAAAGCATCATAATTATCAAAGTAAGGCATAAAAATATATATAAAATCCTGGTGAGTTTTTTTGTATGCGTACTACAAAGTTTTGCTGAAAAGTAGCCGTTTAAATCTGTTCTTTTTTTCTTCTTCTCTGCTCTACCCATCACTTTCTTAAAAATGTTTGTCAGTTTAGCTCACTGTCATTTCTTATTTTAATTTGGGAAGGGCCAACCTGCCTATTAGTGCATAAGACTTAGCATTAGTCAGTGTCGGAGTATAAAGCATGTTTGGGGGACAGTTGATCACGGTGGAGGGTTCGGGTCCAGATAATGGCAGGGAAAACAATTCACTTAGATACGCCCACTGAAAACAAGCTCGTCTGTAACTGACAATACAAGCCTTCACATAGGACCAATTCGAGGTTTTCAAGCCGACAGGCTTCTCATGTTTAAGTACAAATAAGCAGGTAACTGTGTTTAAATACACAATTGTCGCATTTCCTAATAATCCTGGCTTTGATAAAGGTTCATGATAGGAAAAGTTGCTTGTGTTGCTAACGTTGGCTGCGCTCAGGTAAAAAAATAAAATAAATAGGGCTGGGATCAGTTCTTTTTTACTAAAGGTGAGCAAAGGAATATAAAACTAACTTTTTTTTTTAATAAAGAGAAAGGGGGGGGGATAAGTAAAAGAAAGGGGAAGAAAACTTAAGATTCAAAAAAAATAAAAGCTTAAGAGCTGCATAAGGTGTCAATAAAGGTTTATCAAAACAGTCGTTTCAGAATTACATTTGCCGATTTCTTATAATGATTTGTGAACATAGTCTTCAGGCTCAGGGTGTTTCTGATTTTCAAAACATAAAATTCGATCACAAAAAAAGGGGGATGAAGTGAGAGGGATGCTGGGAAAGGGGCAAGAACCCTTGGACTTTTGCTGCCTTCATGTGTTCTGGTAAAAATCATCTTTTCCACATGTAAAGTGGAAATTACCATCGCATTGTGCTCAAGTGCTTATGTCATTGTAGAGTAGGCAAACATCGCAGATCCACAGATTATCCTGACCTGCTTAGACAAGACAGTTACAGACTACCTAACTCGTCTGCTACAGAAAGAAGAGGATTCATGAAATGCGCACGCTATTGAGAAGTTGGTAAAATCACATAACGGTAATTTTAAAAATGACAAGTTTAAATAGCGATATCTTTTTTTTTTTAAATGTATGTCACAGCAATGTGTAGGCTACAAACACAATGTGAGAGGGAGTTTCACAATGCAATATATTTACCAATTAATTGTGTTTGCAATAAAAAAAAAATCATTTCTGGCAAAATTGTTCAGTCCTAATTTACCATACAGAATCATTTCTCTCCTCTCTGCGACGTTTAAAAGTCAAAGTTTATCTCACTTTGGCAACTCTGATATCATAAAACTTTTTCCAGTTTTCCAGTAGAAAATACATTATGAGTGGGTGTTCATTACTGCAACTTTGATGTTCGCTTTTGGCATTTCCAATAATTATGATACCACCTCAAGGCAGTATAAAATATGAGGAAGGAGAGATAATCACCTGGTTATTTGTTCATTAAATCTGTAAGCTTGGACCTCCAAATAAAGATAAATGTTTTTATTCTACTATTTTTAAAGTGTTATATCTGAGGAGTTTCATAAGACATGGCTAAATTATTTTCAGAAGTTTGCATAGGCATCATTTGGGTGATTCCTTGCAATCTTTCTGAGACCAAACTGGTAGAGTAGGTTGTTACAAGTGGGGGAAAAACATCCTCATTTTGATTCTGTTGTAACCCTCCAAATATCCACTTACTTGAGTTGTCCTTCAGCTGTGTCAGCGTTGTGCCGATAGTGGAAATCAGTGAAAGGTGCAAGGATTTGCTGCAGGATAGAGTAAAAAATATATTTAAAAAAATGATGTATTACAGCTGTAATAAAACTAATTAATATCTTCCATGACTTAAGCTTTGGTAAATGGTGTATCTCTCTGTTTTAAGCAGAGATCTACAGACAATGGGGGTTTAAGAGGAAAGGCTCCGACTAATTACTGTAAACTCAAAAGAAATGGGGGCGATCTAAAGCTGTTCATCTCCAGTGGAAACACTTCCAGACCTCGGTTTCATTTTTATACAACAGCTTCCTCTGGGTTCACATCCATGTAAACACAAGTACCTCGAGCTCAACGTCAACGCGCACATACTGGCGGGTGCACGGGTGGTTGAGTAAATGGAGGACCGTGGTGATCAGGGCTTCGTTGATCCGACTCAGCTGACAGTCGATGACGCTCTTGAGGATTGTGCTGAGACCTCCACGTTTGGCCACCACCTCTGGGTTCTTCAGAGCTGCAGGAGCAGAAAAAGAAACAAAAGGACCAAGTTATACAACAACAGACACTAGAGACAAAATTGTACATCTCCACAAGGCTGGAAAGGGCTACAGACTGGGGCTCCATGCAAGATCTCGCCTCGTGGGGTCTCAGTGATCCTAAGAAAGGTGAGAAATCAGTCCAGAAATACACGGGAGGAGCTGGTCAATAACCCCCAAAAAAATCCAAAGTTACTGTTGGTAATACTCTTAAGATGTCATGGTTAGAGATGATGCATGGAAGGGCAGGTTCCCCTGCTTTAACCAGCACATGTTACGGCCCGTCCTAAATTTGCCAATGAACATTTGGATGATCCAGAGGAGTCATGTGAGAAAGTCATGTGGTCAGATGAGACCAAAATAGAACTTTTTGGTCATAATTTCACTAACGCTGTTTGGGGGAAGTAGAATGATGAGTACCATCCCAAGAACACCACCCCTACTGTGAAGTATGAAGGTGGTAGCGTCACGCTTTGGGGGTATTTTTCTGCACATGGGACAGGGCTATTGCACTATATCAAAGAGAGGATGACTGGGGCCATGTATTGTCAGATTTTGGGGAAAAACCTCCTCCCCTCAGTTAAGAGCATTGAAGATGGGTCGAGGTTGGGTCTCCCAAAATGACAATGACCCAAAGAACACAACCAAGATAACAAGGAGTGGCTCTGGAAAAACCAGATCAAGGTTCTGGCGTGGCCTAGCCAGTCTCCAGACCTAAACCCAATAGATAATCTTTGGAGGGAACTCAACCTTGTGTTTCTTAGCCACAGCCCAGAAACCTGACTGATCTAGAGAAGATCTATGTGGAGGAGTGGACCAAAATTCCCCGTGCAATGTGTGCAAACCTGGTGAAAAACTACAGGAAAAATATGACCTCTGTAATTGCAAACAAAGGCCACTGTACCAAATAATAACATCGATTTTCTCAGGTGTGCAAATACTTATTTGCAGCTGTTTCATACAAATAAAGTTAAGAATTGTTGCCAACTGTTTTATTTGCACTACTTCCTGCTTTCATCATATTTTTATCTTTACTTGCTTTTTTCCTTCTATTTCATTTTTAATTCATGTAAAACTCTTTGATTTGTCTTTGTACTGAATTGTCTAATAAAAATAAACTTGCTTTGACACTAGGGCAGCAAAAACAAATCGATAAAATCGATAAAAATCGACTTTTAAAAGCGTTGGCAACGAATTTCATCATCGATTAGTTGTGTCGCGTGATTAATGCGTCATCCGCCGCCGTCGTCATTGCCGTAGGGCGCCTCCCCTATCCCGACCCCGTTCTCCCGCAGGAGTCCCTCTCAGCGCTGCAGTCAGAGGATGTTTACCCTCAGCATCCAGACTGCAAATGAAGCGCGCATGCGCCGGGATTGACAGCGCAAATTGATCACAATAATTAAAATAGCCTGCGCTTTGTAAAGCCAAAAAAGTCATAACAGGCAACTTTTGTAAAAACAAATTAACATGGCACGGAAGCACCACTGTTATGATGCAGCACCTGAAAAGGAAACACGTTGGAGCCTTTGATGGCAGTGAAGAGAGCTGAGCAGCAGGGTGAGCGACCATGTTTGTTTCGTTTTAAAGTGGGGAAACGTAACGTTAGTTTCTCAGGTAGCTCATCTGATGCTTTCCTTACCGTGTTAGTAGGTTACAGACAGTGATAAGGTTGGCTACTTATTTTACTTTTAATTTCATTTGAATTAGTTTAAGCAGCGTTTATATTTTCTTTATAAATAAATTAACTTGCAAATTATGAGGGCAAGGCTTTTAAAGTTTAAATCTTCTGGCAAAGATAAAGTAAAGAAGATCCTGCAATTTATGGAAGTAAAGTAGAATAAAATCCAGCAAGGTCAGTAATATGTCAATTAATTATTTGCCACATTTCCATGTAAATATCTGTCTTTGGAGGATGTGTTTTTTAGCACCCCTAGTTGTCTCATTTTTATTCCAAATACAATTTATAATTTGAACCACAGGGCTATTTTTTATCTCTATGGTTCAGTATTTTCTCAAGTAGCAACTTTAACTGCTATACTTTCCTATCTTAAAAGGCAGAACTCTTCTAGTCTAAAAAAAACTCATTTGTTGAAATGGGGGGACCTATTGTTTGAACCCCTTAGGGGCTTTTAAAAACAAAAATGTCTTTTTTTGCGCTTTATGAAACAAAGTACCCTATATTTTGTGGATGTACAGCCACATTTCTCATGTAAGTTTGTGTAGTTTTAACACAAACATTTATTTTTCATATTGCACCAGTACAGTTAATGAGCAACCTGTACTTGTGTGCTTGTTTGTTCTGTCTAAAATGTTTATTTTGGAATAAAGAGGTTAATATAAAAAATATTTTTTGTCCGATTCATCGATTAAAGGTACACTATGCAACCGGTGTTGATTTTCCAGCGAGGCTCCCCCCAGAGGGCGAAAGTAAAAGTGCACTGTCGTAAATATGCTCAGTTGTTCTCCCGGTTTCTCCGTCAAGCCAGGCGCGGTTGTTTTGAGCTTAGCAGACAGGCGAACGCAGCTGGCGCGACAGAAGCAGCGAGTTTACATGCAAAGTCAATGGTTGACACGCGTCAAGGCGCAGCAAAAGGTCCCGCGGCGTGTTTTGAGCAGCAGGCGCAGCACGTCTGAGCAGCTGAAGCAGCGCGTCGGGCGCGTTTAAGCATCTGACGCGTGTGACGCGCCGCAAACGCGCTGCTGCTCGAGATGGAAAACGCGTGTGACGCGCCGCAAACGCGCTCCTGCTCGAGATGGAAAAATTTTATTTTTGCTGCTCGACGCGCCGCCTCAACCAATCAGAGAAGCTGATCTGGGAGCTGGCAGGGAGAGAGACACAGCGCTGATGATCAGAGCGCTATTATCACTCCTCTTAAACAGTTTATTGACGCCTAAATTAACTTAAAATGCAGGCAGAATCTGCCGGCAGAATATGTTCGCTTTTATTATCCTGCTGCCTGCAGTTTGGATTATTTAGATGAAAAACACCTACAAGCTGCCGCCGTGAACTGTGAGGAGGCGACCCAGCCAGAGGCTGCTGATGAAGGGATTCCTACTGTCGGCGCACCGCTGCTATGTGGGGGTCTGAGCGGCTCCGACAGAAAAAATATTGGAAGGCAGGATTGTAATCTGGAGGAACTGACTGCACTGATTACGTTTTCAGGTGTATTTTCTCACTTAAAAACATATTAAAACTACTTAATTCCCACTGATCACAGCAAATATAGCTGCAAGGCAGAGAAAGGATAGTGAAGCTCCGCCCAACACGCGTCAGACTCACTTTTGCACCGCGCAGCCAGAGCAGCAAAGCTGCTTCAGCCGCGCGTCAGAACTGGTACAAGCAGTAAAAATGAAGCAGCAGACGCGATTTTGCTGCTTTTGCTGTGTCCGGTGTGAAAGCAGCGCTGCACAAAGATCGCCACTGTGCTAGCAACGAGAATGCTTTTAACTGGGGGCGTGTAGCAGTTCTCGCCGTAAAGCAAGACAGACTCTCGCGAGACTTTTGAGCCTGTGGGTGCGGGTCGGTAGCCTGACGTAGTCCGACTCAATTCTAGTCAGAATATGAGTCTGATACTGCTCCATAGAGCTGTGATTATGGGGCGTGTTTTGAACGAACCAGGGAAAAAAATGCCTCTGCACTCAATTGGATAGACCTACAACCAATAAGAGCAACGGAGTGCGTGACGTATCTTAAGCGAGGCATAGTTGTTGTCCACAAAAATCAAAGCGTGCAGTTGCACGCCTATAATAAGAAGATGAGACTTGATCGCGTTTCTCTGTTCCTCTTTTAAAATTTATTTGCTGTCAATATCTTCTAGAACAGACCCTAATAGCAGAATCTACTCAACTAAACTCTCCAGCGGCAGCCATTATTGTTGTCACCCAAGCGCGCATTGGTCACGTGGTTCATTACGTTACTGTTGATCATCTGTCAATCATCGTATAAAGCCCGCCCTGACAATTTGATTGGATCGCCTGACAGTGGGCGATAATACTCGCGCTACTATGGAGCAGAGCCAGACCGAACTTCCCGACCTCAAACTTTGTGGGCGGGACTAAGTTCGGAATGGCACCCAGGCTAGCGGGTCGGAGCTCCTGCAATTGCAAGTGCGGTTTTTCCCCCACAGACCACCAGGGCGGCCGAGAATACCTTTGTTCAACCTGAAATGACTCATTTAATCATCCAAAACGTTATGGAACACATTAATTAACTGAAAAATGTTGCATAGTGTGCCTTTAATCGAAAAAATAATCGGCCGATTCATCGATTTTTAAAATAATCGTTAGTTGCAGCCCTATTTGACACAGATGTAGGTGGCTGCTTTTCATAAGGGTTCAGCTTAGTGATCCTCAGCTTAAAAAGGCAGCTGATACAACAAATTCACACTCACAGAAATATTAAGAGCAAGACATTGGTAACTGAGATTCTGCTTTGAAACTGAAGGATATAATTAAAAACAAGAGCTAGAGCCTGACTCTCTCCTTTAGAGTAGATCTGAAAACTACTGCTCAAATAAATCACATGATTTCCCTCAGACAGTAGTGAGATATTATTCATCCACATAAGTTCTACCTGAAGGGTTTGTTTCAGGAAGGCACACCAGGATGTTCCAGCTGCTTTAGCATCTCTCCATGCTTGGAATGTTTTTGATTTGCCTTCATAGTGATATCATCTAATGTTGTAAGGGAGGGTTTGCGAAGCTCTGGGTGAAAATCTTAGCTTGTTTCCTTTTACCTCCCATAACATCCTCCAAGGTTAGCTTGAGGGTAGGGCTGAAATAATTGATGGAATAATGACAATAATCAACAAAAAATTGGGAAATCAGATAATCATTAACTGATATGTTTACAGCATCAGTTAATGTATATAGAGTATGAAAAATAAAGTGCTTATAATACTACCTGATTAGAGCAGAAATTAGATCTAAAAGGTAAATAAAAAAACATGTTTTTTTTTGTTTTGTTTTTTACATTTTACACTGAAGATAAAAAGAAAAAAACAATCTTTGTTTGTAACAAGAATAAAAGATGATTAATAACCCCAAAAACTGGGAGAATTGTCAGAATTTCTATTTATACTATTTTTGTTCTTTTTCTTTCACTGATTTTCAATTGGGACATGGACAAATTTGAAAAAAATGAATAAATGCAATTACTACAAAAGGTTTAGTAATATAAATCCCCCATCTAAAGATATTAAATGTGTATATTCTTTAAGAGTATTATTTGTGATTGTGTGCTGTGGTATTCAGTCATAGCCATACAGTTACCTGAGAAAGAGGTAACAGATGTTTTTTTTTTTTTTTTAAATAGTCACTTTTACCGTTAGTATGATAACCTCGTCTGAATCAATTAAAATTTGAGTTCATTGAAAGCATGTTTTAAATATTTTGAAGACAGGCTAAAGGAATTAGGCTATTTCATCACGTCTACCGGGACAGACTAAGTTTTGGAAGCATTTAACATAAAAAGTTCACGGTTTTCTATTTCATTACCGGTGCTATCAATAAGTATAACTCTTTTTGAACCAGCTTGTTAATAAGCGACAGAGGGAACTATGGAGATAAAGTTATAAAATGGGAATGTCCGTCCCAGATTTATGCCCCAAAATGGGTCATTAAGAAGATGAGACCGAAATCACACCCAGCAGATCCCTGTATACCAGGGGTAGGCAATTCCAGTTCCTGGGGGCCGGTATCCTGCAACTTTTAGATCCATCCTTGGTCCAACACACCTGAATCAAATGGCTGAGTTACCTCCTCAGTATGCAGTCGGTTCCTGCAGAGTCCTCCCAATTATCTGAGTACATGATTCAGGTGTGTTGAACCAAAGGCACATCTAAAAGATGCAGGATACCGGCCCCCAGGAACTGGAATTGCCCACCCCTGCTGTATACCCTCATGGTTAATGTTACTTTACATCTCTGTTGTGACTATTCCAGCTAAATGTCATGTCCTCACCTAGCTCACATATGATGGCAACGGCAGCGCGAACCATGCGATCCCTCTCCTGCAGCCCGTCTGTACCCACAGCAATTAGAGAATTAGCAACAGAGGTGGGGAACAGCATGGCATTGACGGTGATTATCTGTAGAGGAAGAGAGAGTAGAAAAAGCTTAAAAAAAAAAAAGATACAGAGAAAACACGTTTTAACAGACAAGAAAAAATACCTTTAATTTATTAACAGAGGAACATAATAAATAACAATTGTATTATGTATTAAACATTATACATTATCAGGGTTTTAAATGTTGCTGAAGGTTTTGTACGTCTTTGAGAGTCATATCTTGTGTTAATTAGATTGAATTATCTTCAAACAAATATTAAAATAAAAAAACAGCCATATGCTAAAGCAAGAGATTAAAGAATCAAGAAAAAAGACAAACATTCTGTAAATATTACAGAGGAATATTAATTAAAAGAAAGCTTCCAGCCATGACCTCACCCTCACAAAAGTAAAGATGCATGACAACCGACAACAATTTTCAGTTTCTTCTTTGCTTTTAACAGTCATTTAACAGACACAAAGGATGCTGAATGTACATCTGTGCCTTTGGTTTTGCAAGATTATCCCCATATATGTTCATGAATTAAGGCACACATCCCTTCATGCACCTTTTTCAGCTTAATAACCTAATGACCTTTCTGTTTACAAGCATCAAAAATGAAGCAGCAGGCGCTTCTTTGCTGCCCAAACCACGTGTGGTGTGAACGTAGCATAAGCGCCAACCTTGTGAAAATAGACTGATGTTGAAGTCCAAAAAACAAAAATACCTTTAAAAATACTATACTATGGATGTATATAAAAAAAAAAAGTTGCCAGATATTAACATATCGAAAAATAAAACAACAGAATGCTAAAACAAGTTTAAAAACTACTACCTAGTTGTAGTGAAAATGGAATCCCTTTATTGAAAACTGACGAAATTACTGATTATATATTTTTTAACCAGAATTTTAAGTTAATTTTTCTACAGAACGAAAAAGCCCTAAAATCCTTCTGTGGTTAGAGGAGCAACAGTCACTGTTCAAAACCACAGCACTGTGTGAAAGGTTTACTGTAAACGACCGACAGAGCTATAAATAACCAGAGTGGCAGACAAACCCTGTGAACTGACATCCCTGTTGCCCCCAAAGGATTGTTCTGATGGCTTTGTACTGGAATAAGCCTGTGTAGTCGAGGTAAATTACTCTACTGGCAGGAAAAACAACGACCCTCAACGCTTCCAAATGATATTTAAAAGACAGACATCTCACCTTTCTGACAAGCCGTAATGCCTGCGTCCTCTCCCCCTCGTTGCTTTGCTGGATGTCAATACATCTGGAGCAACCAAAACAGATATTTTTTGTTAAAACAGACCCAGACACGTTTGTGGCCACCAGTACTGCATTTTCATATAAACAACAACAACAAAAAACACAGACATGAATTCATTCAAAGAGTCCTTTCCCATCTGATAAAAGCAAAGTCTTACCTGGAAATCAAATAATCCACCTGCAGTCTGAGGACCTTCTGCAGCACATTGGTGTCTCTAATGAGATAGCGAAGTGCCCGCAAGCCTGCTGCACGCACTTCCTTGGCCTCATTTAGAAGAGCTAGACGCAGACTAAAATTAAAAAACAAAACAAGAAATAGAACATTAATCTCTAAACACTTCATAACAAAGGTACCCTTCTCTTAACGCAGTCATAATATTACTATGAATAAGCAGAACTGATAAGCCAAAGCCCCAGAGTTAGGGGAATTTTTATATTACAGGAACACCACTCGTACAAATTTACAGAGTCCTTGTTGATATAAAGGGCAGCATTTCCAGACAGTACGTACCATACAATGATTTCTTCATACGTAAAGCCAAAGCTCTCCTCCCGATGTCCAATACTGCAAAGCAACTGAAAGACAAAATATATAAAGATTAAATTGTGTCAAGCAATGAAATAAAGTCTAAAGCCTCTTTCCCACTAAATTAGCAGGCTGACCCAGATCTAATGTTCCCAAGTTAGGCAGATTGGAGCCAAGCCGTTTGAAAGCGATTTTAACCAGGATCGCTAGCAGAGTCGTTTAACCCCAGGTTCAACAGCGGTCAGCGTGCTGTTCCCACTGCTACTAAAAGCCCGTTGTTCCCAGGTTTTAACAGGATTTTGGCCAGTGGGAAAGGAATAAATATGTTATGAGAAAGCATCTTAATTTAGGCTTGAAGTGGCTCTTACTGTGTTTAAATGTAGATCACATCACACACATTTTAAAAGAGGTCTTCTAGAATAAAAAAAACTTTCTCAGAGTAAATCCTTCAATATTGAAATAAAAACAACTGTTAAATTGTGAATGAAAAGAAAGCTTAGAAGAAGTTGCCATGATTGTTTTCTATGCAAGTTTTTATTATTTGCTTATGTTCGCCCTTATAAGTCGTCTTAATTCTATATAAGGATCCTGACAGCTGATCTGTAATAATAATAATAATGAATTTTATTTATAACGCACTTTACATTTGACTTCAAATCTCAAAGTACTACATTTAAAAAAGGGAAAATTAAAACAAATTTAAAAGACCATAACATTAAAAACAGAGTAAAAAGACAATCATTAAAATCAATACATTAAAAGGCATACGTAGCCTATTAAAAAATCTAAAATCAACAATTGTAGGCATTTCTAAAAAGGAAAGTTTTTAGTCCTTTCTTAAAACAATCCACCGTCTGTGGGGCCCTAAGGTGGTCTGGGAGGGCATTCCACAGACGAGGAGCTGCGGCTTCGAAGGCCCTATCGTCCATTGTTTTTAGCCGTGTCCTGTCACCATTACCAAAGAAACAAAATCCTCCACTAAACTCATCAGCAGCATATTTTACCCAAAGAGAAGAGATATTCCAGATTCATATTTAAGTTTAGGTGTTTACTATTAGCAAGTTGTTATATTAATGACCCCAATGCTTGAAAGTGCTTCTTTTTAAACCACCACGACAATTAAGATCCTGAGTTTTTTCTCCTTCTTTGACAGCATTACATATTTTGTCAAATAAGGGGATTCTTGCATTTTATCTCTAAATATACCTCTGTTTTCTTGCAAACAGACACATGTTGAAGTGACAGGACAATTTTAACCAGGGCCTCCATGTTTTAATAGCACTAGCTGTCACATTGTCTTATATATTATCAGGATTCCAGTTAACCGTATGAGGATTGTTATTGGGATTCATAAACTCCATGCTCTTGTTTGAACATAATAACATTTAAAGATTAATATTCCTGAAGTAGAAAGAAAGCTGCAGCAGCCAATAGCTAACAATGAACATGTGGCTGGTCTATTATAGAGCTCTGCAAGCTGTGCACAAAAATAAACAGATATTAAAAAAAAGGTGGTGCAAATTGTAGCCATAACATTTATAGGCTCATATTGAACATGTTAGTGTTCCATGTTTGCAAAATTAGCATAAAGCGGTAAAATTCAATATAGCAATCAATTATAATTCTAAACAAATTTATATTAATCGATGAACAAAATAAAAACAATCGAATATTATATTTAAACATACTGTCAGATTATATAAATATCAGAGCTTTTCACTGTAAATAAAAATCGAAATCAAGATAAATAAATAAAACAAAAATCAGTCAACCCAACCAACAGTTTCATTAGTCTGTATCCATATGAAAAAAAAAAATCCAACAAATCTACCGTATTTTCGCGACTATAAGGCGCATATAAACGTCTTTTTTTCCCCTCAAAATATGCAGCGCGCCTTATAGTGCGGTGCGCTGCTCGACATCGGTGTGAACCGGCCGTTCAAAGTAAGGCTGCGAGCGGCGTGGGAGCGATGGATGACCGACGGAGACCACAGTTTCACGAAAAGTGGAAGGCAGCGCCGGGCAAGTTACACCACAGTTTGCGGATGGATTGTAGATGCTTGGGCTAACGTGTCTGCTGGCTCTGTTGTTCGAGCTTTCGCAAAAGCCGGCATCATTTCCGAGGAGCCACACGGCACGGAAAGTGACTCTGACAGCGAAGAAGGGGAAATTGGCATGTCTGATTTAGCGCAGCTGTTCAATTCAGAAACAGAGGATGATGACTTCGATGGGTTTGATTAATACTTTGTAATAAATACATGAATAAAGCACAATCATACTCAGTTTTGCTCCCGCTCTATTTTTAAATACGCAGTAGAGGTATTTAAACGTAGTAGAGGATATGTACCGGTATATAAAACCCGCGCCCTATAGTCCGGTGCGCCTTATGTGTGTTAAATACAGAAATGGCACGCATAACTGAGACTGCGCCTTTTAGTATGGTGTGCCTTATGGTCGTGAAAATACGGTAATCAAATGTTTAGATGACTACAGTACATGGGGACGGATCAGAAAGCTGCGACTTTTATGATGCTCTTTTCAATCTGAAATTATACTCATACTGCTAGTTGAGTCAAGTAGTGTTTGCCATATTGCTAAGATGAGGGTGATGTTGGTAGTTCGGCATATAGATTGTAAACATGAAAGTAAAAGTAAAAATCATCCATTCAGTAACGAGTTTAGCTTCTCACCTCCCCTATTTGTTTATAAGTACTATGCTTGGATTAACATTATTAAGAAACACAAAAAGAGATTTTTTAAAGTCATTTTATTTATTTTCTTTTATAGTTTTATCTGGTTACAGTCCAGCTATCTGTACCCGTTTTCAAAACAAGGCCAGACCTGACCATGTTGTTTCGCTTTCGGCATGAGGTTCAACCTTTAGCAGCTCCTTCACAGCAGGTCAATAACCAGAACTGGTGCTGCAATGGGAATCAGCACAGACTAACACATGGTGCAAGTGCAAACCAAAGAGGTCTCTGAGCAAAGCGTGCTGCTATTATAAAGCTGGTGACTTTCTCAAAGGTATCCCTAGATAACCTTGATATGGGAAACAGGAGTCCCACTCCACAGCAGCTCAGGCTAACACTGAACATGCTATTAGTTTTGCACTAATTAGCCTTTTGACCTACAATAAATCAGATGGGCTGGGTGGCAAGTTGGTCAGAATTAAGTTTAATTAAACTCTGGTATCAGAGCCTATAGCAGACAGAAGGTGTGATGCTCTCCATAGGGGATTAGGTCACCCCTGCAGCCCTGAAACCCTTATAAGGAATCACTGTGATAATGCTTCAGCTAAGTATAAAAACACACACACACTCACACATTGGCTATTTGCCTGAAGTCAGTCATAAACAAGAGTGTCAGGCTGCAGAAGCGGAAACAAACTCACCCACAGTGATGTGTGCACAACAATGCCTGCTACAGAACGCTCACCAACTGAAGAGGCGCAAACAATTGTTTACAATCCATTCATAGCTGACAGTTAGAGGCGAGGCGGTGAAAAGCAGTGGGCTGAAAGAGGGAACTGTCTAAGCAGAAGGAGGAATCGGCGCCTAAGGTCTGAATTACCAAAGCCTTTTAAAAGACATTTGCTTTCTCTGAAGGAGGGGAAGTTGGTCAAAGCAAAACCAGCTGCCAGGATTTAAAATAGAGGTGGGAAGAGTGGCCAAAGGTTTTATACTAAACTAAGCGTAGCATTATTCTAATATACTGAATAAAAAAAGTAAATAAATGACTCACATTATTCTATAAAAAGCGTAAAGTAATTAGTAACCTTTTGATCAGAATATCTGACATAATTGAATATTAAATGGTATGTGCAGATTTGCAGATTATGGTATTATAGAGACAAAAAGGTGACCTTACTGCATAATTTAAAAAAAAAAGATAATTTATAAAAATTACATTTTCAAAACATAAAATTCCACTTCTTATTTAAAGAGCATTTTGATATGGATCATCATGAGATCAAGACTATAAACATACAAGAAAAAAGCAGAAAAGAAATGCTAATATCAGCCAAATATATATATAAACAAATAAATAAACAGATACAAATATAGATTCACATGCACAGATCAAAATTAGAGAACTAAATGAACTGAAGGCATCAGTGAAGGCATCAGGCTTGACATAAGTATTGTTGAAAAAAGGTAAATGATCGCCGATACAAATATTTTATTTACCAAAAAAACAAAGTGCACATTGGAAACAAGAAGAAATTAAATAAAACATCCACGCAAAAGTTCACTGAAAATAGATACTTAAAAATGTAATATAGAATATAGATAGAATATAGCAGCTTCCCGAAACCTATTTGTAAAGGTATTTCTGTGTATATTAATAAAAGAAATGACTGGACTGGACTGGACTGAGTAATGGATCTGTTGTTTATCCAATATCTGATCCAGTTAATTAGTCACTATCAGAGTGGATATCAAAGCCATGTATAGGATCAGTACGTTTGTAATGTATATATTTATACACTGAGCATTACACTTCCAGTGACTATACATACAATTTACTGTATATTGACTTGACATTTAAATGGCACAACAGGCTCAGCAGAAACAAAACAATATATAAAAAGTGAAGGTTGTGCAAAGACAGGAAGTCTTAGGGTAACATACACAGTGTAGATTTGTGTCTGTTGGGTAATGTCTTTCTTCTTTGTTTAGTGGAATAAGGATAAAAAGGGTGAGTTTTATGAAACTGTATTGAAGTAAAAGCAGTCGTTTTTCAAAACAATAATACTTATGTATCATCAAAAATAATGTTCAATGAAACTACCAGAAAATGTATGTTTTTTTTAACAGTTACCCTACATGAAGTAGCTTAGTAAATGTAAGTTATAATTGACACTTTATGAAGGATTACAGAAAAATAAATGTGGGAGCTATTTAGTTTTTACTGAATGTATTTAACATGAAAATTATTTGAAATTCTTTAGTATTTCACTCAAAGGGAAACTAGATAAATTCCTTATCTACGGCCGAGTGCAATGAGAAAAAAGGAAAATAACTAAAAGATTTAACTCTACCTCACTATTTTTTAAATAATACGGACGTACCAATAAGTAAAAAGTGCCAGAAATGTGAGCGTTGAATGTCCGTTATGTATCCCACGCTTTAATAGTGGCCTTCATCTCATCTGCATGGCTGCTGCTCCGGTGTCTCTCATCTTACTCTTAACAGTCCATATATTCTCTAAGGGGTGAGGCCAGTTAATGAGTGTGCAGTAATGAGTTTGGCGTAAAGATCTAATCTTCAAATTTTTCAGCTAAAATCTGATTATGATGTTTTTTTTCTCCCTTATGTTTAATAAAAAAAATAAAAAAAACACACAAAAGAGCTTTTATTTCAATCACACCCTCTAAGGAGTGATCTTAATTAAAAGGGTGAGAAAAACAAATGTAATTTTTTAAAACACTTGTAAAATAATCATGTTTCACACCAAACAATGAAAATAGAACAAAACAAATTTTTGTCACCTAGTTTATGAGTTATAAGCACACATTTAAGAACAAAAAGTGATGCATCGATATGGAAACCCAAGATGTGCATTGATGGGGGAAAAAAAAAGTAATTTCTAAAAAATGATCTGGTCAAAAAATAGAAAATAAAACATTATCTATTTTCAAATATCAATTAATCGCTAACCCTAGCATACAACATGAAGTGCTGTAATACTTTCAGGAAAAAATTGTGAAAAAGTACAAAATTGAGGTGAAAATGGTAAAAATAAAAATAAAAACACTAAAACAACATTGACTTGGCTCCACAAATCCCCACCAAGAGACTTTGGGACCTTGAATTCATAACAAATCAAGGGCCTTATAAGCATTTTAAAAAGCAATTTTAGACTCCAGCTTAAGTTTTCTTTTTTGCAAACCCAAGAGCCGAGTTAATATATCCTATAAACATCTAATAAAGACTTCTGTTTTACTGAATAATGCTAGATCATGCAAAGCATTCAACTACAGCATCCCTACAAGCAGATACCCCAATATCTCCATCTTCGCTTACCATCTATTTTTCAAATAACTGGCTACAGAACGCAAAGCAACCCGAATCAGCTGATCTCTCGCGCTGACCAGCAATATTTATTGCCACTTCCTAGCAGTTTGAAAGATCTAAGTTACATCTTGTGTATGGATTTGAAAGAGCTCCACTAATTGAAATACTGAATGAAAAACTTTTTTCTACTTCCTAACATGCACCTTTATTACTGGGCAGAAAATTGCCCTAGAAAAAAAAAAAAAAAAAAAAAAAAAGAGAACACAAAGAAAGCTTTGATTTAATAATAGCCACAGTAGACATTAATGAATCTGTTGTTAAAGCCACAGAGCTGTTCTGGATGCACATGTGATTGGAGTGCTTTATTAGCCTATAGCCCTTGTTACATTAACTTTTCAAAAATTCAAGTGACAGGCACAGATAGAAAAGCAGAAAGCGACATTGTAGGGGAGAGAATAAAGGGGAGGTCAGTGGTGACACAACAGAGTAGGAGAAGCTGAATGGTTCTTAAGGCTCTTTTACAGCAAACAGATTTTTAAGAAGAAGAAACAAGCTCTCCTGTGAGGTCACAGTACTGCCACATTAGCTTTAAAATCAGCCCTTGATCAGCCACAAAGACATCTTACAAATGTATGTATAGGGACTCGCTGATGAAGGACTTTAAAGGCCAATGGCAACACAGATTACTATGAGATCAGTGGAACTAATTCCAATATGTGCTGCCGATTTTTCAGGCAGATATTGCTTTATGTTCCCTACAGGATAGAAATTACATGACGATAAACTATGCTGCACAAGTCGCTATTGTAACAGAAAAAAAAACTTTATTAACAAACCGAACAAAATATGAATCATCCATAGAAAATGAAGAAGGCAGTAATGATTGTGCTTCACGTGATTTCAAGGCATGGCTGTTAAATCAATGGATATGTAAGCAATAACATACATGCATCAGCAAACACAGATAAAATAAACTAAAGAATAAACACTGATATCAGCTACAAATAACGGACAATTCCATGTAATAATTTATCTCTATGACTACTAAGTTTCATGGGAAAAATATTCCTTATTTAGTGATAATAGAAAACAATGATACTTAATATGTCTGGATTCATATTTGTTTAGTTTTTTTTTGTCATCTTCATTCTATACACAGATTTCTTCTTAACTTGTGGGAAGGATTTCTATTCAACAAGGTTGGTTAAAAGTGCAAACAGAACGTTAAGAAGAGAGCCTTTGCACATTTTTCCAAACATGATTATGTATAACAGTAATCTTGGTTTATGATGCTTCAAACAGAGCATTCACCAAATTTCAACCCCATCGAAACTTAATAATGAACAGAATAACAAAGCAGGGCAAATAACATGAAAGACCTACCTTAATTAAGTTGTTCAGGTGGCCAAGCTTTCGCATGTTACTGACTCCATGAGATTTGGCCACATTTTGGAGGATTTCACGGAAGTTTTCAGATGGTTCTGTATAGGAATGAGAAATGAAATCCGGAATAACTAAATCTGCTGGTGGACTACCAATGCTTCACAGGGGGAAGAAAAGACGCTAAACTGGCTAAACTAACTGTGTGTGAAGTAAAAAACAAGTTTAAGAAATGTTTAAAATGCTTTATTTTCAGTTCCTTTCACTGCTTTTGAATTGACAGGAATATGCTGGTGAAGGTTCCTAGTCATCCAGGTCATAGTCATTCTGAAAAAAAAAAAAGAAATTTAAAAACAATCCACTGGACTTTGTTTCCAAGTTTGAAGACTGTTCGCTTCCCATTCAGGAAGCTTTTTCAAATGTCAGGAATAAAACCTCAAACTCAACGCTATTCCTCACAGTTTGAATTGAAACGTCTTCAAACTTGGAAACAAAGTCCAGTGGATTTTTTTTTATTTTCTTTTTTTTTTGGAATTGACAGGAACTACAGATTACTCGACTCAAACAAGCATTAATAAGCTCAATTGTATTTAATAAGAAAATATCAACATATTGATAACAAGACGACTAAGATTAAACCCCCCCCTCAAAGCATTACGTTTTTTTTCCCGCTCAAAGATTCATGTTACATCAAAATCTGACATTACCAAGAACCCCACCACATTTATGCTCATTTTAGCAAACAGTTTTAAAAACAAAAGAATTTAAAGCGCACATTTTTTTAAAACTAAAAAGGTCAGTTTACTTCTTTTTTTTTTTTATCAAAAAGGTTCTCATGAAAGCATCTTCATGCCCAAGTGTTAATAAACAAGACAGGCATCACAGGAGCTAAAAGTTTACCATTTAATTTTTGAGTTTGATCAGGATACGTTTATTCAACACAGATATTAGCAGTTGATATGCTGAATGCTTTTTTTCTGCGGTGCAAAAGCTTTTAAGGCTTGAAAACAGTTTTTTTGCCTTAATTTTTGTAAAATAGAGCTGCCACAATTATCCTTTTCCAGACCAAAGAGCGTTTAATGGCCATGAGTAATTTGTTGTTTCTTAAGACAATGCATAAAAGAAAAAATGTGCAGGAAGCTCTAAGATAAAGTATTTCTAAATCTAACTGACAGTTGACATTTATATTATCCTTATTTTAACATTGTAGGTTTTTTTCTTCGCTCTTCAACCCTGACTGGACTGTAATAAAGCATATTTATCTTTTTTCTCCTTTCTTTTTAAACGTGTGAGCAACCCGTCGCCAGTCAGAGTCAATCAGGGTATTGTAGCCATAAAAGGTTTGGTGCATCTCTATTGCAGAATCAAAATAACTAAATAAGAAAAACATGTTTTGTTAAAAACAAAACATTTTTACCATGTTGTACTATGGTGTCATGTTGTATGGACGTGTCTTTTTGGCTAAGATGACCACAGCAGCTAATACTAACCATTAATTAATAAATTAATGCAAACATACATAATCAACACAAATAGTAGAGAATATATAGATGTTGGAGATTGGCCTGTTTTTCCAGTGTAGTCCTATTTCTCTGACTGTGACTGGCTGGATGTGCTCTCTTCATCCTCTGACATGGGAGGTGGCTCTGAGCTCATCTGCCTGGCTGTGTGTTTCCTGGATGGGGCCTCCCTTTAACCCTCTGATGCATGAATTATGAAAGCCTTGATCAAGATTTTTTTCTCAAGCTTTTTCTTATTCTTAGGACATGAAAAAAAATGTTTAACTTTTTTTCCCCAAAAAATATTGTTGTTTCATGAAGTTACAGATATGTCCACTGGAGTGGACTATGCGCACATGAGAACTCAATATAAAATATTATGAATTTATAAAAAAAATAATGATCTAGTATTCTGTTGTAAAAAATGCAGACCATTGATTCATTTTATGCTTTGAAAAATATTTCAACATGTTTTGTTTAATTTTTTACATTATAAAGGCACAATGTTAAAAACCGAATAAGGAAACCAATGACACTCATAGCTTACTGAAGTGACTGAAATTCCTCAGGATCTGCTGCTGCCTTGAATGTCTCCTGAAGTGTACTTAGGAAGGGTCTTACAATGGGGAGCCTATATGTGTTTGCTGGGTGGTAAGGTTTCACTATAGAAACCATAGAATTAAAGAGATATTTACTTTGTAGTAGCTGTCCACTACAGTGACCACTATGCACCAGAGGGTTAAAAGGGAGTCTTTCCTCTCCACTGTTGCTACAAGTATGCTTAGTGTGGGATTGCATTCCACTCAATGAGTCGATGCAATCAACTGGTTTTCCTTAGATAAAAAGACTTCGATCTCACAGGATGATCTGTTGAACTGTAAAGTGCCTTGAGATGACATGTGTTGTGAATTGGAGCTATAGAAATAAACTGAATTGAATATATTACAGGTAGTTTTTTTCAGTAATAAATTAACAAACTTACTTTAGCATAAAGCTAAATGGTTGTTTTTTCCCCCCATAATTCAATTGATATATACATTTACAGCATCAGAACGAGAGAACAAACGTTTAATAATACAATCTTCATCGACAACTCGTAGATTAACACATCAGTTCCCTAATGACCAGAAGAAAATTGCGACAGTAGCCTTTTACCGACATGATTACATTTATAGTCATCAGGAATGTGGGTGTCTAGAGCGGCTGCTCCCTGTAAACAAACATGCATCTTTCATTTTTGCTGCAAGAGCGAATCCCATGGCTCAACAGCTATCAGAAAGACCTTCCCATTCAATAATATTTATCAAAGAGCTAGGACGACGCCCGATTATTTTAAGGCTGGCAGTCACGACCAATGCACGAAGACAAATATTTGCATATGTAAGGCCAAATAACAGGCTGCAGTGCCCAGTCAAAGCAACCAAAACAACAGCGCAGCGTCATGGCTGGTTAGCTGTGGCAGCTAGCTAAAGCTAACTCAGATAGTTATAGTAATTCGCAGCCGCCGCTACTTATTATCATTCTTAGCAATGGGTTTAAGCGAAACAGGAGTGAATGGGGGGCTGCAATCGTTATACGACCGCATTAGCAGTAATAAGTGTAGCGTTAGAGGAATTTTATTTGCAGAAAGTGCCCTCATCCATTTTGAACAATAATCGCTTTCATGGTGATGTGATGAAGCCGTTGCCTACCTCTGCTCAGATCCAGCGGGACGTTCTCCTCCCCGCTGTCATTCCGACCTGACAGAAACACACACAGCGTAGACAGTCAGACATCGCTCTGGGGCCAATACTAGCCCGGGGACTTCCCTTTTTACAATATGTCGCAGTTACAGCTTTCAATGAATCGAATTTTTCATGCTCACCCCGCATCCGAAGACTCCGGATAGGACGGCCGCGGAAGCTGGCCGCCATGTTTCCAGGAACATACACAACACCGGAAACTTCGTGCCGTCTCGCGAGAATACAGACAGAACAATTCAGCAGCAGATGAAGCCCCCTCCTGTCACTGATCATCTGTTCGTGTACTTTTTGCCATCCTCTCTGAGAGTCTTTTCATGTTTATGTTAATGGATTAATAAAGAAAAAAAAAAATAAAAGAAAAAAAATAGAGTCACCCTCCACCGACCTGAGTTAAATATGTCAAATGAAATTTGAGTAATAGCAGAAAACTTTTTTTTGTTGCAAACATGATTAATCACAAAAGTAATTTGTAAATAAAAAGGAGTTTGTTTTTCTTAATCTATATATGCGGAAGAGGATTAGGGCCACTGAAAAAAAAAAAAGTTAACTGATTTTTTTAAATTTTATTTCAGTTTAACATGGGGAAAAAAGTCCGAATTCTGACTTTTTTCTCAGAATTTGATCTCAGAATTCTGACTTTTTTCTCAGAATTCTGAGATTAAAGTCAGAATTCTATATATATATATATATATATATATATATATATATATATATATATATACATATATATATATATATACATATACACATATATATATATACATATACACATATATATATATACATATACACATATATATATATACATATACACATATATATACATATACACATATATATACACATATATACACATATATATATATACATATGTATATATGTATATATATATATACATATGTATATATGTATATACATGTATATATATATACATATGTATATATGTATATACATGTATATATATATACATATATATATACATATGTATATATATATATTTATGTGTGTATATATATATATATGTGTATATATATATGTGTATATATATATATATATATATATATATGTGTATATATATATATATACCAACCGCCGTGTTATTGTGATAAAGTTTGCCGTCTTCTTACCTGTGGAGACTCTACATGAAACCTACAAGGGAGCGATGTATTTTCATGGGGACACAGAACAAAAGAATAAACACAGATAAAAACAAAAACAACAGGGCAACAACATATGCTGTAGTGTATTTATCATATTTTGGTACAGCTGGAGCTTTAAACTAACTGCAATTTCTAAATAATGGTTAAATTGTAATTAAAATTGTCCGTATGTCAGTCTTTACTGTCAGCACACATAAGGAATTTATTTAGTGTTACCCTTAAAAAAAAAAGTCAATCTTAAAATAAGTGTAGTTGCCATTAATTAGAACAGGTAAATATTGTGAACTACAAAAAGAAAAAAAAAGTTTTGCTTTTAAATGTAAGGTCAATGTTATACACTTGAAGTAATTAATGTTTTTTTTTTCTTATTTTAAAAGTAAATCCTCTTTATTGCATTGCAAAATTGTCTAACATAAACTACCTGCTAAAATTAAGAGAAAAAAAAACATTTATTTCAAGGAATAAAAATTATCAATAACATATCAGTTTTTCCAAGTGTATGTTTTCGGTACAGAGGCCAGGACCAGGTCTACAGGAGTACCGGCCCCTCTTGGCCCCCATCTAGAACTGCCCATACTTCTTACTAGGAAACAGATAAACAATCACAGAGAACTTCTTTTAACCTGTATGTTATAGTGACATTCTGTATGTTTTCACATTTGAAAATAAACTGAAACCAAAGAAACTTCAATCGAAAAATCACTTTATTTTAGACTCCATGCATATATTAATTCCAGCAACAAACTTGATAGACGAGGTGAAAAACATTTAGTTCTTAATTCAGCGTGGCGGCTGATATGAGCTCATCAATTTCCTTAATTGTTTCAGAGGTCCTTTGAAGAGCTGCAGCAATGTAGTCCTCATTTACTGCTTCCTCTGGTGTGATCTGTAAAGATGTTGCTTCTGATTTTCCAGACTCACTTTTATTTCTCAGCAGGTGGTTGTTCTCCAGCAGAACTTGGCACAGTATGTTAAAGAATAAACCTCACATACATATAAATAGAGGGTATACACTCAGAAACCCACATTGCTGTATGTTAGGAGCTATTTTCTAAAGGATACAGTTGAACCGTTTTATCTTCTCCAGTTCTGCAGCAACAACATCTGAGCTAAATTCAAACAGAAAACAGACTCAAAACTGGATTTTAAAAGGGGAAAAGCATTTAAATAAAGTGAATAATAAAGAAAACATGACTTACACACTTCCCTCAGTCTGTGGCGGATTTAAGAGTTTTGTTACAGGCACTTCACTGGACAGATTGCGCTCTGGAAATGTTGGTTCACTAATGTGTTTGTCCTGCAAACACATTGTATTATTCTAAACAAATAAATATGGAGATTCAATGTGTTAACACTGTAGATATAAACAGATGTAGCTCAACCTGTTGCAGGCAGGAAGGCAGAGCAGGAAACTTTAGTAAACTCTTGGCCTGGTTATAACAAGCAAGAATCCTGTGAGAAGAAGATGTAATTATTAAAATCCTTAAAAATAAAGTTTCTATACTTGACAAACTGCAGTGAAATCACATCTTGCCTGTTGGCACGACTCACGATAGAGCCCACTGAGTACAACTGTCCAGGTACATCCGGGGGAAGGCTGCTTAAATGATACGTTACTTCTCTTACCTGGGCAAAAAGCAGTAATAATTAGAGCTGAAACACTTGGATTTATCAAGCGTTCGCAGAAACTGACCTCCTCTGATTGGAGCTTAGGTTTGTGGTGAGTAAAATAGGAGTTTAGGACGCCGTTGGAGCGCATCACTGAGCCATCTCCTGGGGAAACCTCTACCACTGGGACAGCTCCATTCAATATCCTGGAGAGGGAACACAAACAGAGTTGTTATCAAGTGAGTGTCCCCTAAAACACATTGAATCAGGTTTGGGGTACAACCATAAAAAAAAAAAGGTCTTTATGATGTCCATAGCAATTAGAAACACCAACACAGTTGTTGGTTCTCCCTCACTGCAGCTCTGACTTACCTGCATGTGATGCAGTTTGACAGGAGTTTTACGAGTCATACAGAAAGTGAGACATGGTGGCAAAGTAACAGATCCGCTTTGGGGTAAATACAAACTAAAACTGTCAAAACATGATGTAAATATACAGCAAATATCAGCCACACTCTTTCTTAAAATGGTACAGTCTGATAAAATACCACTCTGCTTGATTTTTCTCTATAAGTTTTCCATTATCCGCTTGGAGCTTAATGTTTGTCAAGTGGGTCACAGCTGATGTGTTTCGGGTTAAAACTTACTGAAATTCAAAGATTTGAAGATGAAGTTTTCTGGTTAGAGATTTAAAAGTCTGATCTAATCTCTTCTAAAGTCTAATTTTTTTCTCTATTTAATACTCAAAAGGATAAAGGCGTTTTCTTTTTTTATTTCCCCAATATATTTTTGTTATTTGTTTTTTGTAAGGGTGTTTTATTTTTGCTTTTTTTTTTTTCGCAGCACTTCGGTACTTTTAAAGTGCTACATAAATGAAGTTGGATTTGATTTCGTTAAGAGCTGTTACAAACAACAACCCACTTTACAGTGCTCTAGTTTTATTTTATTAGTTTTTAACAGTATCGTCATCCTGAAATCAGACTTTTTCCAAATTAAAACACATACGTTGGTCAATCAAAACCTGCAGGACAATCCAGAGTGTGAGAGTGTATTGCTTGTGACCGTTTTTCCTGCTTTTTGCTTTCCACAAAGAGCAAATTTGGTCCTTCCCTTTGATTTACGTCATTTGTGGTACGATTCTAGCATAAGCCCATCTTGCTATTAAAGATGACAATCCAACAACCTGTAGGCAGTCTGTGTTTCTGCTTGTATAACCTTTGACCAACTGTCTAAGAGAGCTTGAAATTAACTATGGCAAACTGCGAGCTAGCTAACATACATTATTCACATAAGTCCGATTCTCTGCCTACCTCCCAATTAATAGGACAAGGAAAAAAAGGAGACAGAATGAGGATTTTGTTCTAAGTCAAATTCCAGATTCTTACTTAAATGAAAAACTAAAAATAAGGAAGTTTGGTAAATCATACGCTCTATGAACTGACTATGTGCAATTAGTATTACACACTAATAATATACTTATCTTCATTTTGTTCTGTCAATTCCATTTATTTATATAGCAAAAACTTACAACACGTTTCTATGAGGAAAACAAGTTGTTTGCATCAAATATTGAAATAATTGTCCACTAATTTATTAATCCAATAATCGCTAACTGGAGAATAGACTCTAAAACATGCCTTTAGCTGACAAAGCGACCCACTTACCGATGTTCCCCTTTAAAGCAGTAATTGAAAAAAAAGAAATAGTAAAAAAATATATATACACATTTTTAATTTAAGATAAAACCAAAAAAAAAAACCTTTTCATCTGTCAATATGCTCTACCCAGAACTCCACAAGTGGAAAAGTTTAAGTTTCACCTAATTTATTTCTGTAAAATCATCTTTAAAGAAGCTTTTCCTATCTGATTATTAATTATTAAAAAAAAAATCAACAGATTAATCAATTAACAAAATAATTGTTAGTTACAGCCCTGCTTGCATTAAGTCATTGACTCCTCCTGGATGAGCTGGTGGTAATGATTGTTGACTCTTCAGCGATCCCTCACACTGAGCACATATGGAGCGACAGTGGAGAGGAAAACTCCCTTTTAACAGGAAGAAACGTCCGGCGGAACGAGGCTCAGGGTGAGCGGACTTCTGCCGAGGCCAACTGGGGTTCAAGGAGACAGAAGCAGAGATACTAATGGTAACCGTTAACTAGCTCCACAGGTGGTCCAGACCAGCACTGCAGATTTATTTTCAACAAAGATGTTAAGAATTTTAGATGCACATCATCAGAAGTGCAAATTAACTGTTAAAAACACAAAGCTAAAATTTAAATGTTATGTGCAGGGGTGCATATAGGATTTTTAGGTCAGGGCTTATTTGGAGTTCTTAATTCTTAACCTTCACACGTGGATATCTCTTCTGATTATGAAGGATTTGGACCTCCCAGCTATAAAGCAAGTAACTAAAATGCATTCTTCCATTGTGGA